ATTTTCTTCTCTTTTTTTAATTAAACCAAAATCAATTAATTTGAATATATTACCTGATTAAATAAAATTTTCAGGTTTTATATCTCTATGAATCAATCCGTTTTTATGCAAAAATGATATTGATTGACTTATCTAATATATTAAAATTAAAAAATTTCTTATTAAATAATTGATTCTTTTTATTAAACTGATAATTTCTATTTATTTTATAAAACAGAATATAAATCCTTTGTGCCAAGTTCCATAATAATACCTTAGTTTTCTTGAAATTCAAACCTTTCATAAATTGTAATCAAATTGCTTTTCATAAATTATGTTTTTTCTGAATTTTTTTAATAATCTATTAAAAAATCAATAAATGAAAGTTCATTGTCTTTAATTTTTGATTGTATTTTAATAGCAATATCTTTTTAATAAAATGTTTCATTGAATGGTTTTGCTTTATAAACACCTCCTTCTCCTCCATCTCCTAATAATTATAATAAATGAAATTGCCTTTATGGAAATTCTTTTGTTGGAATCTCTAATAAATTATTTACTAATTGATAATAATTTAGAACATTTTATTTATTTAATTATTATGTATTAGATATTCTTTCATTTTTTTAAGATTCTTCTTGTTAAATTTTTTGAGGCAACAATTATTTTTAAATTGTTTATTATATTTAAATAAGTGTATCAACAATTTTATTAATATCTGGTCTATTTTATTGATTATTATTTAACATTTAAATAATTAAATCTTTTATTTCTTTTAATTAAATACTATCAATTCTTTTCAAAATTAGGTTAGATTAATCAGATATATAATTTTATTTAATCTTTTTAACTTCTTTTTCATTTTTTCCTAAATTATATTAGATATTAACCTTAAAACAATTGTCCTGCTTGAAATACTTCATAAAATACACAACCCAAAGAAAAAATGTCAATAGGTTTAGAATAGTTCTCTATGCTGGCTTCTGGTGCTTAATATTATACTGTTCCAGGATTATAAGTTTACAGTCTCTCTTGATTTAAATTTTTAATCTTTCCAAAATCGATTAATTTAAATTAATCTTGCACTTTAACAAAATTTTAAGGTTTTATATCCCTATGAAAATAATCATTTTGATGCAAAAATTAAATTGCTTTTGAAGTCTACAAAATATAAAATGAAAAAATACTTCAAGGCAAATCTTCAACTTTTCAGATTGATTTAAGTCTTAATTTTCTTATATATAATTATCCAAATTACATTATCCAAGTTCCATAATTAAATACTTATCCTAATTATAATTAATCATCTCAAAGATTCTAATTAAATTATTGAATTGATCTTATTATTAATTCTAAATCAGCCAATCAATAAATTATTCCTCATTTTCCTTTAAATCATTATATTTCTTAATAGCAACATTCTAATTATTTTCTTATTAATTTTTTGGCTTTGCTTCATAAATAATTCCTTCAGCACCATTATCAAGTTCTTTCACAATAATAAATTATCTATTCGGACAATATTAAGTTGATAAATCAATTGTTTGATTATTTTAATACATTTTACTTTTCTATTTTTTATTTTAATTAATTGAATAATAGTTACTTAAAATTGAATCTATTTCATACATATAACAATGAATTATGATACAAACTTATCAATGCCAGCTTGATTAATTTTATCATTCTAAATCTCTAAATTCTAATCTTCATCCAAACACATATTTAAAAGTTTAAATCTATATAGTGGAGTAAATATCATAATATTAATATCTTTTCGGTTTTCATTTATATCGCTCAATTAATCAAAATAAGAATCAGAATTTTTCTTTTACAATTCTTTACTGAGGTTTCATTGGACGTTTAGGCATCTGAGATATTCCCAATTTTAATTAATTCGGTTCAAATCTTTTTATAAATGAAATTTTTGTATTAAAAAATTTTTATCTTTTCATAAGTTTAGAGTATTTATATTATAAATATTTTTTTACAAATTAGAGAATTGCTTTTTTAGATTTAAATGTTTGATTTAAAAATTTTTGAAACCTCAATAAATTTCTTTCGTATAACAATGATTGTTATTTTTTGAAATATAAACAAATGATTTTCCTGAAAATCAATCACGTTTTTTTAATGAATAAAAATATTTAATTAAACAATTTATAATATTTTATAAAAGAATAATTCAAATTTCAATAAATTAAAATATATGAATTAAAAATTGACAAAAATAAAACAATTTTTTGTGATTAAAAGTCTTCATACTTTTAATTTAAAAAGAAGATAAAAATTAGTTGTATGTACTTAAACATTATATTGATAGATTTTCGAATCTGTAAATTAGCTACAGTAAGATAATTATTGGGTATCATCTCATCGGTTGCATGATTATTGTTTAATCAACAAATAATTTAACTTGAAGGAATTAGGACAAAATCAAAAAATGAAAATCAAGAATTATTTTTTTTGGCTACCTTTTTTAGGAATTAATTAAAAGAAAAAGTTTATTTCCAATCAGAAGATTTTTGAGAGATATGAATTTAAAATTTTCTAGGCTAATATTATTATAAAAAAAAGATATTTTAGAAAGCATAAAACAGATTCAAGAAGTGAGATGTAATAATTGATTTAATAAATGCTTAAATCTGCCGAACATAATTTTGCCTTAAATATAAATAAGGTTGTAATATCATTCTGAAAGAAGAAAGCAACTAAATGAAAAATTAAATTTAACCCTAAATTTTATAATTAAAATTATTTAATTTTAGAATTAATCTTTTTAAAGATAAACATCTACTATAAGCTAAAATATAATGATGAATAAGAACAGATTTAATAATATATATTTAATATTAATATATATATAATATTTATATGCGTTATTAATAAATTTCAAAAATTTAAGATCGAATAAGTTGTGATTTTTATGTTCTAATCCTTAATTTTCTTAATAAATAAAAATACTATTTTTAAAAATATTTAGGAAATAATTTAAAAAAAATCCCAGCTAAAATTAATAGATAAAATTAATCCAATATTTAGTCTAAATATTAATATCAAATAGTGCCATATAAATTATTTTTTTTTAATTTATTGCCTGAATTTAAATATTCTATTTATTAAAGCCTTTTGTTTATGATTTCAAATTGAAAATTTATCAGAATAATTGTTTTAATTCAATATTCTTATTGAATAGAAAATTAATTGGAAAGTTGAAGATTACATAGATATGTTATATATTAAATATTTGGTATTAAAGTATTAATCATCAATTAGAATGAAGGAGATTTAATATTTCATTAGTTAAAGATATATAATTGTTTATTTACACCTAAATATAAGCTAAAATTTTATTATATATTATGTGTTCAAAAATTAAAGAAATTAAATTTCATGAATGAACTTATATAAAAAAAGCGTGAAAATTTTCGAGTTGAAATAAGAAGATAATCATTGTAGAAGATATTTTGTTAAAAGAGAGTGATTAATTATGAGAAAATAAAATTTAATTGTGAATTGAATAATGAAAAAGAGGGAAAATTTCAAGAATAGAAAAATAATGAGAAAAGCTATAATAAGGATTTAGGTATTTGATTTTTGGTAATTATAATTTAGATGAAACGATTCAAGAATATTTATTTTAAATATTCAATCAAGAAAACATTTCAATATCATTTAGCATAGATTTAATCAATAAAGTTCTAAATAATTAAGATTTAAGAGAATTTTTTGAGGAAAATAAGAAATACAAAATTTAACTTTAAAGTTTCTTAGTGAAAGTATTAGATCTTTTTTAGTCATAATAAGAGAAATTAAAATATGATTAATTATTATTAACGATTATTGAGTCAGATCTTTTAAAATTATCTGATTTAAAATAAGTAAAAATAATAATATAGTATAGTCATTTACATATTGTTGTAAAGAATTCATAACAGATAGAATAACAATTGATAAAGCTTTATTTATGAGTAAAATGATGAAAAAATATTAAAATGCAAGCGAATATTTTTGGAAAGAATTAAATGAATTTCATTTCCAAAATGAATGTGCATGGTTATTAATTTTAAAATTTTTAAGAGAAAATCATCAGTAATATGCTATAAGTAAACTATTAATTTCAATGATATTAATTCTTATGTAAATAGCAAAACCTAAAATATATTAAGGAATTGTTAATAATGATTTAATTTAAACTTTGAGGTAAAATTTATATACAAATGAATCATAAGCAATAAAATCATTAGAATGTTTTAATTATATATTTTGGTAAGGAGCTAAAGAATCAAGATTTTTGCCTTTAGTAATTGATTCTTTTTTAGATATTCTTCTTAATAATCCTCATGCATCTTATCGTATTTCGATATCAATTTTGGATTGTTTTGAAATAGTTTCATAATATTAAGATTTAGATATGCCTTTAATTAATAATAATGAACTTATAAATTGTTTAATTTATATGCTTAAGGATGAAATAATGTAAGTCAATGAAGTTGTGTTAAGATTTCTAATTAGTTATTTAGGATAATGTAGTGATGAATTTATTTTAGGAATTATTGGAGATCATAATTTTTAAAATATTATTGAAGATTTAACAATGAGTTTAAATAAAAATGTTTAAAAATATGCAACAAAAATTAAATTGATTTACTTAAACTGAATATATAATTTATAAATTTATTTAATTAAGTGAAATCACAAAAAGTAGGTTTCTATTTTTCATAATTCATTATCAATAACAACATTTTTTCTATTTAATTTCATTTTTGTAGAATCATATATCAATTCAAATTTATTATTAAGGCAATCATAAACAAATTTTCTAGAAGAATAAAATTAAGGTGGAGGATATAATGGATCAATTACAAGTTTTAGTACATTATCAATTAATTATGGCATAAAACCTGTTAATAATGGACCTGTTTATTCTAAACAAGGATTTGTATTAGTTTCTATTAACCATGTATTAAATTAATCATCAATCATAAAATCTAATCCAAATAATTCAAATGTATTTTCTCTTTTTAATGGATCTAAAAGATCACCAACAGCCTTAAATTAATCTAATGCTATTTATTTCATTCTCTAATATACTTGATTAAATTTTTCTGGAGTTATGAATCTTTTGAATTCTTCAAAGGATATTTTATTACCTTTTTCAAATTTTCCATAATCTTCAGAATATTTTTACACAGCATCATTTGTTAAATGTATCATTTTATTAGATAAATTATTAAGATTGAACTCTTTAGATGATGTTCTAATATAACCATCTTAATACCAATATCCTTTCTATCTACCATTTATACCTGTAAATAGTATAAAACATCTTATATCAAATTTTCTTTAATTATATAATAATGGATTTGTTATGTATTATTGAACAATAAATGTTTTGGATAATCCATTTTTATGTTAATGATTTCCTTTTAAAAACATATTAACTTCATTAATATTCTAAAAAATTTATATTCCGTGTCCTCTATTAGTTAATTCTCCTGGTTTTACAATCCAAATCTTTTTAGTATTAAAATTATCAATAAGATAATTTTCTAAATCAAATTTGTTTTTAATATGATAAGTTAAAGGAAGAAACTCAAATACATTTAAGGAATTACTTTCATAATATTTTTTCAAATTGAGAAATAAATTCTTTTTAGAACCCAAATGAGTATTATTTTATATGTGATTATGTATTTTAGTAGTTGATGTAATTTCAAATATTCTAATATTATCACATAATTGTATGCATTAATCATAATTTAATAATTTGTTTGATTTACCAACTTGTTTTTCTTATATATTCATTTATATAACTAAATTTTTAGGAAGTAATTTAGCATAAGGATGAGAATCAGTCTAAATATCTAATTAATCTAATTATATATTGAAACTATCATTTCTATCAGTTTATTCTGAACAGGGCATAGATATAATAAAATTATCATTTCTTGCTGATTCCCATAGAAAGTTTACATTATCTTTATCTTTATCTACAACTAACCACCACCATCTTTATTTTAATAGATTCTTAACTAATTATCCATTATTGCTTTTTGATACATTTGCTTTGTAATAATTTACAGTAGATTTTATGAATATACCATTTGATACATTTATGTAATTGTAATACTATCTAATATTCGCATATTTTTCTTAAAATTCCAATTCTTAACAAAATTTTTCTCCTTCAAAATAGATTCCATCAAACTTCGGTTACTTTTTTATTGATTTACTTCTAAGTTTTGTATATTTATTAGGCAGAACTTCTGGCTAATATGATATCCTTGGTTTTAATACTCTTCTTTCAAGTGATTTTAATGTATTACCAATAAGAATACAAGAATCATCATTTTTCTCTTTTGATTAACTATTTCCTATTCTCTTTTATAAATGAGGCAATATTTATTCTGCAGAGTTATTTTACATTATTTCAGTTCTCAAGTGTTAATTTTGAGTAATTTATGGCATTAATCCATACGTTTCTCCTGGCTCTTAAAATTTAAATTTTGGAAACCTTTACTCATATCTTCTTTTCATAAAGTATTAGAAACCTTATGGAGAATGAGTTTTTCTCATTTTATTCTAAACTGCTTTAATAATTTATTATTTATAAAAAATGGATTCAAATTACCAGAAAAAAAAACTATATGCACAACTTTAATTAATAAGAAAAGTCTCATATTAATATTAAATTCATTAAACAAAAGAGTATAGAGTAACATCATTTTTTTCTTAAAGTGAAATTATCATATCCTTTTAAATTTCTAAATAATCATACTAAAAGAAAAACTGCTTATAAAAAAGGAGACTAATAAATTCAAAAAAAGGTTGTTAAACAAAATTTATCTTTGTAAAAAACTGTAAATAATATTTCATTTTAAGTCATTATAAAGAATGTTAAATAATAATTAAAATTTAATTATAAGAATATTGATAAAGGGAAAAAAAATAATAAAAAATTAATAAACTTATCTACACAAATAAAAACAAGTGTGTAGGCGCCTAAATGTAATTAATATATTGTATTAAAACAAATTTAATGATAATAATAATAATCTTATATTAATAGTTTAATTAGCAGAATGAAAAATAGGAAAAAAGTTATAATTAAAAAAAAAAAAAAGCAAATTGAAATTAATACAATATTTAAAGATTATGATTAAAAAAAGAAGAATATATATATAATTAATTTAAATAACAAAAATTTTGAGAAAATTATTAATTTAAATGAAAATGAGTAATAATAAAATGAAAATGCTAATTAATAATAAGAAGAAATGATTGTTAATAAAGAGAATTTATATATATTGTTGAGTTTATTTAGTAACTTGCCAAAGAAGGACTCTTAATACCCTCATAAAGTATATAAAAGCAAGCAACTTTATAACCTAAATAATTAGATCCATAATTACCATCATAAGTATCACCATGAGAAAAATAATAAATTCCTTTTCCAGACTTTTCACCGTCCTTCCACTCTCCTATATATTTATCTCCATTTGCCATATATAATGTTCCATTTCCTTGCCTTTTATCATTAGCCCACTCTCCTTCATATCGATCACCATTTGAAGCAATATAAGTTCCGTATCCACTTTTGACATTTTTACTATACATGCCTTCATATTTATCACCTGAAGCATATAGAAAACTTCCTTATCCTTCTCTTTCATCATTCATCCAATTGCCTTCATATCTAGATCCATCTGCCATTGTATACATTCCAAAACCATGTTTTAAACCATCATTCCATTATCCTTCATATTTATCATTATTAACATATATCATAATTCCCTAGCCTGTTGCTTTATCACTTGCGAATTAACCCTCATATCTTGCTCCAGATGCAAACTCTACTAATCCTCTACCCAATTTCAGTCCTCTTTCCCAAAGACCGTCATACTTATCTCCTAATGAATAGAGATATGTTCCTCTTCCATGCCTCTCTCCAAATTACCATTCCCCGTCATATGTTTCCCCTTATAAATAATAATTATATTTTCCTTTTCCATGTTTCAAATCATTGATCCATTCACCATTATACATATTACCATTTGCATAATAATAGATTCCAACCCCATGCTTTTTACCATTTAAAAGATGTCCCTCATATCTTTCTCCATTGTTGAATAAATAAACGCCTTCTCCGTTGAACAGATCGTTAGACCACTGTCCTATGTACCTAAAAACCATCACCAATATTATTACACATCTCCATTTGGAAATAAGTATTTTCCTACTCCTTATTTATTTTATTTCTCATTCATCTAGCCATTATAAGTAGCTTGATCTGCATATTATGCTTATCGTGCTTATTCTTCCCCTAAGAATTTTTATTCAAACGATGTTATCACTAAATGTTCAATTCAAACTAAATACATCTCTTGCGTTCCTCCATTAATTTCTCTTATATTGAGCTAGTAATATTTTAAGATGCAGTCGTTATCATCAATAAATTAATGGATAATTAAATTGAATAAAAAAAGACTTTATTCAAAGCAAGTTTAACCACCCCAATTGTATTCATTTTTTGAAGAATTAAACACTTAAAATCCAATCAGGTGTTCTAATCTCTACGAAATTCATTTTAGAAAAAGTTCAAGCCTAAATTATTTTCATGATAGATTAGAAGATCTTGAAATAAAATAAAGAAGGAATTGAAAGTGTTTAATCCAATTTCTATCTAATTATAATTATTCTTGTTTTAAAAGAGTTCTAAGTAGAAAATAAAATTGATAAAACAATCAAATGAGCATATGATTTCTGATCAATTAAATGATCGTTCTTAAGAAAAAATTTTTAATCTAATGCTGAATAAAATACTCACTATAATCTTTATTAAATTAGTATCATCGTAAAATTATTAAACCTTATTTGTTAATTTGGCTAGACTTTTAAAATAGTAAATAGTAATATATGCTAAAATTTAGATGATAAAGACTTTTTAAGTAGTCTAAGATAAAAAATGCTTATGATGAATTAAATTAACATTAAATATACGACTACGTATAATTGAGATTTATAATTGGCAAAATGCATGAATGAAATGAGGCAATTTAAAGATAATTAAATGCAACTAAAAAAAAGAAAAACAATCAAATAGTAACAATAAAATTATCATTCTGTAAACTAAAGAAATAACTTTAAATATAAAGTCTTAAATGTTCTAGACCTGTTAAATGCATAAAATAGCATAATAGTGGATACTGTTTAGTTAAATTGATAAGATAAAATTTAAATTTCGGCTTATCAATAATTTAACTAAAACTAGAGAAATATTATTCTAATACTTAAAATACAGTAATTTTAAGAAAAAAGTTAAATTTAATTACTAATATAAGATTAAAATTTTTTAGATTAATCAAATAGCTTACAAAATTCTTAAGACTGGGACCATTCCTAACAATTTGAAAGAATGGATTGAAATTTTAGAAGTTTTAATATTCATGAATTTAAATAAACGATGGAAGGTAATGATTCATTACGATTTCCTAATTCTTTAAAGAATTAATAAAAAGTTTAAAGATTCTTTGAAAAATTGATAAACTAAATATTTAATCAAGGGAAACTTCTAGAACATTTCTTTTTTTATAAGAAAAACTTAAAAAAAAATTTTTAATTTTAAAATGTAGAGGAAGAAAGCATAATTCCTTGGCATTTTACATAATCTAAATTATTTTTTATTCCTTACGTGATAAATATTTAATAAAAAATTCTTAATTCCTTATTTTATGTTATAAAAAAAATATTGTTATATATATTTAATATATCCTAGAAATCAAATCATATTTAATTATAATCATGAATCATCCAAAAACTTATTTCGCGACTCCATTATCAAAATTGGCAAAACTCTCTACTAACAACTAAATGGATGATGATGATGAACTTTTAACAATAAACTCACCTTTGACAATTATATAGTCTTGTCTTAGTAAGACTATTGTGGAGGACTTTGTAGTAAAACCATCTTACTCGAAATCGAAATAGAAGGATTGGAAGGACTAATTTGTTTGGCTCTGATATGTTTTATGTTTTATTTTTCATATATAAACACAAAATTTCACTTCAAATATCATTATATTCCAGCTTAAATGGGAGGATTGTTATAATTTATTTGTATTTTGGCATTTAAAAATATAATCATATACTAAATAATAGGAAAGTTTTCTTATTCTAAAATTTAGTTAGTGATTATTAATGCACAAATATAAAATAAATTAAAAGCAACATCTGCTTTTTGTTTAGAAAGGATTGTGTTCAGAAATAAAAGGAGACATAATGCCAATTTAAATACATGATTTAATTCAGTAATATATATTATTTTTCCAATAAATTTTCTTTCTTGTTTGATATTTAAATGGATAATTAAGTTGGGATGTATTTAATACACCAATATTATTTTTTACATAATATAATTTTAATGTAAGACAAGGAAAATGCAAAATATGTTTAATATATTTATTGTTATTTATCAACATTTTTTAGAATTGATTAGTAATTTGATGATGATATACCTTATTAGTCTAATGTAAAATATCTAAAGATGGAATAAAACATAATCGCTTTTTTAATTGCTTTTTAAATTAAATTAAAAATAAAAGGAATTCTTACTTCATATAATTTGTAATTCGAATGTAAGAGGAAAACTTAAGGAATCTAAATTTAAGAAATAGAAGTATTAAAAGGTAAATAAAAAAAACCTTTTTATATATAATTTGATGATAATTATATAATTTTATTGTGAGTTTTTTAATTCAATATAATTTATTAGTGATATTAAAGCTAATGAATACAGATAATTCTAAATTAACAATTACTCCTTTAGGGGCAGGAAATGAAGTTGGTCGTTCATGTATATTACTCTAATATTGTGATAAATAAATCATGGTAGAAGTAATTAAATATTTAGTTTGATTGTGGGATTCATATGAATAAAGAAAATAAAGGTGTTATGGCATTGCCTTATTTTAATAAGATTGATAAAATAGAAGATATAGATTTAATTCTTATAACACACTTTCATTTGGATCATTGCGGGGCTCTTCCTTATTTTCTTAAAAATTATAAGTTTAAGGGCAAAATTTATATGACAACTCCAACAAAAGAGATTTATGGATTAGTGTTAAAAGATTCAATTAAGGTTAAGAGTGAAGACTTTAGTTAAGACTTAATAAACGAATAAAGCATAGAATAATCATGAAAAAATATTGATTGCATAGATTATGATTAAGAAATCTATTATTAAGGAATAAAATTGAAATGCTACAATGCAGGACATGTATTAGGAGCTGCAATGTTTATGGTTGAAATTGATGGTGTTAGAGTACTGTATACAGGAGATTATAGTACAGAAAAAGAGAGGTATTATTTTAATCTAAGAAAATAAGACATTTGATACCTGCATAACTACCCCATGAGAAAATTCATGTGTTAATAGTAGAAGCAACTTATGGAGATACATAACACGAAACCAGAACTAAAAGAGAAGAAAATTTCTTAAAAGAAATAGTTTCAACTCTTAATAATGGAGGAAATGTATTACTTCCTGTTTTTGCAACTGGTAGATGCCATGAACTACTGATCATTTTAGATGAGTATTGGTCAAAAAATCCACAAGTTTAATAGTTCCCTATTTATAGTACTTGCACATTAGCTATAAAATGCACACACATTTTTTAAAAACATTTTAATAAATTAGAAAATAAATATCATAAGGGTGAAAACCTATTTAAATTTAATCATATAAATACAAAAAAACATTTACAAGATATTCTTAATAACCCAAAACCAAAAGTAGTTATGGCTAGTCCAGGATTGTTGTAATCAGGACATTCAAAATAAATATATGAATGTTGGTGTAAAGATGAGAAGAATTAAGTTATAATAACAGGGCCAGCAGTCTAAGGAACAATTGCTCATTAATTAATTCATAATCCAGAGCCTGATACAATATAACTGACAAATGATATTTAATTTGTGAATCATTTTATTAAATTATCAGAATAAATAATAACTTATACAAAAACTGTATCAAAATTAGACCTGCTTAAATCAGTTTCTCTGCTCATGCTGATTATCTATAAACTTCATCATTTATTGATTCCTTAAGACCATAACATGTAATTTTGGTTCATGGAACTCAACATAAATGCAGAGATTTATAAAAGAAGATTGAAATAAATTTTAAAGATATTGTGGATAAGGTTTGGGCACCAGAAAATTAAAAACAAGTTGAGCTTAGTTTTTAAAGAAGTTCAGTTACTTAAGCTGGATGTAAAGCAATAGGAGAATTAGGAAATCAGATTGAAAACTTTATTATTACATTTTAAGAAAAACATAATTAACATAAAGTAGATGAAGAAATCATAGAATCAAATGCAGATTGCACTTGCTGCACTAATGATCTTTATTTTAATGGAGTACTACTGAATACTGAACATGGCTTTATGTTAGTTGATGAAACTGATAAAGATACTTTATAATAATATGGTATAGAGTAGAATTAAATTTATAACTAAATGTATATTCCTTTATCATGTTCACTTGAGCAAGTCTATTATCATGTATAATAATTAAATCCAGAAGCTGAATTCCATCCTGATGATTGCTTAATAGTTGTTAAAGATTTAGAGATTAGAGTTCCGGTTTCAAGTGTTTTGTTGTAATTTAAATGGATTTCATCTCCGAAAACTGAGGATCTAGCAGATTCTTTAGCATTTTTTTTAAGTAATGTTAATTAAAATAATTTAAACGATGAAGAATTGTTAAAAGGTACTCACTAAATTGATATCATTAAATAGATAAATAAAAAGGATTGATAAACGTTTTATAAAAGACAGAATTTTAAATTGAGATTATTGAAAATCAACTTTATGTGAAAAATAAGAATATTGTTTTAATCTAGGTCGATTTAAATACACTAACTATAACTGCTGTTGTTGAAGAAACCTAAGAAAACAAAAATATTATCAAAAGAGCATAAAAAATTATTGAATCATATTTGAGTTCCTACTTATGATTATCGATGCTTGTAAATTTAAACATCATTATTTTAAATTATTGTTATCAATTTTGTATCATTCTAACAATTTCTATCTATTAAGACATCCAACAATTCTTATTCCAAAATTATTATAAAAATTATCTTTAAAATATTTAATAGAATTTTGTTTATTAATAGAATTAGATTTTTTGATATTTCCCTTCCAATTCAACCTCTATTAAATAAGTATAAATTAAACTACAAGTGAAGAATGTGTGATTATAACGTATATATGGCTAAAGATAGCTCAACTACATAATCATATTTAATTACTCTCTTAGATGGTACTGGGTCTATGCATAGGGAATATTTAGCTATAGTAGATGCTCATAATTATGTGTTTGACTCTTTAGGGTAACAATAAAAGAAATGTTAATGGGAAGAATCATTATACGATTTCCTTCCATTCAAAAGTGCTGGGATTGGAAATATCACTACAACATTTAGAATTATTTTTGAATAACTCTTAAATACCTAAAATCCAAAAAATATTACTATTTTATTTATTAGTGATGGTTAAGAACCCTTTGATCTCAATTAATTGTAAGGTTTAATTGAAAAAATGAAATAAAATTACTTAATCTAATTTATTAGTTTAGCAGTTGGATAATCTTTTCCTAACACAATCTCCAATATTTTAAGAAATTGCATACACAATTAAAATTCAAGTTGCCCTGCTCTTTTCGAATATAGAAGACGAGATGCACCTTATGGGGAAATTAAAGAGGAATTTATTAACATTTTTCAAAAAATTAAATAACTTTTATGCGTGAAAGCTAATCATTTTCAACTAAATCAACCTGTTTATTAAACTATAGCATCAAAAAAAACTACAATGACTGTTGCACCTGGAGAACCTTTCATTCAGGTAAATGATGGTTCTAATCAAAAAATAATTTTGGAAGGAGAAGAACTTAAACCAACAGTGAATCCTGTGGATATCTCTCAACTTATATCTAATTCAGTTTAGTAAAAAATAATTGAGACCGCAGCAAATTAAGAATCAAATTATGCATAAAGTTTTTAAGAAATGAAAACNTACTGTTATTCTATTATATAAAAGGATTTTAAAATGAAAAACTGAAATGTTTAATATCCAAAACAGAAATTTAATCATTCATATCATAAAAAAATAATTAATAATCTTTGAAGAAGAATTATTATTTACTAATCTAGATAACATTAATCAACTTGAAAGGTTTTGTAAAATAAATTTCAAATACTTAAATAAATTTATCCGAACCATTCTTGATACCTATTGCAAGATATTAATTTTAAATTTCGTATTTTAATGGTCTAATTAATTCATATCCTAATAATGTGTAATTATTAAAAATTGATATTTATTCCAAATCAAAGTAATGTTCAATAATATCATTGTTATAAAGATGTAAACCCAAAAAATAGTAAAAATCCTTTATCATTAGCTTTAAGATAATTATTTAGATATTATTAGTCTTGTAAGTGTTGTATTTTTTGTTACGAATAGCTATGATCTACTGCTGATACTAAATAAATGATGGATTGTTTTATTAATAAAAAAAAGCTTCTGTTTAATCATTTTCTATTTTGTCTTTTTCTAAAATTTCTTAATAAAATATTTAATATAAGATTTTAAACATATCTTCGTAGAAGAAAACTCGAGCAAATTTTATATTCATTATACAAGAGTCTTGATAATCTTGAGTAAATACCAACAGGAGCTCTTAAAATTGAATCATTCTTAAGACTTAGCTTTTAACTTTCATTCTTATACTATCCTATTTAATCCATTAATGCTGATAAATTTAAAAAATCTTCTCTCTTTTTGCACTTGTACGATATGATTTTAGTATGAGAATATAGTTATCATGGCCATTAAATTATATTATATTACTGAAGTATCTATGTTTATTCTAGTATAACTTGTTGAAAAACAATTTTATATATGATAGCTATTGTCTAATTTTGAAATGTAATGCGGTTATTCGTTGAAATAAAAATAATACATAAGTAAATTGTTCAAATTTTTTATTTTCTAAATCATAGGACATATTTAACTTATAGTTATTCTATCTGAAATTTTAAGCAAGGTTTCATTTTGGTAAAATTCTTTTAAATCTTATTAATTATATAATCCAGCTTTAGAATAGAGAAAATCAACTTACTTCTAACATTGGTTTTCAAAAATAATAATTTTAAATTAACCAAAAGTTTAAGGGACTACTTTTTTTACTTCTATGCAATCTACTGTTTGAATTTAAGAGCGAAATTAGCTTGAAGTTAGATAAATATATTATTTGCTGGGTTTAAGTATGTTTCTTGGAAATGAAAATTTATAAATATAAATCTATTTGCTAATTTAATCAACTTATTGAATCAAGTTAAATTTATCATAAAAAACAAAATGTGAATCATTTATTTTGATATTTTATCTAAAGTATTTATTATAAATGACAAGAAGTTCATTTTAATATTAAACAAAAAGTGCTTCATAAAATAATTAAATATCAAGAGGAGTACCTTCGAATTCATCAGAAAATGATTCCTATTAAATTTTAGTCTTATTACTTGATTAAAGATGGATTATATTTAAAACTATTTAACAATATTATCCAAATATGATCTCTCTAAATTTAACATCTTATTCGTAAAATTATAAATAATTCTAAACTACTTGTTGATCATCAATAATCAACTCAAAGTATCCATTTTCAATTATTAGATAAAGCCCAATTTGAGAGTATTTTTATTAATTGCAAAATTACACATTATAAATATTTGTTTCAGATACATTGACAAAATTTTGAAAAGAATATTTATTTAAGATATCCGATATTAGATAATCCTTAATTGATACAATTCCCCAAAATGAACATTAGTAAAAAGCGATGAAAAAATAATTTAAGTCTTTTTGGAAGTATTTTTTTCTACATTTATCATCTAATTAATATATTATTTGAAATTCATATTTTAAAGACTCATTATTCTCAATATTTATACTGTGTATTTTCAAGTAATTGTTGTCAAAACAAAAGATAAGAAATTCTACAAAATTTTGATGAAAGAATTCTTCGCCAACTTCGGCTTAATCTATAGGTAAATTTACTGTAAAAGAATTAGAAAAATCAAATTATTCATTCCCATCTCCATAAAAATTTATATCTCTTATACAATTGATAAAATAATCCTAATGTTTTATCAATTAGCAAAATAGTTTCCCAAATTTAGACCCAATATTAATTGATTCAATAATTAATGATGAAATCAATCTCCCTTCAAACCTATTTGGAATTTTAACTATTTCTGTAATTAAGCTATAATTATTTTATCCAACATTTTAAAAGTCTTTCTAAGAACTTTCGAATAATAATTGATTCGATTGAAATATTACTTCATTTGGTTCAATTTAAACTAATTAACAGGCGTTTTTTGACGCCTAAAGAATACCCATAAGGTACCCAAAAATCACGGTTAATATTATTTATAATTACATTATACAAATTTAATACTTCAAAAATAATAGAAAATATAATCTTATAAATTATCTTAAAATTTCTTTATAAAATTTTTTTCCAGCAAAGATTCAAGTAATACGATTATCTTCTTAATAGTTCATAATAAATTTTATTTATTTTATAAAATATGTAACATTGAATTAAAACTTGAATCTTAATAAGAAAGTAAAGTTATTATTCATTCAATTCACAAAATTATAGTGTATTACTTTTTTTAATACAAATTATCATTTCAAATTTACATGGAAAAAATGTTGAAGATCTGCAAAATAAAATTATGAAAATATTCAAATAGAAGTTTTTTTAAAGATTTTATTATTTGAAACTTTTAGAAAGTTTGATTATTATTAGTTTAAATTGTATAATTTATTTTAATGATCATATACTCATGGTATCAAATACTATAAATTTTTGTTGTTTATCCAATCTAGCTTTCTTATTTCTAATTTAAATAATAATAAGTAACAAGCATACTGACTATATTAAAACAATAATAATTTTGAAATTGCGATTAGACTTTGTAATGTGTATCTGTAAATAAACCTTTTCTTCTGATATTTCATTTTATGCAACCAATTCTAAATCATATTTAAACTAATCAAAATTTTCCAATTTTATTTTATATCCTATAGTTCCTAAATAGTAACCTGAATCGTTTTAGAAAATGAAATGCGTAGTATTCAAACTTTTAACCAACCATGTTTATTTTGATTAATAAAAATAGTCATAAAATGATTTATCTTATCTAAGATCATAAAACTGATATAAGATAGGTTGAATCTATTATAATACTAAAATATTATTATCTATGAAATTTAGAATAAATTTTTGATCTCTAAAGCCCTTTATAAGTTTATTCCTAATTTAATTTAGCAGTTCAAATTTTACTGAATTTTTCAATAGATCTAACTCTAGATGAAAAATATAGGAATAGTATTCGTCAACAATCAAAAGTTAAATATCAACAATTTCTTCATTTTTAATACATGAGATTAGGTGTGTTGTTAATCTTTCATAATTACTATTTATCATATTAATTTCATTAATAAGTTACTGAGTTAAAATTTATGAATATATCAATTCTTTTTAAGTCATATTTATTGAATAAATGATTAATTCTAAACCTGTAGAATTATAGTCATTATCAATTAGTACCACATATAGATCTTTTGATTTCTCAATATAAAAAATTTCAATTATATTACCTGGTATTTATAATAAAGTAAAATTAAGATCTGTAATATTTGAAATTGATCGTTAAGACTAGATATTACTTAACATTTTAAAATAAACTCATCTGAACATTCAATTAAGTCAATATATAGTTGATAATTAGAATTTACAAAAAAAACATAGTAATTCTATTTAACCCAAATTATCTAAAAATGTGATTTTTATTATTTAGTCAAAAAAAGTTCTAACTTATCATTTACTTTATGTTACAAAATAACAATCTAGAGATGATATTTGTCTCCACTTATTAAATATGATTTTATACAAAAGTATGTGTTTAACTACCACAATCTTATAATTTCTTGTTCAAAAAAGGCCCATATAAGTTTATACTCGAATTTGACAAAAGTTTCAAATTATTAATTGGACCTAAAAAGAAATCAGATGAATTTAATGCTAAATTTTAGTTTTATTAAATTTAAATTAGGAATAAATTTTAAAGAGGAATTAACTTATAGCATTAATTTATCATAAGAACTTGAATCTCAAGATATTCCTGTTCTTATTTAGAATATATAATTTTAGAAACTAGTGTTGATAAGCTATTCTATCTTGGTGTTTATTACTCTATTTCAAAAATAGAGTTATCTAAAAAGAAAGTACTCCATTATTTATTCTAATAATACAACAGCGAATTTTCAGTGAAAATAAACTATGATTCATCAGTTGGCATAATTTTGATTAATTTGAAAGAGGAAAAATTAAAGCAAAATATGGCTATATAAAGTGAATTGTTTTATTCTAATAAGATTGCGAGATTTTTATAGTTAACTTTGTACTTGTATGGATAAATGAATTGATAATCTTGGAAGGTATAATTGTATAATTGGAGTATAGCAATTTTATCAAATAGTTGAATACTAATCGATTAAGTGAGATTATGTAATACAATTAATTAATAACAATTAGAATAAATTTTATTAGCTTGAAAAGAAATGATTAACCCTTACTAAAAATCAAAACATCTTATTTTTCTTTATTCTTCAAGAATCACTAAAACACCTTAATATTAAATAATTGATAAATTTTGAAGATCAAAGTAAAATAGAATGGGTTCAGGTTAATAAATTAGTTTCGAAAGGTAACCTCTAATTAAAGGTTAATAAGGATTCTTAAGTAAAACCATAGGCAGGCAACTTCATATTTTGAATGTATAAAAATACATATTTGGAAATCATTTAGGCATCCATAATTGATCCCTCTAATTTTATATTAGAGTGATATTATTATCCAGAATTCAATTCAATTAATCTTAATATTTGCTGATTATATTTATTTACTATATAAAAAATTCCATTGTATTCAAGTACATTAAATTATTACCTGTCTATTGTAATCAATAATTTACTTTGTTTGCAATCATATATAAAAAAATGTTTCATTTTGGAAACTTATATATTCTTAAACTTTTATTTATGTCAACTCAATTTTGCCTAAAAAGAGAAATTATGATATTTTTGATAAACATGAATCTATGAATTTTTGATGATTCTTGATACTAGCGCTAATAATATTACTCTCATTATTATAAATCTTAATAGAACTATTTTGAAAGGATTATATTTGATCTGAACTTAAGATACTTTATAATTTATTCTAGCAATTATTTGTAATAATTATCGTTTGTGAAATTTTTTTATTTTACTCTTATGTATCATTATTATATAATATTCTTTAGCATTTTCTTAAAGGATTATTTTCAAATAATTCTTTTAAATAAATGGAGTGTAAATACTTCTATTTAGGTTATATTAAAGGACTTAAGGGGTAATATCTATAAAATTGTATAGCCTTGTTTATTATATCATATTGACAAAATATGTTATCATATTCAAAAAAATGTAGTGAAGTGTTTAAAATTTAATAAGTTTAATTCAAATGAGCAGTGATAAGGACACTTAATTCACATTAGTTCTATAATAAAATAAGATTAGAATGAAAGTGAATATGATCGTTAGAATATTTTTAATTTATAGTAATTTTTGAATGCTTTGTTGTATTGTTTAAATCTTACATACTATTTTCTTAGTAGATGACTAAAATGATATGACTAGTTTCCTTTTAGACTAGTATTTTTTGTATAACTTTAGAGGGCTCATCTTTAAAATAACTAGTAAAAATTATCAGAGATATCTAATTAAAATATATTTAAAGATAAGAAGCTTCTTGTGTCAAATAGATATAATATAAATTTTCATTATATTAAGAAAAAGTAATATCGTCGATGTATGAAAAGTTTTATTGTTGGAATTCTAATTATATCATTGAATAATTAGATAGAGTTATAATTTGTGTATTGTTTATTAAGTAGATTGTCCAATTTGAACATTGGTAAAATACAATAATATGTTTATCCTCATTTAGTTTCAACTACTTTTTTTTGCAACCATTTTTAATTTGAGCTGAAACATTATACTCTAAACTTAAGCTCACATTTCCTTAAAGTTGTAGGGTATATTTTTTTAAATTAAATTAACTTAAGCAAAATAAACTTAAACTTTCATCTTCATTCTCATACATTTCATTGCAAAATTCATTATATTAAATTTTCGTTTCCAATCTAAGCTTCTCATTATAATTATTTTATTAATCATAAAAAACTAATTCAAAACTCTTACATAATATATAATATTCCAAATTTAGAATCAATGAGCATATCATCTTTTCTTATATTTTTTTTTTATCTATAGAATTAATTATTCTTATTAAAATAGGTTCTTTTTCAAAAGGAATTGTAAATGACTTTTAAATTATTTGATTGTCAATATGCCTTAATTCTAAAAAGTTATCCTCATTTCCTTCTAAGATTAAACAATTTAAAAAGAGTTAACAGCTTATTACAGGTTCCATTTTATAATCTTCACAAGGTATTAAAGTTGAATTCAAATAATAAACAAGGAGCCATGAAAATATCAATAAAATTTCCATATTATATTAATAAAAATAAATTATGAAAATAGTATTTCTATTTCAAGGATTATATATACATAAGATCTGCATTCTTTTACCTTACAATCCCATTTTTTCTATACTAAAGAATTAGCAAAGAGCCAACTTTTAGACTACGTACTCAAAAAAATGATAGTCTAGAAATTGTGGAGCTGTTGCATATTATTTTGTGGAATAATATATTTCCATTTAAATTCAATAAAATACTTAATTTTTATAATTAACTAGGTTCGTAAAATAATAATTATACTAAAACACTGAAGAATTTTTTACTAATATTTATTATTTTCCACCTTAAATCCAACAAACCCTAAATTAAGAAGTATAATTATATTTTTCGTAGCCATTCTTTCTTAAAATAAATTGCATCTATATCTAGTTTAATATTGATAGAATTTAAAAAAAGATATAAACTCTTATTCAAAAGTTAAAATGATTATTATTTTAACAAGCAAAGCATTGTTTTTAGAACACATTAATTGTTTTAAAGCTTTTATGTTAAATTTTTATTGCATTAGAAATTCTATTGTTTAATTAGTGCTAAAATTGATAATATAAAATATTAATTATAATATAATATCTAATTTTGTTTATGATGTATTATTTCAATAATAATAATACGAATTATGATAAATTCAGATTCAAAAATTTAAATATTTTATAATTCATTCTTATTTCTAAAAACTAATAATGCAAATAGATTCAAGAAAGGGATAAAACAAGTAAAAATTTATCTTTTATAAGTTAAAAAGAAACTTACCTTAACTTTAGTAATAGCCTAACATAAAGTTTCGATTCATTCTAATAGGCCACTACAATCCTATTATCTAAAAAAGTTGAAAAAATTAAACTCCTATATTCTTTAATTATAAATTAATTAGCAGCCATATTTATAACATTTATTTTAGTATACAGAAACTACTACTCTGAAGAAATTTTTCATTTTTTTACTTTTTTAGCAATCTTGCTATTCTCAATATTTGGATGTACTTTATATTAATTAAAATTAATTTTTGATGCTGAATAGAGATTTAAAAATAATTCTTAGGAATATGAATTAAATTAGAAGATCTATGAATGCACTATTAAATTTGTTTATTTCTTTACCAATCAAAAAAGTTTTACTACTATTAAAATGATATATATATATAATTCAATAGCAATTTTACTTTTGTTGTAAAAATTTTGCATGATTTATTAATAAGATAACTTACAGAACTAAAAAAATATAGGGATATCACATTTAATACTTTAAATGATTGATTATCCACTACTCAGCGCTTTATATATATTAAGTTCGATAATAGCTTTTACTTTCATATTTTTTGAAATTTTAAAATTAATTTATTTTTTTATCTTAGTTTATAATGATAGTTCCAATTTCAATGATTAGTACAGAAATTCAAATCTAAGTATTTATATTAAAAATAATAAATTTAGAAACTTCAAATACAATAGCCAAAGCTAAGAAATTTTGCTTATTATCAATTTTTTATTATCTAAACAAATTGGTATTTTTATTTATGATGATAAATTCTACTCCAAATTACACTTCTTAAATTTTAATTGGATCAAATATATTTTATCATTTGCTTATGGTTCTATTTGAGCTATTCTTGTTTTCATAAATTTTTAATATTGATTCAACAATAAGAGATACACAAACTCCTATACAAAATAATATATACTTTGATGATCATGTAATTTTTATTAATTCATTGTTAAGAATCAAAAATTTAAGAAATAAACTATTTCAATTTTTTCTTGTAATAAGTGTAATTTTTACAATTCATGGGTGTATTATTTTCAATAGTAGTAGAATTAATGGGATATATAGTAGTTTTTTATATAATACCTTTATTTGGTTTGATTGTGGTATATTTTAGTTAATTATTCTTGTGAATCTGATTTTTAAATTTATTATTATACAATTTTTTCAAAATTAAAGTTTTAAAGATTATTTTGAAAATTAAGTATATGTTTTACAGGATCAATAATTTATCTCAACAGATTAATAATCAATTTAAATATCCCATTTACAATCCCCAATTTCTATTAATCTGATTGAAAATAACTGTAGAATTAAGGAAGAGAATAAAAATAGAAATGACATAAACTAATTTCCTTAACGAATCTTAGAAATTATTTAATTCACAGTGGGAACTTGTAAAATATAACTATTGATTGTATAATTTGTTTAGAATAAATTACTCATGGTTAAAACTCTATAGTTTAATTAAAATGTCATAGTTCACATATTTTCCATGAAAAATGCATAAAAGATTGGCTAAAATAAAATAATAAGTGTCCACTTTGTAACTCAATATTTTTAATATAATGAAAATATGATTTCTTATAAATTTTATAGAATATTTATTATTTTAATAATTACATAATTAAATTTTTCAATTTGAATTCCTGAAGACCCGAGAAAGCTATCATCAATCATTGAGATTTTGAGGGTAGTATATTCAGTTACCCTAAAATTAACTAAAAATTCATTAATGAAACAAACTCTCTAATAAATATTTCAAGATACTAATAAAAACTATTATTTAAATATTTACATTATTTATAAATTTATTTTTTTATTTAAGTTTACAGTTATATAACAAAATTATTTTATAAATTAGAAAATGACAATTGCTTTTTTTGATTATCACAAATCATATTAAAAGTTTCATTATTCTAAATAATTTGTAGAGATGAAGGTAATAAATCATTATTTCCTTTTACTTCAAACCACCTAAAATAATATCTGTATATAGAATGAAGTTAAAACTGAAGAACCCCTATGATCACAATGATTATAATAATATTTTAAATTTAAGTAACTAACATTCTCAGTGTCATTGCAAACAAAAATTTCTTCTTAATGTTTTCACTTTGATTAAATTTGATGGAAATAGCGATTTAACTTTTATATCGACCTAAATTAGAACATCCAATTATGTACTTGTGTTAAAAGTCTGTTTTTAGTTTATGAAAAAATTCTTAAAATAAAAATTGATACTCAAAAGTTAGGTTTTAATCAGATATAAAGAATTAACTGAAATTTTCTTAGAAATTTACTAATTTTATCAAATTAAATCATTAAGTTGATCAAGTTCAATTAGCCAAAGCGATTACAAAATTTTATAATTTCACTTCATCAACTTTTCTACCTTCACACTAGATAATTATGGCTATTTAGTTAATAATTCTTACTAATTTCCATTTAATCAAATTATCTACCTCCAATGTTTTCTAACAACTTAATCTGAAAATGAGTGATTTTTAATCAGAATTTCTACTTAAAAAAGTTTACATTTAAATTCTTAAAACCACATTCTATATGAATTCTCTACATTATCCAAAGAAGCTTTAAAGAATACAAGAAGGCTTGAAAATATTTTTAGAGAAACCATCTCTTTTAGAAACATTAAAATGCATGGAAAGATCAGATTTACAATATTGAAGCTGAAAGAACTTGTAAATAAATGTTGAAATTCATTAATATATTGAATAAAAATAGAGGAAGAATCTGATCTGATATAGAACTTAAAGTAAATGTCTTCAAACTAACAAAATAAAATCCAATGAAGCTTAAATACTTCTACAGTTTAAAATATCAAAAAGAACCAATTTTGAAATGATTCTCAAAAGGATTGAATGTGTATCTCAAAATGAAAGATATATCTAATTATATTACTTAAGTGTCTTAACATTTAAAGTTTGATTTTATAAGTCAATTTTTAATAATAAGTTAAAAATCATTTATTGTTAATCGATTTTTTTTCGATTCAATTAATTTAAATTAGAATTTATTTGAAAATAATCTCCAAATAAATTCAAATTTAATCATTTGATGAAATTACTTCTTGATGATTGAATTTAATTAATAAATATTGCTAAAAGATGAACTAATATCTCAACTAATTTATTGTAAACTGAAAATACTGTAGAATTATTAAGATATATTAAATTGCATTAAAAAAGCAGCTCTAAATTCTGGCAATTCATATATCCCAAATCTTCATTTAATTTCTTTTTCTATTTCCAAAACAATAAGGGTTTCTTTTCCCCTCAAGTTTATATTTTATTCTCAAGAAGCTTGCAAACTAGTAAATTTATTTATAAATAATCGGTTTCTTAGGTAATTATCCCATACATGCCTAAGTTTTTTTTTCTACTAACTACAATTATTACCTAAATTACTAAAATTTATTGATAGAAAGAAAATTTAAAGTCAATATCTCTATAGCGGAGATCAAAATTCGGCTGTTATTAGAATTAAAAAAGAATGATATACCTGAGGATAAAGTGATTATTATCTTTTTGGTCATGGAATGTTATTGGATGAGATGGAACATAAAAATATAGAAATCTTATAAGACCTTTATTTTTTAGATGTTTCATAGGGTACTATCTCTCCATTATGTATTTTAAATGAAGGATTTGTCTATGCTTGGAGGAGTATCAAAAAAGTAGAATAGTCAGAGAATCTTGAGAAATCTAAAAAGTATAATTTTTTAAATTGAAAAAGGAGGAATAATATGTGATGAAAGATGAAAAATTAATTACTTTTGAATAAATTCCTTTAATGAAAATAGTCTTACAACAAACTGTTGAATAAAGTCATGAATGTAAATATAAGTTTGTAGTATTAGGAATAAAGAAAACTTACATTACTGATTATACATGTCATTCTTATGATGTTTTATATCTTATACCTATCAAATTCCTCTCTTTATTATAAAACATTAGAAATTTTTATTCATGAGCAATTAAGCTATTTCTTATTAATTAAACTGTCTCCTCCCAATTCTTATAAATGATCCCTTTTTTAATTCAAATACAAAGAGTCTATCTATTTCTTTACTACCACTACCCAAATAAACTAATAGTAATTAATAAATTTAACTTTTAACCCATATCTTAAATTGATTAGGAAAAGACTAATTGATTACTTAACATAATTCTTAATATCTATAATTATTATATTATTTAAAGAAATAATTAATTTTCTTCATGTCATATATATCATCAATGAGAACATAGTATTAAAATTGAAGATTAACGTATTATTTCTTTCCCAAATAATGATCTAAGACTTGTCCTTGGCAGCTAATTTTCTGATGGGTTTAAACTTAGCGTCACAAATTCTTTATTATGTTTTTCTAATGAATAAAGACAAATTAATTAATTCAAATTACATTCAATCTGCCATACAATATTTGATTAATCGCAACTTCCGGAAAAGAGCAAAGGTTCGAATTCATTATAATAAACATTATTATGTTATTAATTAGATTATGAAATTTTTCACTCATTTATTTTCTTTCTTTGCAACAACTTAATTTTTAATCACTCAAACTGTTTCTTAATATAATTTAGACATTAGATCTAATGACTAAGTCCTTAAAGTATCTGCTAAAACTTAAGAGTTGCATTTATGAAACTCCATACCATATGTAATTCTCTTCAGATGATACCATAATTCACCCAGAAGAATCAAAAGCTACAGCTCTAAATTTACAAGTTACTAAACAGATTAATCAATTAACATAAACTGGTTACATTTACTTAAAGCTACTATTGGTATTTTTATTATAATAATGTTATTAAGATCTATATAGCTATACATTATAATAAAAGATCATCAATTATTTCTTTCAATACTGATTAAAATAATTTACTTGAATTAAATAAAGTTAATTATTCTTAAAACAATTAACAAAAACCTATAAAAATAGAAATTGATAAAATTGCTACTTGATAGGCTTAAAAGGAATTTATTTTTGAGAATTTAGATTTAAACCAAATTTAAAACTCTGTTATTAAATGAACCTCAATCTATCATTAGTTATTAATCTAGTTTACATGATGGTAGAACCAGAAAAGAATTGTTATAAAATTAGAATCTCAAAATACTGACATCCAAATAAACTATTTAAATAGATTTAAATTAATTTGAAGTTAAATTTTAATACAGAAATCTTAAATAATTAAACTGACTTATGAGTTTTTATTATTTATTTATATCTAATAGTACTACTAAATTTAATTCTAACTTTTCTATATAGACAGAGCAAAATTAATTTCAGTTCAACAATAAAAGCAAAATGCAGGTAATTATTAAGTATAAATTAATCTAACTTAAAAAAAGCTTTTCTATCTAAAGTAAGGGAATAATTGCAGTTTTATTTCTAAAGTTTCATTCTCAATAAATCGGAAAAAGTAAAGTTGAAGTAAATAACTTTATCGAAATTTAATAGATTTAATGCTCCTGTTTCGGTTCCTCTAATTTAATTTCGTATCTTTTAATTACTTAAAATTTATAACTAATGAGAGTGTAAAATTCTTTGTTAAGAAAGGAAAATTGTCGACAGATATAACTTCTTAGTTATTATAGCTACTTTTATTAATAAAATATATATTAATTTTTAGAATAAAATATATTGAAAATTGAGTTAATTTCTTAAGATGCAATTTAGTGTTATGAAAAAGGCATCTTAATCAATTCTAATAATGATATGACATGGAACAACATGGGTTTTAACTCCTCAGAAGTATTATTATTTAGGTCTTGCATTATCAATTAATTCAGTTAATTAAAAGCTGTGAATAAATTGAATATATTTTAAGATGCAATTCAATGTTGCGATAGTATTATCAAAACTAATTGTTACAATAATAAGACATCGAGTAACAAGAACAAAAATGCACTTTAATAAAGGTTATTCTCTATTTGAAATTATTTTAAATAAATTGCTACATAAATTATAATAATATTAAGCTTGTTTTAATCAGGTTGTTTCTTTCAAAATCACTCCTTTAAAATTGTAAAGAAAGGTACATCATTATTTAAATTTAATTAAGCTGATTCACTAAAGAGAAATTTTAATTGTATTTGAATTAAAATTCCGAAGCCAGAAAATGCTATTTAGATGCATATAATGAAGGATTTAACAATAAGAGCTATATATCGAAGTAATTATCAAATTATGAGTAATTATCAGTATATTAAAGTTCACCTAATTTATCAAATATAAAATCACTAATTTTAATAAAATTTTTGGAACATTTTTTGAAAATAATTAGGAATCAATAATACATTTTTGTAAAAGAAGATCAAAATTGATTAGTCTTGCCCATTGCCCAGGGTTTTAAATTTTCTTAGATCTCAAAAATCAAAAATAAATTGAAAAATACTCTTAAATTTTTGAAGAAACTAAATTCAAGATTTTTAAGACTTACAAGCTATTTGGGAAAACTTATAATAAATACAGATGAAGTATAAATCATAATAAAAATTATTTACAATAGTCCTTTTTAAATTTTAGTATTAATAAATATCTATTTAGAATAGATAAGGGGAATTTCAATCTAATCAAGCTGATTAAATTAAAAGAACCAAATTATTGACTGACTCTTACAAAACGATTTATTGATTTGAATCTCTTGTTAATTCTTTTCCACTATTAAAACAAGATTTTTATTTTAATTAGAACCCTTCTTTGTATTTTAAGATTCTTAATTTCAGCTATTGTCATTCTGTAAATATTCCAGCCTATTGTTGATAAATTAAAAAAAAAATGTATTAAAGACTCAATTTGGAACACCTCTAAATCTTTATTGCTTCCTTAGTGATAAAAGTATCTTTAAAGTAGAATTTACTGTTATATGACTAAAAGTCTCTAAAAAGAGTCTATCTCTATATAATTTTAATTCTTAATTCTTATTAAATATTTTTAAAAACTTTGGAGACTTTTTCTATAATCTTCCTCTCTTATAATACATACCCAATATTGTTTTATTATTTTATATTAGTTAAGAAATCAAATTAATAATTTCTGAAAACAGTACTAAAGTTTAAATTAAATGATATTGATTTTCTATATTAAATATCTTTATTGATAGATGAAATCTAACATCTCTACTTTTAATTTTGAAGATTGTACCCATTTTGCAATTAAATTCTTGTTAAAATAAAATAAATACTTATAATTACCATCAAGACTTTCAAAACTTAATTCTTAATAAATGCCTTACATTATTCCAAGAATTTAAATACACAGCAGCGTATAACATCTTGTTTCTCATTTTAATATAAATAAAGATAAACCTTTTTTAATGCTTAAAATATTTTCGTGATGTAAAGTAGCTTAAACCTCTGAATTATCAATAAAGGACTAAAATATCTATAAATCCTTAAATATCTACTTTTAATTATTTGATAAATTTGATGGCATCCATTTTGAGAATAGCTCTAATTGATTGTTGGAAGAATTATCTTGATGCTTTTTATTTGAGATTTTTTTCCTGAATATGTGTTAAGGATATCATTTCAAGTTATAGATAGTATGTTTAACTAATAGTTTAATCACTCGTCTTAATCATCATTTTATTACTTTGCTTTAATTTCTTTTACAATTAAAGAATTAAATTTGTTTTTTAATTCATGATAATATGGGCTAAGCATAACTAAAATTTTGTTCTATAATTTTGCAATTANAACCAAATTATTGACTGACTCTTACAAAACGATTTATTGATTTGAATCTCTTGTTAATTCTTTTCCACTATTAAAACAAGATTTTTATTTTAATTAGAACCCTTCTTTGTATTTTAAGATTCTTAATTTCAGCTATTGTCATTCTGTAAATATTCCAGCCTATTGTTGATAAATTAAAAAAAAAATGTATTAAAGACTCAATTTGGAACACCTCTAAATCTTTATTGCTTCCTTAGTGATAAAAGTATCTTTAAAGTAGAATTTACTGTTATATGACTAAAAGTCTCTAAAAAGAGTCTATCTCTATATAATTTTAATTCTTAATTCTTATTAAATATTTTTAAAAACTTTGGAGACTTTTTCTATAATCTTCCTCTCTTATAATACATACCCAATATTGTTTTATTATTTTATATTAGTTAAGAAATCAAATTAATAATTTCTGAAAACAGTACTAAAGTTTAAATTAAATGATATTGATTTTCTATATTAAATATCTTTATTGATAGATGAAATCTAACATCTCTACTTTTAATTTTGAAGATTGTACCCATTTTGCAATTAAATTCTTGTTAAAATAAAATAAATACTTATAATTACCATCAAGACTTTCAAAACTTAATTCTTAATAAATGCCTTACATTATTCCAAGAATTTAAATACACAGCAGCGTATAACATCTTGTTTCTCATTTTAATATAAATAAAGATAAACCTTTTTTAATGCTTAAAATATTTTCGTGATGTAAAGTAGCTTAAACCTCTGAATTATCAATAAAGGACTAAAATATCTATAAATCCTTAAATATCTACTTTTAATTATTTGATAAATTTGATGGCATCCATTTTGAGAATAGCTCTAATTGATTGTTGGAAGAATTATCTTGATGCTTTTTATTTGAGATTTTTTTCCTGAATATGTGTTAAGGATATCATTTCAAGTTATAGATAGTATGTTTAACTAATAGTTTAATCACTCGTCTTAATCATCATTTTATTACTTTGCTTTAATTTCTTTTACAATTAAAGAATTAAATTTGTTTTTTAATTCATGATAATATGGGCTAAGCATAACTAAAATTTTGTTCTATAATTTTGCAATTACAATAAAGCGTTCTTAAGATATTAAAAATATGAATTCAAATCATTTTTGAAATGATCAAATTTATGATGTCTATTTTAGTGCCAACCATTTCATCTTTTTAAAATAAGAAATTTCAATTAAATCTAGAGACTTATAATTAAAAGAATTTTGAGGTTAGTCAATAGAGTAAATTAAATTTTAAATATAATTTTAACTTCGTTAGAATCAAGCTTCAAAAACGGTTTCCTTTAATAAGGAATATTTTTTAAAAGATTTATGGATTGTGAATCTAGTTTGAAGACGTTTTGATATTGTTCCGAAAAACTCCAGAATAATTCAATATAAATTTAATCACTACTTATCATTACATCATTTAATTAATGTAGTACCTCTTACTCAAAAATCAGGGATTTATTAAATGATGAAAGATCCCTGCAACATATCTCTTCTCAGTAATTACAGGGTTTTTTTACTACTTTAAACTTAGGACAATAGTACAATGAGTATTAGGCTCCACATTTAGCCATACAAGAATTTTCCCAGGTTTTAACAAGCTTTGCTAATAGGATGTAAATTTTAATCTTATTCAAAATTATTCAACTTTACGAAAAATTAGATAACTCTTTTGTTCTAATTATAATTTATTTAATTAATTTATTAACTATTTTAAAACTTATTTCTGAATGCATGAATTATTTTTTAAATAACATATTGAATTTCTCTTGATTAATAAATTAATATGTAATCTTTCTAATTTAAAGACTTATTTAGGATATTATTTTATGTATGCAATTGCTTAAATAAGAAAAAATTTTTGGATGAAGATAAAACAATAATTGTTAAAAACATTTGAGATTAAGTCTATAATCCAAAAAAATTCAGATTTAATGTAGTTATATTCCTAAAGTTATAAAAAAATTATATATATAAAAATGCTAAAAAATTTCTCAATTAAATCATTAAAATACTGATGTCAAGACAGAACTCAATCATAATCATATTTAGAAAAATATCTAGTTTCAAAATAAGCTTAATGAGGGAGAATTGAAGAACCTTTTTATGATATAATCTAAATTCTGATGCTATTTAGAGATATTTCAATGATTTATTAGAAAACGCAAATAAATGCAAGGTATTGTTAAAGTATTAATAAACTACTCTATTCAATTTTATAATTATTTAATTCTTTAACTGCTCAACCTAAAAGAATTTTAAAAATTATTTTCCTCTTGAATTATTCACTAAAATATATATAATTTAAAATGCAGCAGTAATCAAGGATATTTTATTATTAATAATGTAAGGAGAGAATACAAATATCTTATATAGTTTCTCAATTACAAGGATAAGGACTTTAAAAAAAAGCTATATTGTTTAAATTAAGCAATATCTTTGAATACATCTGATATCTACTTTTATGGCTTACTAAGAATCTCAAATAGTATGGCTCTAATTGACCATTTGTTTTTTTATATGATTTTTTAACATTATATGATTCATCTTAAGAATTTAATTTTTATATTCTACATTTAAATCTATGTTATCCTTCAACATTTTATTGATTTGTATATAATGAATCTTCAGAAATATCTGAATCATTACAATATTATTATATTGTAAATGTTAATGTTTAAATAATTCTAAGATTCAACAGAATCATCATAATGCTGATATTACGATAACTATTTTATTAAAAAGTATAGTATTTATTTATAATAGTAAGTTTAGTTGATATGAATATTTATTAATTAATTTAATTTTTAACGAATGTATTATCCAACTTGTTAACCATATTAATAATGTCATATTCCTTTAACTTAATGTGTGACATAATAATAATGCTTGGTATAGACCACTTAACCTGATATTAATGGAGCTATTATTAATGAGAGAGAATAATTGAGAATGTAATTGATGGAATTGGAGGATAGATATCATATTGATATTGAAGAATTAAAAATTAATCTACTATCAGAGAGTGAAAGAATTTTAGTAAAATATTATTCATAATTTAATAGTAAAAATCTTTAAATGAATTGGTTCAATAATATGAACCATAAATTAGCTAAAAAGATTCTTAAATAAATGCATTGACATAAAAATTATAAGCAGCAGAACATACATTACAATAAGTTTAAGCAGAAAATTAAAAATTAAAAGAAGTGGTATTCAAAAAAAAGGATAAAATTAAATATTATAAATAAGAAATGGAAAATTAAAATAACTTTCATATTTAGAAATTAAATGAATAAGAATAATTTTGGAGAGAAAGATTGAATAAAGAATTAGTAATATAATATTATTATTTTAGAATTAATAAAAATAAATATTGCTTTAAGAATTTTAATTTGAAAAGAAATCTTTGGAAGATCAAATTTATAAATTAAAAATTCAATTAGCTCAATTTGATGAAAAATATCAACAAATTTTATTTGAATTAGAAGTATATAATATATTAATTAATTAAATAGAAAATAAAACAATAATTATAAGAGAAAACTTATGAATGTGAAGAATGGAAATCAAAATGTAAGAGATTAGAACACATGGAATCAATTAAACCTTAAATAATAGATCATTCACCATCTAGAGATAGAATATTAGAATAAAGAATTGAATAATTAGAGAGAGAAATTAGAATAAAAGATGCAAAATTGGCAAAGAAGAAGGATAAAGTTTAAACAGTTATTTAACATGTTCCATAATAAGTGATTGTAGAAAAACCTATTGAAAGAATTATAGAAATTGAAAAGATTGTTCCAGTTGAAAGAATAATAAGAGAAAGAGTACCTGCTAGATAACCAATTGTTGTTTAATAAAATGTTTAAAAGAAGATAGAAAGCGAATCTGAAGATGAAGAATTAATTGAAGAAATTAGAATTTTAAAAAGAAAGATTGTAGAATTATAATAAGTAATTACTAATCTTAAAATTTAATTGGAAGACTCTTAAAATGAAAGAGATGATTTGTATTTAATATTATTATAAATAGATAACGTAATTATGAGATTCTCTTAGCTAAAGTAAAATAACTTGAAGATTTGTTACGTAGTAGAAATAGAGAGCTTTAAGATAAAGTTAGTTCCTTATAACATGTAAAAAAAGATGAAGATAAAATTATTGTTCATGTCAATTAAGGTAAAAATAAAACTAGTCATGTTGTCAAAAGATGAATATTTATGTATTTAAACTATTATTGTTTCATTTATGAATAAATCCTTCTCTAATAAATCTTGCTCTTATATTTTTTTAATTATTCAAAACTTCATTTGAATAATATCTATGAATATATTTTAGTGCCTATTTATAATTTATTTTTAATTTTTTAACTAAGATAAGTTCAATAAATAATGCATATAAAGTAGAAGTAAAAAATATCATTAAACAACTAATCATTAACATATATATTACATTAAAAGTATATCTAAATACATTTCATCATCTGCATATATAAAGTACTAGTCACACCATATCTTTAGAGTTAATTGTTCAATTTCATAAGCATTTTCTTAGACCTAATATTATATATTTATTAATTACTTCACTAAATTCAAATATAGTATTTATATTTGGTTAATCATACCTAGTGTCATTTGGATTTATTAGAGATAAAGCTATTTGACTCAATAATAAATAATATTAATTTAATCCTCTTGTAAATGCTCCACTTAATTTATATTTACATTGATCATATTCATTTATTGTTGTATTTGGAGATAATTCTAAAGTTAAATCAAAATTAAACCTAATAGAAGTTCACAATAGTTTCCATAAAACATTTAAAATACTTCATCGATATTAGTCTAATAAATTTCATTAGATTCATCATCAATTTAATCAATAAACTTTTCAACATTTTATTTAATTTATTTTATAAATTAATTTGAATTATTAATGTATTAATAGATGTAGAGTTCTTTTATGCTCACCATAGAATAAAGATGATGTGGATTCTTTACAAATTAATTCTCATTAAATATTGACAAAGCTCCACTTTAAAAGTCTTGTAAGAATACTAAATAATAGAAAAAAAAAGATGATATAATCATGCTGGATAAAAAATAATACATCATAAAAGTTACCTATAATCATTAAAATAATATTACTTTTATTTAAAGCCAATGATTTGATCCTATATATGAATTAGTTTTTGTATTTATTTACACACTTTATTCTTAATTATCATATTTTGTCAATACATCACAATTAGATATTTATGTTGTTTTTTAATTCAAAAACTTCATGGTTTCTAAATCAATTAAAAATTTCAACTGAAGTTTTAACCAAGCTATATATTAAATAGATGTTGCAATCTATTATTTTGATAATAAATGGAAAGATTTAATGATAGTCTATTTCAAATATATAAATACTTAATTTTTTTTGATTACATTCAAAATCAAACATTAATTTGCTATAACAAAGAATAAAGTTAAACATATTGTAATAACTATTTCAAATATTGCAAATTATTGATATTCCATTAATCTATTCATTTAATTATTATATTGTTATGAATAACAATCTAGTAACCCTGATTAAATATGTGGAATTATGATTGATCTAAATTCATCTAACATATTAAATTAAGAATTGATAACTTACCAATCAGATTTATGCCATTAGTTTAATATAGCCATAAATTAAGCAACTAAATCACTAATAGGTTAATCAAGCATTTAATATCCAAATAAGATTTCAATAAACTCTTAACCCTTTAATGATTCATTAATAAATTGACTTTATTATTAAAGGAGATTCGATTTTTGTTGTAAATAATGTTGCATATCAATGTCGGTTGAATTTTATTAATCAAATAGATAAATATCTAAAGCATATTCGTAAGTTTGGATAATACATAAAGATAACCTAGAAATTTATTGGAGTTATTAAATCTGTATTATAATTCTAATTTTACCTCAGAATAAATCTTAGCATGTTGAGTTAAGGAAGGTCCTTTTACAAAAGCAATTCCTGCTAATAAATACAGAGTAAAAATCATTATTCTATTAAAGAAGATGAAAAAGCTCATTTCTTTTATATTTTTACTGACTTTGTTATTATCTTATTTGAAGAAGATGTTATTTTCATGTTTGAGTGTTACTTCAGTAGGATGATATTAAACAAATTCAGGAAAAATTTATCCTTCAGTTAGAAATGATTTGTTTTAGTCTATTCTATTAGAATCAACTTCTGAATTATTTACTAATTAGTTTATAATAAAATATGCATTGNTATATATGAATTAGTTTTTGTATTTATTTACACACTTTATTCTTAATTATCATATTTTGTCAATACATCACAATTAGATATTTATGTTGTTTTTTAATTCAAAAACTTCATGGTTTCTAAATCAATTAAAAATTTCAACTGAAGTTTTAACCAAGCTATATATTAAATAGATGTTGCAATCTATTATTTTGATAATAAATGGAAAGATTTAATGATAGTCTATTTCAAATATATAAATACTTAATTTTTTTTGATTACATTCAAAATCAAACATTAATTTGCTATAACAAAGAATAAAGTTAAACATATTGTAATAACTATTTCAAATATTGCAAATTATTGATATTCCATTAATCTATTCATTTAATTATTATATTGTTATGAATAACAATCTAGTAACCCTGATTAAATATGTGGAATTATGATTGATCTAAATTCATCTAACATATTAAATTAAGAATTGATAACTTACCAATCAGATTTATGCCATTAGTTTAATATAGCCATAAATTAAGCAACTAAATCACTAATAGGTTAATCAAGCATTTAATATCCAAATAAGATTTCAATAAACTCTTAACCCTTTAATGATTCATTAATAAATTGACTTTATTATTAAAGGAGATTCGATTTTTGTTGTAAATAATGTTGCATATCAATGTCGGTTGAATTTTATTAATCAAATAGATAAATATCTAAAGCATATTCGTAAGTTTGGATAATACATAAAGATAACCTAGAAATTTATTGGAGTTATTAAATCTGTATTATAATTCTAATTTTACCTCAGAATAAATCTTAGCATGTTGAGTTAAGGAAGGTCCTTTTACAAAAGCAATTCCTGCTAATAAATACAGAGTAAAAATCATTATTCTATTAAAGAAGATGAAAAAGCTCATTTCTTTTATATTTTTACTGACTTTGTTATTATCTTATTTGAAGAAGATGTTATTTTCATGTTTGAGTGTTACTTCAGTAGGATGATATTAAACAAATTCAGGAAAAATTTATCCTTCAGTTAGAAATGATTTGTTTTAGTCTATTCTATTAGAATCAACTTCTGAATTATTTACTAATTAGTTTATAATAAAATATGCATTGTACCTTATTAATGAATACCAAAAATTCTTGGATCCATATATATTTCTACTAGAGTTGGTCTTGATTGCTTCATTCGAGATTCAGCAAGGACATTGTGTGTCTAAAAATAACAAATAAGAATAACTTCTCGAAATTATCGTTGATGATACTCAAATATCTCGTATTTGTTAATTTTAATAATGGTAGATTTATCCATGGAAATAGTTTTAGTAAAAAGGATAGTGGCATCTAATTTAATAATTTTTTCAAGCAATCTATTTTATGAACAATATTTATCAAAAAGATCTTTTAAATTATCAAACATAATTTTCATAACTCTTTGATTAAAATCATATAATCTTCGAAAGAGTAACAATTTATTAATTTTAATTTTGTTATCATTATTTCTAAAAATAAGTCTTGTTTTTTATTTGTATAAAGTATTAGTAGTTCCAGTTTGTTAGATAGCATCTTAAAATGTAGATATTTTTAATTATTCATATTCTTAGCTAAGTTAATGAATTTTTCTTGGTATTCTCAATGTTAATTTAACATGTTATTCATCAACCATTTTAAAGATTCTTTTATTTGTAAATGTATTATCAGTATTAAAATATTCAATATTATCTTCTCCAAAAAAAGTAAACAATTAATCATCAGATTCCATTTATTATTTTTCAATAACTTTTGCTTTCTATGAATTAGTTAAATTATTCTAATTAATGGAGTCAATCTAATTATAAAACTTAGATTATGTCATATTAAGAGATCTTGATTTTTAAGTTAATTTAAATCTAGTAATATCATCAGAATCTAAGTAATGTGCAAATTTAGAAAATTGAAATAGACCTGTACAAAGTAAGAGTAAACAAATTTTTTAATCCAAAACTTTAAATAAAGGTTTAGTTACAGCATCTACTTCCCAATCTCCATTTAATATAATATAATTAATTTGTTCTAATCTAATAATTGGTCTGATCATAGTTATAAAATTAATTTAATTTGATTAATCTAAACTCCATTTTAAGTACTTTCTTGCTTATATTACATATCCTTAAGCATGTCTTACAAATATCTTACGACTTTTATAAAGAGTTCTACTTTTTCCATAATAAAGCAATTGTTTAATTGCATTTTAATGATTTCTCTATAAAACTTCAGGTATCAATTATGAAATTGATTTTAAATTGTCAAATTCTAATAATTCTTTACAAGATTAACTACATCTAAGTATTTATCCATTTAATAATGAATGAATAATTAAACTCATATGATTAAATGGTTTTGAACTATTAAACTATTCATAAGCTTTAATGTCATAATCACTATCAGAGTCTTCATTGACTATTTCTTAATGTAATGTTGCTGAACTTATACTTTCTATTTGAGTCAATCTTATTTTCTTATTTAAAATAAATAATCTATACCTACATAATTTAATTATAATATACCAAAAATATACAAATTTCCATTTTAGTCTTTTATTTAAGAATGATATTATTACATCTTATTATTTTACTCTAACTTCATGTTTAATTAGATTCTTCCATAATTTGTTACAATTTTTGATCTCTTAATCAATATCCTTATTGATTTCTATTTGAATTTCTTCTACTTATTGATTCCTATTCAATCTTCTCCAGAATGAAGAATATAAACTTAACAATCTTATTATTACTTAATAAATATAAGAAACTGTCTCTTCCATATCTACTACTTATTCAAAATCTAAAAAACTATGATACGCTAAACTATTTAAATCATTAACATTTTCTTTTGCTATTGATGACATCAAAGCCATTCTTAATTATAAATGAATACTCATTCTTTTATTTTTTATCTACATTATTTATTCGTATGCCTATATCTTATTCTTCATTTTAAAATATAAAAATTATGCATAAACAAATCTTAATTCTATATCTTTTTATTAACCCTGTATTAAAGTCTCATATAATGATTTTATCATTAACTTAGTAAAACTAGATCTATGATTTCTAATCGCTTATATTGTCTTTCTTATATCTTTTTATAATTTAGAATCAAATGTTATTTTCATTGTACAAAAACATCTCATACCAAATTCTGAATATTAATTCCTACATTTATTTGCTAAATGATGATAAATGTGTCCAAAATAAATCAAATCACCTATCTTATTTACTATTTAATTAGTTTTCTAAAACTCTCTAAATACTTATATTTTTAGTTCCAATTATTTCAAATCTTTTGTCACTTTAAAAAATGCTTTTATTTATAATGCTCTTAAAAAAGTCTTAAATAATGTAAATACTAATCCATAAAGGAGAATTAATGCAAAAACTGGTTTTATTTCAAACCAATAGTGCATACATTAACTAAAAGATATACAAAAATATAATAATATTGATTATGTAAATATAAATCTGATTTGTATTCTTTAATAATGTTAAAAGTTTAAATTATTAATTATTACAAAAATCAATATTAAACTAGATATCAAATTAAAATACAAGATAAATATCTATTATAATAATTATTTATTATACTTAACTCCACTCTTTCTAACTGAATATTATAAATATTATATTTAAATATCTAAAACATATCAGTATTCCTACTGAATAACATTATTTTCTTGTTAATCCATCTCTTTTCTTTAACCATTCATTATAATAAAATATACTATAAATGATAGAGAATAATAAAATTGCTAAAATTGAAAGCAAACTAAAAATTGCCAATACAATAAATATGTTCTAATTTACTTAATCTTGATCTATTTCAAAAACAAATCTAAAAATCGAAAAAAATATTATCATCATGGGATAAAATCCAAGGAGTGCAAAAAAGTCAAATGTATTAATAAAAACCTTTTTGTAATTAAAATACATATATTACTTTTCCATACCATTTTTTAATTACTTTAGTTTGAAAGTTAGTTTTCTTCAGTTCATGTAAAGAGAGCAAAAAGACCAAAATAAAACCAATCAATACTAGAAATAAAATTGAACTTGTTAACATCACTGGATAAGGCTAATCAATATAAAAATGTAGATTGCAATATCTTAAAAAGTTTATGATCTAATTAATTTGATATTCCTTAATATTATATTATGCCAATAATTTGTAATGCCTACTATAAATACTAATTCTACGTATAAAGGAGAGATTAGTAAAATAAAAATTACCCTCCTAAGATATAAAAGATTCCCAAATAAAGAGAAACCTTTTTGGTTTAGAGTGATTAAATATACAACTGGAAAATGGCATAATTTAATTATAAATTATTAGACATAAATATTTATAATATTTTTATTTAACAAAGAGAATTTAATTATTTTAAATGTTCTTTTAATGATCTATAGATATAATAAATACTTATCAAATATCTTTATGATAATCATTTTACTCTAACAACCTAAAAGCTGCTTAAAAAGCTCCTTCTAATCCTAAAGAAGCTTATTTAATTACATAGATTGGCATCTGATCAAAAATTTCATTTAAATGTGGTCTATATTTAACATAGTCTTACTAAAATAATATAACTAAAGAAAAGAAATACTAAAAAATTAACTAATGGGTTATTAATAATGTAATTAGCAACTCCAATAGAAATGTTACCAAATCAATAGCCAGTGCTTAGAAATCAATAATTAATAGAAATGGTTTGATATTAAGTGTTTATCCTATAAAATTTCCATCAACTTAAGACCATTTAGTATTATCAAAGTGGAATTATTTTTGATTGGTCCTGCAATACCTAATTTAAATTTATATCTTTTATATATTTAAAACCTATAATTGCAATATATGGTAGATTCTCTTCAAAAACATGTTTCAAATATTCAATAATATAATCTTTAAATTATGGATATAAATCTGTATTATAAGATGCATAAGATTTAAATAAAGGAGCTTTAAAATATGCCAATTAAAGAGAAATTTTTACAAATTAAAGAAAAACATTAGTACCAATTAAACAATTAATTTCTTAATCTAGTAAAAGATCTTTAAATATTTGAGACGTCTTTTTTAAAATAAAATAAAATTATTTATATAGATAATTCATTTGTATGATTTACTATTTGCATTTTTTATTAGTTTGTTTATATTTTATTATAATCCTACTAATTCTGAAAGATAACCATTACTTAATGATGATATCTCTGTTTATTATAGATCTGATAAATGATTAGAAATCTTTATTATTTCTGTTAAAGAAACTCTATCTGTAATTGGTTTACTCTTTCTAGAAAAATCAATCACATCAGAACTTGATTTAAATGAACTCATTAAATCTCTTTTACATGAATATGTTTTATAATTATCCTTCTCAGTAAACGATCCAAATGAAGATGGATATATATTACTTCTTTTTATTTCATCTACTGGATTACATTGTTTCTAACTTGGAGAATATATTGCATGACTCAAACCCATCTTTATTGGAGATTCTTATTTTGGAAATTTATTTTCTAAATGATTCTTTGCATATGTTGTTGATTAACGTAATGCCAATCCTTAACATTATAATTTTTAATCCTAATTCTTAAAATTGTACAATAAATCACTCTTCTATATAAATTTCTAATTCTCAAATCCTTATACTCTTTATTAAACCTTTTCACGAATACCTTTTTTAACATCACTCCATGTTTGATAATCCAATCTCTATTGAATTTCTGTACATTTTGTTATTGGAATATCAAATTTACAAGGAGATGATCTTATCTATTATTATTAAATCATAAATATACAGGAGAATAGGTAGATCTCATTAACAGTTAAATTTTATATTTTTTTATTTAAGAATCAATTATTTTTAATCCCATTTAAACTACTCAAATTAACCATTCATTACATATTACCTTAATTCCTTATTTTATTTTCTTCTTAATATTAACACTAATTAATTATATCAAATATTACAACAATAAAAAATATTTAAAACTCTAAAGAAAATTTAAATAAATCAATCAACTCAATTAAAATAAGAAATTTAAAAAATAAATACTAAAACTTAAATAATAATATCAAAAATTTCAACAAATTATTAAATAACATCTTTAATTTCTAAAAATGGTAAAAAAACAATCTTTAATATTTTGATTAATTAGATTATAGAGGAGTATATATCATAATATAAGAGATAGATTCATTTCTAAATTAATATATTATAAAAAATAAATAACTAGAATTTATTATAAAAAAATAAGATTTTGTTTTCTAAAATTAATTTTTTGGAATATAATGTTTGAATTTAATATATAAACTAAAATATATAAGATGTAATAAATGAGAATTATATATATATATTTATTAAAATAAGGTATTGGTAGATTAAAATTTATTAAGACATAGAGGATACAAACAAATGTTGATAATCAACTAATAATTAATAAATATATGATGAAGAACTAGAAGACTATAAAAATATTTTTAATATTATTGATAATGATTATAACACAAATTATATGATTGATCATTCAAAACGAGCACCAATAGCTTTTCTTTTCTTTTTATTAGGCATAACAATATCTCCATTAACAATTCTCTTTTTAGGAGGTTCCTCTTTCACTTCCTATAATTATGAAAAGACTTTTGGAATTTCTTTATCTTTAGATGCATTAACTTATTGTTTAACTTAAGCAATTTCTGATTCTTTTTGATTTTTCAATGAAATAAATTTATGTTTCATAGATTCATATAAATCCATTGTAAAATCTTTAGATACTTCAATTGTATCTTTATCTTCGATATTTAAACCTGCACCTAAATTTAAGTTACTCTTGATGAAAACACCATGAGTTAATTAGAATTCAAATATGATGTTTAGATTTAAATTATTAACTATCAATTAGTATTGATTATTTTCTAAAGCTTATTAGATCATATCTATAAATGAATTGATTGTTCCTTTAATTTCACTTTTAGATCTCATTTCTTCTATTTATGTTTCAAGAATCTATTATATCCATATGGTTTGACCATCATAAACTCTAAGTAATATAGCTGGTGTATTTATTCCATGTTCATAAGTCATTAAAAATAAATACTTAGTATTGTCTTTCTTGTATGAAGTGTAAAAATGATCTAATTTTAAGAAGGCTTCTTTAATATTGCCAGACATATAAAATAATTAATTATATAATTGCTATTAATTTTTTATGGATTAACAAGAATCGGCAAGATCAATCAACATAAGTTAAAGTTCAATTGATTATTAGTATAGGTTCTTCAAGATATTCAGATTAATTTTAACCTTAATTAATTCATATTAACTCTCACCATATTCAAAAGAATAAACATAATAGTCAAGACTTTAGTCCTATCTATGAGAAATCCAATGAAGAAATTGCATAAGACAAATAAATTAGATAAGCCAGAGCTAATCTAAAAAAAACATCAAATTATTATGTAAATCAATCATCATAATATTATTATTAAGACACCTTCTTAATTTCCATAGGATAGAATTTAAAATGCAAGAGGTAGCAAGATTATGTAATTAATTAAATAGAAAAATTAATTGAAAAAGTTTAAAGATAGATTATTTCTAAATGCACATATCTATCCTCGTAATCCAAATCCATAATTAACTTGTTTTTTAGAAGAACATTTTATCCATAAAAATCATCATCATTAAAAAAATTCATAATAAGAAACAAGATTCGATTAAGGTCAACTTGAATTATTAAAAAGTATTGAAAATGTTCAATAACATTAAAAAATACCAATAATTAATCCAACAGGAAAATTTTATATGTTTTGGTAATTCTTAAGATTAATTTAAATTATGTTCTTATTGTGGTGGGTACCATTCAAAATATCCTTTGATCCACCTAAAACATATACTATGAATTAAATTGAAAGAATGTTAATCTACTTATTTGGAGTAGATTTATTAATCAAATTAAATAGAGGTATGATTGATTAAGGACAAATTGTATATGATAGATTAAAGATAATAAAACATTACATAATTTATGAATTATATGAAGATACTATCTATATGATTACTCTTACTTTTGTAATTGCAAGTGATCCAATTACTATTTATTTCTTTCCTGAAATTATTGTTTTAATCCAATTTACTTTAAATTTCATAAAACTTAAAAAAACTATTAATAGATATGGTGAAATGTTTGCAATTTAATCCAATTTTACTGAATTTGTCAGTTTATCTTAATTAATCATTTTGATTTTTTATTTTGCTCATTTTATGGCTTGCATCTGGTATTATGTTGGTAACATGAGTTAATCTTCCTTTTCAAATTCATGGATTTAACAACAAAATTTATAATCTTCTGAAGTATTTCATAAATATGGTTATTCATTTTATTGGGCAACTGCTACAATGGTAACTGTTGGATATGGTGATATAACTCCATAAAATATCTATGAAATTATTTGTGCTATAATTATGATTTTCTTTGCTAGTGTAGTGTTTGCATTTTCTATTAATGCTATAGGAGTAATATTCTCTAATATTGATTTACAAAAATAATCCTATAAAAGAAATCTACTATTAATTAATCAATATATGAATTCAAATGAAGTTTCTTTATAATTATAAAGTAGAGCAAGGAATTATTTAAAATATTATTATGAATAATAAGTAAAAGGAAATAAATAAGAAATCAATTCAATTGTTGAAAAGTTATCATATAATCTAAAATAAGAATTATTAGAAGATGTTTAAATTAGAGCAATCACATGTGTTGACTTCTTTACTAAAAATTTTTAACCTTCTACTATTCATTAAATAGCTTGTAGAATGAATATCTAATAATACACTCCTAGAGAAATTATTTTTTAATCAAATTCAATTGATGAAAATTCAATCTACATAATTTAAAAAGGTGAAATCAATCTTATTGATAATAAAACTAATAAAATTATTCAAAAATGTTCTAAAGGTTAATGCTTTGGAGAATTTGAATTTCTTACTTCTTGTAAAAGATAAACTAAAGCAATAAGTACAACTTTTAGTTCAATTTATAGAATGAGTAGAGACACCTTTCTTGATATTATTGCTGAAAATTCTATTGATTTTTAAAGATATTGTGAAATGAGAGATAGGATTTTATTTCATTATCACAATTTATCTATAAAATGTGCTGCTTGTTAAGGAGATCATCTTATCAATTAATGTCATTATCTTACTTATCGACCTGATACAGAATTTATTATTAAAAAATAATTATTCAAATCTAATCAAGATAGATCATAATTCAAACGCAAAAATTTAAGATTCTAAAGAATTTTTAATAATCATGAAGATCATGAACCTCCTAATAAAACTCTACAATAAAATCATTCAAATATTTCTATTGATTCTTGTGATAAATAAAATTCAAGTATTCTTGAAAGTGAACATCAAAATCTTTTATTAAATGATGAAGCTACATAACATATAAAAAAAAGAATTTCCTTATGGATTACTAATTCAGAATAACCATATTTGGAAGAAAAAAGTAAATTTTATTATTAATTTAGAGTCTATCTAAAAATCAAATAGATACAGTAGTGATAATCTTACAAATAAATAAAATCGAAAATCTTTGTTTAATTCCTCTTAAGAACAATCTAAAAAACTTAATAATAATTAACAATATCTTTAAATTAATGATTAATAATAATAAGCTATGAATTCATCCAATAATTCTTAAACTAAAAGTAATCACATATTTAATCAATTGGAACATATACAATCTTTCCATTCATTTAATTTTGAATTAGATAAAATGGAAACATTTCAAATATACTTCCCATAAAATAATGTACAAAATGTTCTTAATTCTTACTAAAATTAATAAAAATTATAAAAACTTTACAAAATTTACTTTTCTACTAATAAATATCGGTTTATATTTATACAAAAAGAACCTTTACCAAATGCTTTCAAAAAATCAATTTATCGAGTAAATAGTCAAAATTGATATTATTTTTATATTACATTTTTAATCAAGATGATTAAAGAATATAATTTAAATTTATTACATTTATTACATTTTCATCATATCAAGATTATTAACATAATATATAAAATGAAATCATTAAATCTTTTCAGTAATTATTGATTAATTTTATCTTATTTATTTAAATATCAATCTATTTATTTATTTAAATAAAAAAACTAGACTGAACTTAGATTTTTTCTTTATTAAAAGAAAACTAATTTAAGTAATTAGAAAATAAGAAATGATTTGCCTGAAAATTGATATATTATTTTATAATATACTAAATAAATAAATAATTAAAATTGTAGTTAAATAAATAATATGTATATAGTAATATTGAATATAAAAATTACAGATTATATTAAATCTTCAATGATTATAGAATTGCATAAAAAGTTTTTGTAAAATTAATATAATTTAGAATATGAAAAATTTATATTTAGAGATTATTCTAATAATTAAATTTATAGATGTCAAGTTATTGTTTTGAGCAAGACATCAAAGATTTTACTTCTCCAAGATTCATTTTAGATGGTGCAACTCCTTAAGTAGATCCTAAAGTTGGTTCAAATTCAGATGTTTAATTTTAATCAGAAATCAGTAATATGGAAAGTATGAGATCATTAAAATAAGAGACTATGATTAATAAAAATAAATTAGTGAAAAACAATTCATAACTTTTTTAAATTAAGTTTGATGTATTCCTATTAATAAAATTAGTAATCAGTTAATAAGAAATTTCAAAACACTCGTAGTCAATTTAGAAATGAGAATAATTAAAATGATGGAGGATAATTAAAGTAAGTATTTGGCAAATAAATGCTCTTAAGATTTAAAGAAAGGTTGTTATCAAATGCTCATATATTAACAAAATAAATGATGGAAGAAAAAAAAAATTTACTTAATAATTTATTTTTTGATGATTCATTATTAGAGGATAAAAGAACTAAAAAAAATTAAACTTTAAGTAAATTAGAATAATTGTTATTGTTTCCAGTATTTTTACCTTAAGATAGATTTGTTAAAATATGGAGTTTATTTAGTATTTTGTGTAGTTTTTTTATGTTATGGCTATCTCCTTTTATTGCTTCATTTTAATTATAAAAAAGTTAAGAAATATAAAGAATTATAGAAATAGTGTTTATATATTTATTTATTGATGGTTTAATTGCAAATAACAAAGCGATTTTAGTGCAAGGAGAAGTATAACATTGAAATTAAATAAATTAGCTGATTGTGGGGAGAAAAAGAATCATTTAAAATTATCTTAGATTTTAAATGGTTAATGATCTTGTTAATTTCATAATCTGGTTAATAATGTATTAGGGTGTAGATCATTTTTAGATAGCATAATGTTTATCAGTAATTTAAATAATTATAACAATATTTACAGTTTATACAAAGATTAATAATTTTGTTGATTGTCTTTATTTAAGTAGTCGTTTAAGTGAAATTTTAGATCTAATATTTTTAATAATCTCTTTATATTATTTTATACATATAATTGGATGTTTATGGCATTATTTAGCTATTGTAAGTGAAGATTTAAATTTATTATCATGGTTAAGTAAATATTCTTTATAAGATGAATCTCATTGGATTAAATATGATTATGCAATATATTGGGCAACAATGACAATGGTAACAGTAGGATATGGAGATATAACAGCAGCAAATCCAATAGAAATAGTATTTTCTAATTTTACAATGTTTATCAGTAGTTTTGTGTTTGCCTATTCTGTTAATTCTATTGGAATGATCATTAAAAACTTTTATGATCATAAAAATTAATATAAGTAAATATTATCTATTTACAATTTAATAGAAGATAATTAATACTTATCAATACATTTATGAAGAATAATTTAGTTGATGATTCTATATAGAATAGAGTTAGAAATTATTTAAAAAATTAAGTAGATTAAGAAAGTAAAAGTAATCAAGTTGAAGTAATAAATTATTTTATATTTAAAGGCTCATTAAATATTAGACAATTTACCTACAGGATTGAAAAACGAGGTTAATTTCAATATATAAGCAAGAATCATAAAGAATATGAAGATTTTATACGATAATTTTTCAAAAACAACAATAAATTAAATAACATCATAAATTGAATAAATTAATTATATTCCAAATGATGTGATTTATAATCCAGAAGAGAGACATAAAGATTTTCATATGTAAATATAATTTATTTATTAATTAGTTTTTATATAGATTCAGGTTAAGTAAAATTAGTAGAAATAAGAACTCAAAAAATTGTATAGACTTTTAATTAAGGATAGAGTTTTGGAGAATATTAATTTATAAGTGGATTTGATTCTAAATTTATGATAATAAGCTCTTAATTTACTTAACTATATAAAATATCTAGATTAGACTTTGTAAAAGTACTTCAGAATAATTAAAAAGATAAAGAACTATTTTAATAAATGAAAGATCAACTTATATATTTATCTGATTATAGTTTGATAGGTAATAAATGTAATTTATGCAATAATGATGATCACATGAATAGTGATTGTTTCTTAATTTCTTATAAACCTAACTTAGAAGCTTTAATAAAAAGAGAGGGATTCACTATATAATAAAGAAAACTTATCAGAAGAAATGATAGATAGAAATTAAAAGTTCTAAATTAAATAAATGTAATTAATTATTATAATTATTTAGGGTATTATAAATACTATTGTTTAATTTTAATAAGAAGAATTGGTGGTTTCTAATTAAAATGAAACTTAAACTATAATTAGTGGAACTAAAAAATATACTACTAGAAGATAGAGTGATTTTAAAACTGAAACTCCTGAAATGTAATCATTAAGTGAATAATCACCTGATATTAAATAAGATAGAATCTAAGACACAAATGTTTTGTCAAAATTAAATTAGAGAAGACAATCAAAAAATTTAACAGGAAAATTTGCCACAACTTAATAATCAAATTAACATATAGAAAATAAAGATAAAAGAAGAATGTCTATTGCTTTTTATAAAGAATCAAGCAATACAAATACAGATAATGTTAGTGCATAACTTATATAGTAAAAATCTTCAAAATAAGGATTATCATCTAATGCTATTATTGAAATTGAGGATAATAATAAACATTCAAATAAAACTTTTAATTTAGATATTGATAAATTATTTTAATTTTAAAATTACATGCCACAAAGTAATGTTTAAAGTGTAATATTAAATTTGAATAAATAAAAATCTAAGATTTCTTCAATCTATATAAGCAATTTGAAAAAAGCATTTAAATATACTTTTTATTATAAAGTAGCTAAATTAGCTTGTGGAATGAGATTAATTCTTGCTTCAGCTTCCAGAAGAGTACTTAAACCATCAGGTATCAAGAAAAACTAATTTTAATTATGATTAAAAAAAAACAATTAAAGTCTTTTTTATAATTTACAAATAAAATCAATATCTACATTTTAAAAATATATCTATATCATTTAAATATTTTTATTTAATAATCTTTTCTTATTATTATTTTTTTGATGATTTCTCTTAATTAACAAATCTAACTTTATTTGGAGATTATTTGTCATCTAATTATGTTTTTTATTTTTCTAAATTATTTTTAGCTTGTTTAATAAATTTCCAATCATCTGAAGAATCATCTTAACAATTTTAAGTTTATCTATTTGAATCTTTCTTTTTTAATGCACTCTTTAAAGGTTAATCATCTTTAATAGAATCACATTTAATAGATTCTTCTCTTTTTACTCTAGATTCTCTTAATTTAGTTGTTTTATAAGATGATTCTCTTCGATGATGATGAGAACTATAATCATTAATAGATTCATAACGAGAATCTCGTCTAATATCAAAACAATCTCTTTTTTCAAGTTTAGAATCTACTCTTTATTCTTTCATTTAACTAACTGCTCTCTATATTTCTTATTAAATTGGTTATGAATCATTTTTAGAATCTTATTTATGAATTGAATCAGTTCTTGCATGTAATTCAATTTATTTATTTTTTCTCTTCTTTTATTTAGATAGCTCATTGAATCTATCTTTCTCTTCCTTTATTGAAATTAATAAATTTTAAAGAATTGATTATCTTTCTCGAAGGTATTCTCTTAAAACTTAGATAATTAATTACAATCTTCTAATTGTTATATTTTAAAGTTTAAATCATCTCTAATCATTCTAAGCTTTGCATGTAAAAGTTCTTATTCTTCAATAATTATTTATTCTTTATCAAAAAAATAATCTATATTGCATTCTTATTCATCTTAATATTCTTGCTGTTTCAGATACTGTTGAATTATTGGGTTATTTATAATTTTTGATTTTTCTTTAACTGAAAAATCATAGTTATCAGAGTTCCTTGAAAATGCACTCTCTCTTCTAGATTGATTAACTGGAGATAATTATCCTTAAATTGGAGTAACTGATCTAAATGGAGAAGGTGATGCAAATCTATTTCCAAATATTACTGGAGAAGAACATTTATATTGGTTTAATTGATATTCTAATTAATATCTTTTTATCTATATACCATGGTTCTATGATATATTATTCATTCGAATACTATAATCATTGCCTATGTATTTCTCAAGAAAATTTTTCATTTTTTTTCTTTTATTATATATATATATTATTATATGTTTATGTATGTAATTATGTTTATGATTATGACAAATTTATTATCATACTTCACTAATAATTATTAATTATCCTAAATTAAAATTTATTATTTTATATAATTTTATAATCAAAGAAGACTAATATGCTTCTATTCTGATTAATTCAGCAATTTACTTTTTATCTTATTATAACTTTTTAATAATTCATCCAAACTTTCAAAAGGATATTCTTCAAAATTCAATTCTTTAGACAAATTCTATAAAAATTACTCAACTTATTCTTCATTTTATAATATATCTATAAGTCTCTCTTTTAATTTCCAATTCTCTTATAAAACATTTGTAAATTAATCTTATATATCACTAAATTTTTTTTCTTTTTTTTAATATTTTTATTAATATTTAGTTAATTCCTATTATTGTTATTAACATTTCATCTCCAAATCTTAATTTTATTATCTTAACAGATTAATTTCTTATTATTTCATTTATATTATTGCAATCTTAGTTGTAAATTAAGGTAGAAAACTTCTAAGTTGTTAAATACGACGAATTTATATTTAAATTTCTTAAGGATAAAGTTTAATTATCTATTAACTTGTATATTATTATTTTTATTTTGAATTTTCAATTTATAATAATGTAACTTATTCATTAAGATATAAGATAGTTTTCTGTTTTTCTTCATCCTATATTTTCATAGTCTTTATTATTTCAGCTTAATCCATCATTATTTATTAATATTAATTTCCATGCTAATTGGAATCTGTATCTTCTGTAATATCAGATACTTCAAATTCTATTTTCTAATTTTTTTCTTCTTTTATTTATTTCTCTTTCTTTAATAATTCTATTTTCTCATCTAATTACAATATTTGTAAATCTCTTTCAGACAATAATTATATATATTTTTATCTAAGATTTTCAATTTATTTTGGATACACTTCTATTTATTCATTTAAAGATTAATTATTTATCATTAATTCCTAAACTTTACTTCTCAACTCTGCATTTTCACTTTATATTTTTAATATTTGCTGTTATGATTTTTATAATTCATTTTATGTTAAATTTAACTATTAAACTGTTCTCATTTTATTGAATTAATGATTATGCCTATAAATATTTGATTTATTTTTTACTATAGATTAAACATTGAAAAATTATATTCATGCAATGATTTTAGTTATTCTAATAAATTATCTCTTTATGCTTCCAAAAATTAAATCTGTCTTCTCAATTCATTTTAAATTTATGTTAATTTATCTACATCTGATTACAATATTTTATTTTTCTCCTCCTCTTAAGTTAATTTTGTTTATAATTCTTAATGTCTTTTATTAATATCATCTAATTCTTATCCTTACAACTTTACTTTCTTCCCTTATTAATGCAATAATCTTTCAAGATGATTCATTTTTTTAAAGGTGTTATTTTTTTTTTGTATTAATTTAATTATACTTACATTTTAAAAACAAATATTATATTACCATTTTTATAAACATCAATATATTTGCTTAAAAATATAATACAATTTAGTATAATGTCTTCCTCTACAAAATTTGAATCCTTTTAACAATAACCATATAAAACAAATTATTTTTATAAATTATTTCAACCTGTTTTTAATGGAAATTTAGTTTTCAAATATGACTAAAAAATCTATTCATCTACCAAAAATCCATTAAAATTATTCATAAATGAAAAAGGATAAATTGAAACAATTTTTTAGGACTGATCGAAGTATTTCCGATACTAAATAAAATTTCTTTTATTATTAATCCAAAAAATAGCAACCTGAATTTATTTACGAACATTAAACTGAAAGATTAGTTAGAGAGAATTAGTAATTAATCTTGTTGATATTTAGTAAAGAAAAAATCTTAGATTTTTAAAAATCTGATTAACCATCATAAAGACATTAATTTTTATAAAAATGGAAAACCAATCCAACAACTGTTAATCGGCAAGTTAATATTTAAATTTAAGATTAAAGTAGTAACAATTCTCTCTCCTCAAATAAAACTAAATTATTTGATGAATCTGAATCTGATATTGAAATTTCTTCAAACTAATCTTCAGATGATGAAGACTCTGATTTAAGTTCAGAAATGAGATTCAAAGACATCGAGAAAGATATAGACAAAATTTAAAGAAAAATATGTATAGAATTAGTAATTCATCCTTAGCAAATGATATCAATAGATCTTTCTTTGGTTACATTAAAAATTAAGATAAATTAAAAGATTTAATCTAAACATTTAGAAAGAGAGATTCTGTGAATCCATTATATTTTTATTGCATGAATTAAAATCTCTTTCCAAAAAGAATTGATCTATCAAATTGCTTAATCGAATAGAAAGAAATGAATTTTAAAGATTTAAAGGTTAATTCTAAGTATTTCCCTTTATTATCTTAATTATTAAAATCAAAAAAATGTAAAAAAGTTAAATCTATTATTTTAACTAATAATCATTTGAAAGAACATTCACTATCAATATTTATTGATTCTTTTCCAGATTCATTAAAAGATTTAAATATTAGTTAAAATGAATTAGGAAGATAAGGAGCTATCTTAATTGCTAAATTATTTAGCAGACACAAAAAGTAATCTTTATTCTCTATTAAGTTTGAAATCCTTAAATATTGCAAGCAATTTTTTGGGAGATTAAGGAGCAATTACAATTCTAAATGCTGTATAAGAAGCTAGAACAATAAGAAAATTGAACTTATCTTAGAATTAGATCACTGATAATGTAACTTAAGAATTATAAAATTTTCTATAATCAAATTTATCAATTGAAGTTTTAATTTTAAATTGGAATCAATTAGGCCCTTAATCAGGAATTGGTATAGCTAAAGCTTTGAATTAAAATAAAAATCTAAAGGTGTTAGATTTAAGTTATAATCATTTAGGATTTAATGAAAAAAGTAATTGTATAATTCAATGGTGTCTATTACTTGAAAATCCAAATCTAGCTTTATGTCATTTGGATATTTCATATAATTAAATAAGTGAAAAATAGATGGTTTAATTGTAAAAGGCATTAATAAAAAATAATAATTTATATGGTATTCATGTAGAAGGTAATAAATGTCCAACATATATTGATGCTTTTGGATTTTTGTAATTTTCTAAATAAGAAAATCTAATAAAATAAGTGCAACAAAAAAAAATATAAATAGATGGAGTTAATTATATTCCTATATGCAATAGCCAAGAATTATTAACAGATTGTTGTTGGATTTGTTAAGGATGGAAGGAACATTAATTTACTTATACACCTGATTAAAATAGTGAATAAGTACCAATATTTTTGCATTTGGATTTTCTTGAGTATTATTATTGTTAACTATAGTTATAAGCCAATTCCTATGACTTCCAGTTTTGAAATGAAATAATAATTGATGGAATAAAATAAGAGCAATAAATAATTAGAACTTACTACTGGAGAGATTATCCATTAATTAAAATCAATTACAGATGCTGAAAAAAAAATTACAATGGCTGCAATAGAAGAAGCATATAATGTAGAAAATAATACAAAAAATGAAACATAAAATTAAATTATTGAAGAATTCAATAAGTTATATTATACCACATATTAAATGTGTCCACCTAAAAGTAAAATTTTATATTTTTTTTCTGATCCCCTTAGAGAAAGATACTTTTATGATCCAAATCTAGAAAATATTTAATCTCCTTTAGATGATCTAATATTATAAGGTAAGGATCCAAAACATTAAATACATGTTTTTGCAGATAATACTTAAATTCCTTTTAAAAAAATAAATTTTGTTAATGTTTTAAATACAAAGTAAGAATATGTTATTGATGATAAAAATAATTATAAACCTTTGATTAAAGTAAAACCTAGAACTTTATAAAGAAAATATATATTGACAAAATATTTAGGGAAATTTAAAAATAAAAAAGGAAATGTTACAATGTGGACAAAAGATGATTCAATAATATTTAGAGGAATGATTGGAGATTCAATTGAAATATTAGATCAATCATTTGAATTTGATTGGAATTGTTCTAAAATATAAAGATTTGTAAAAAGTGATTATGAAAAAATGAAATTGAAAGAATACTTTAGATAGAAATATTAATTAATAAAAGATATCTATAAATACTTTTCAAGTTTTGGATATTAACCTCCATAATTCGATGTTTTTTGTATTTAATTTGGTTAATTTAATAAGATTCTCTCACCTTTGATTGATGGAGAGAATTTGAAATAATCAGATCTTGAAAGTGATTTAGTATCAATAAAAAATAATGTTGATAGTAAATATATTTACAATCCTGATAAAGCTATAATTAGATATTAATTTATGGAAGTTTTATTTAGATTAGCAAATGATAAATATATTAGATCAGGATAATGTAAGAACTTTGCAGATGCAGTATATAGATTATTAAAAGAACTTGAATAACATTATGAAATACTTGATAATAGTTAATAATGGAGAAAATAAAGGTTTTGGACAAAGGAAGTAGATATGATACTCCAATTTAAATCACCATTCTTAAAAAAACTATATGATTTAGCTTCAGATTTAACTAATAAGAAATGGTATTTTAAATTGAAATGGATATCTATAAAAGAATTTAGGGAGTTTTGTAAATTATATACAAATGATATATTATCTGAAAAATAAGTCACAGTTATTTTTAATTATTCAATGTAAACTTAAGCTGATGAAGTTACTTAAGATCGTTTTTTAAGAATGACATTTTATGAATTCTTAGAAGCTTTAGCAAGAGTTGCTGAAAAAATAAGTCCTGCTCCTATTGGAGAAGATGCTTCAGTTTGGCCTGTTTTAGCTAGATAAACTTTACCATTACATATTAAATTAGAATCTATATTAACATTTATTTTTCTTAAATTAAGAAGGTATTTCCATTATCAATAAATTTAGATAATCTGAATTCATTTAATTTACAGATTTATTTTGTAAAGATATTATTGATGCTTAAGAAACCAGAATCATATTTATGCCAAAAGTTTATGAAAAACAATCCAAAGTAGAGAATACTGATGAATTTGTAATTACAACTACATAATTAACTGTTTACAATACAATATCCTTTTTCAGTAATTAAATTTATATTGTAAGATTCTCATCATTAACCATATTTGCATCCAAATTATAGAAACTTTTTATAATAAACAAGTAAGAAAAGAACTTTAATTAATACAAATACTATTAATACTATTAATAGCAATACATTTAGTAGATAAGTATCAGGAAGAACAACTATTTTTGAATAATAGTAATAAGCATAATAGAAAAACAATATAATAGCAGTTTTAGAAGAATATGATGATTAATGAAATATTGAATATATTTTTTCTCCTTTATGTTTTATAATTGACAATCATTAAATTATAAAACTAAAAATTATCCTTTGAGTTTATGATCTATATTAATTCTTAACTTTAAATTCAGTAAAATTAGATTAATATAAGCAAACAAGTTGATTGTATCTGTTTCAATAATTATAAGTTTAATTTGATTCCATAAAAGTTTAAAAAGAGAACAACTGAGATTATTTATAATTTTAATTAGAAATGAAAAATAGTAATGAGAGATCTAAATATTTCCTACCTCTTTTAAAGGATTATTCTAAAGAGAAAGCTCAAAAATTAAAATCCTTTTTCAAATCAAATCGTAGTATATCAGAAAACAAAATGGTAGAAACTAAATTCAAAGCTTAGAAATTATTGATTGATAATTAATTTTCAAATGATCACAGTCTTGTTGCCTATTATATAAGGAGTAGTGAAAAATTAACTGACATGAGATAAATTCTAACCAACACTTCTGTCTAATCTGATTAAGGAGCAACAAAAAAAAAATATTTTCCTTTGGGCTTATTAAAACATAGGTTCTCTCCTATTGACTAAGGCAAAAAAGAAACTTTAGAAGTTAATGAAGATGTTTCAAAAGAATTAATCGAGACTGAATAATAATTGATACAACAAGAAAACAGCTATGAGTATGATGATGATGAAGATATATTAAGTAAGATAAGTAGTGAAGAAGAACCTAAAAGATTTAATGGAGTTGAATTATAGCATGAGATTAAGAAAATCTAATAGAAACTAAGTAAATTGAATAGCTAATTAATTTAGATCATGAAATAGATTAATCCTATTTTTATTTTATAAAACGATAAGATAGATTAAAAGACTTAGCTATTAATTTCAATAAGAAAAATGTAGATCCGATTCATTTTTACTGTCTAAATGATAATATATTCCCAAAGAGAATTGATTTATCTAATTGTCTAGTAAATGACAAGGAAATGCATTTTTCAGATCTTGGTCTAACTGAGAAATATTTTCCTTTGATCAAGAATTTATTATAGTCAGTAAAAAGTAAAAGCGTTAAGCAATTATTTTTATGTAATAATCAATTAGATGACAAATCATTACTCTACTTAATAGAAGGATTTCCACTTTCCTTAAAAGAGATTAATTTAGGAAATAATATTCTTGGTAGAAGAGGAGCTTTAATATTATCTAATCAAATTTAGAAATTTACTAATTTAAAATCTTTAAATTTATAAAATAATTTATTAGCAGACAAAGGTGTTATTGTTCTTTTAAATAGCTTTTAGAAGAGCATAACCCTGCTTAAATTAAATTTATCAGAAAATTAAATAACAGATTCATGTTCTACATCATTTTATTAATTTTTTATGCAAAATAATTATTTAGAGATATTGATATTAAATTGGAATTAATTGGGACCTTCAGCAGGTGCAATGATAGCAAAAGGTTTATAATAAAATAGATCAATTAAAGTTCTTGATATGAGTTACAATCATTTAGGTTAGAATGAAAGAAGCAATTTTATTTAAGCTTTATGTGAGGCTATTTAAAATCCATAGATTACTTTAGCACATTTAGATATCTCTTATAATTAATTAAGTTAAAAATAATTGCATTTATTCAGTATAGCCTTACAAAAGAACAATTCTTTATATGGTTTACATGTTGAAGGAAATAAATGTTCTGCTAGAGTAAATCCATATGGTTTTATATAATTTACAAATGATAGCGAAGAATTTAAAGTTGTCTAACAAAAGAAAACTGCAATAGATGGTGTAAATTACATTCCATAGTAAGGAGATAACTTATTTGGTAATGATTGTTGTTGGATTTGTCAAGGATGGATGGAATATAGATTTTAATACATTCCAGAAAATGATAGCAATTAAGATCCAATATTCATTCATTTAGATTTCTTAGAGTAATTACTGTCATAACTATTAGTTATTAGCCAATCCCTATGACAAGTAGTTATGAATTGAGATAATAAATGATAGAAGCTTAAAAAAGAAAGAGTAATTATTTTGATTTGACAACTGGAGAGATAATTCATTAATTAAAATAATTAGTAAATACTGATAAGAGAATTACATTAGCAGCTATTACTGAAGCTTATGCAGAAGAGACAAATAATAAGAGTGAAGAGATAACAAAATAGATGATTTAAGAATTAAGTAAATTTTATTATACAACTTACTAAATGTGTCCTCCAAAAAGAAAGATTTTATTCTTTTTCTCAAATCCAATAAAGGAAGAATATTTTATAGATCCAAGAGTTATGAATATGCCTGCTCCTTTAGATGATGCTATTTTATAAGGTAAAGATCCTAAACATGGAGTTCATATATTCTCAGATGGTACTAAATTAGCTTTTACCAAAATTTAATAAGTAAATTATATTTTTTCAAGACAAGAATACATTATAGATGATAAGGATAACTATAAACCTTTAATTAAAGTATTTCCCAGATCTTCTTAAAAGAAATATGTTTTAAGAAGATTTGCAAATTTTTTAGTCAGAAAATAAGCTCATCTCATTAAATGGCATAAAGAGGATTCTATATTTAGACCATTTAATGGAGATACAGAAGAACTTTTAAATGAATGTTTTGAATTTGATTGGAATTGTAGTAAAATTAGTCGTTTTGTAAAAAGTGATTATGAGAAATTAAAATTAAAGGAATATTTTAGAGATTAATATTAATTAATAAAAGATATCTATAAATTTTATTCAAGTGTTGGATATTAACCACCTACTTTTGATGTTTTTTGTATTTAATTTCCATAATATATGAAATTAATAAATAAACTAGATATTATAGATGGAGATCTATTGAAATCATAAGATGTTGAAATAGACATTGTTTCATTAAAAAATAATGTTGATCCAAAACATATTTATAATCCAGAAAAAGCTATAATACGATATTAATTCATGGAGATGTTCTTTCGTATTGCTAATGACAAATATGTCAGAACTGATATTTATAAAAGTTATGCTGATGCAATTTTTAGATTATTGAAAGAGTTTAAAGAATAATATTTATGTTTTGATCTAATTTAAGAATGGAGATCTTGTAGATTATGGACTAAGGAATGTGATCATTTATTATAAATTAAAATGCCTTTTATCAAAAAACTCTATGATTAAGTCACTGATATTACTAATAGAAAATGGTATTTTAAATTAAAATGGATATCTATTCGAGAATTTAAAGAATTTTGTAAATAGTTTAATCTACATGAATATTTGTCAGAAAAACTATAAGTTATTATCTATAATTTTTCAATGATGACCCAAATTGATGAACTTACCTTAGATAGGAATATTAGAATGACTTTTATTGAATTTGTTGAAGCTCTTGGAAGAATTGCTGAAAGAATTAGTCCTGCTCCTATTTCAGAAAATGCTGACTCATACAATTTATTATAAAGATAACAATTGCCTTTACATGTTAAATTAGAAACTCTTCTTACTTATTTATATTATTAAATGAAATCCAGAGATTATGAATATGAATAATTTTGTGATTTATTTGTCTACTATAAACCTGAATAATCACCTAAGAGCAGCTTTCCTAAAATTGATAAAACTAAAAAATTAGATAAAGATCATGATTTTCATAATGATTTATCCACACTTACAATTTATAATACTGTTTAGTATTTAAGTAAATTTTAATATTAATTCAAGGTTAGAATAAATAGCCGTATTTAAATCCTAAATATAAATAATTTTTAAAGTAAAACATCATATAGACATCTCCTATTCGTCCTTTTTAACACATATTCTAAAGTGATAAAATCAAAAAAGCTAGATTGTAACCAGAAACATACAACTTAGAAACAAGATTAAATTAATCATAATTTAAGGCTCAAAGTCCAAACATTCATACAACTCTCTCTTAAAATGCATGACTATATTATAATTGTTTATAAAACATTATGGTTATATTTATAATTTTCACTTTATGTTTGCTAACGCTTTAAGCAAATTATATCTTTATTCCAATTTACTATTAATTTGTTAATAGGTTAAATTGTTATATTTAAATTCAATGTAACGTCTCTCTTCGTTAATTAAAAACATGTTATGAATTTTATTGATTTATAACAAAAATTCAATAAGAATTTCTTGATCTTACACTTTTAAATGATTAAGGATGAAATCAAAGGATACTTTTGAATGAATTTCTTATTCATTTTATAAAAATTAATATAGCTCTGCTGATTATGACCATTCCTTTACACAAATCTATATATGTGAAAAATTTTTAATATACTTTAACATCTTAATCTTATTAATATAAGTTTTTATCTATACTTTTATCTTCAAATTATTTAAAATCTTTATTTTATTAGAGAAAATTAGACAATTCATATACTAAAAATTGACTTGCAGGATTTGACCAATTTCTTAATTCCTAACCCAATCTAAAACATAGCAAAGATTCCATTTTCTGAGCCTCTGAGGAGAAATTATTTATTGGGTTAAATTTATTAGCAAGTTTATAGCATCTTAAAGCCTCATCAAAATCCTACAATAACTCAATTTTTATACTTGTTATGCTTAGGCAATCAAACCAGAAAAATAAAAATACTCAACAAATAAATTATTTTTCTTTTCAAAACCTCCTTATATAAATATTTTAGATTTGATAAATTAATAACCAAGTTTATAATTATAGGTAATTATGCATGATTACAAAAAGGCAATATGAAACTCACTAATAAATTGTATTTGTTCTAAAATCTAAATAAAATAATATTTAGAAATACATTTCTTAAATTATAAAGAATTTTAGTTATTAGATTAGGATTTTTATTTTTTAATTCACAACCAAGTTTATAAAGACAATGTGCATATGTATTAATTTACGATGGCTCTGTTCGTTTGAAATCTAATTCTATAAAGTACTTAGCCAACTATTTTATTTAAATTACCTAATTACATAACAAATATGTTAGTTTTCATAAGAGCCTTTAAAATTGGCAAGGAAGTTAAGCTTGCTAATGTCATGATCTGACTAGAAAGATGAATAAATTTATTATTCGCTTGGGATATCATATTCATCATTTTCTTGATGCATTTTTTTTAATATAAATAATGAAGAATTTATTAAATAAAAATAGAAAAGAATAGTAATTGTGAATGAAACGAAGAATATAAATAATAGCATATGTAGTTTAATATTATATCTTTATAAATATATTAATAATGAATGTGGTGTATGAATATATGAATCCAATGAAAAAATGATTTAAATTAGAAATATCATAAGATGTAATACTAATTCTTAGAATCAGATGAATTGTTCACAAGAGTGAAAACTATGACTAATGTAGTAAAACAATAAGCAGCAGGTGTACCAAAATAAGCCAAGAAAGAAGATAAATTGTTCGGTGACATTGAGAAGCCAATAAATGTTCCACCATTGCCAGCTGGTTTCAAAGTGCATTATCAATAATAATTTAATTTAGGTAGATGTGCCACAATTTGATGTCAGCAAGAGATTAAATAAACTTCCACGCACTTGGGATTTGCCCTAAGAACTTTATAAGAAACATTTACCAAAATATAATGTTGGATCAATATATAGAATATAAGAATTACTTAATGCAGGTGAGGGGTAAGAATATTTATTAAAATTTTCAGATATATAGGTTAGACATTGACAGTAGCAGGTTGGGCAAGAACAGTGAGAGATTAAAAAAACCTTTGTTTTATTGAATTGAATGATGGAACAAGTTTTGGTGGTCTTTAGATTGTAGTTGAAGATAAACTAGAGAATTTTGAGTAGATTGCTAAAACAAATACAGGTTTTTCTTTAAAAGTTACAGGAAATATTGTGAAGAGTCCTGCAAAAGGACAATTGATAGAAATGCTTGTATCTGATCCTACAAAACATGAAGTAGTGATATTAGGATAGGCTGATCCAGAGGAATATCCAATGGCAAAAGGATTTTAGAAACCTGAGACTTTAAGATAGAAAGCTCATTTAAGACCAAGAGGTAATTTCTTTAGTGCAGTCACAAGAATTAGAAATAATTTAGCATATTCTACTCATGTATTTTTTTAGAATAATGGATGTTTATATATTCATACTCCAATAATAACAGGAAGTGATTGTGAAGGTGCTGGAGAAATGTTTAGAATATCAACTATTTTTGATAATGATATAAAGAAAATTCCTTAAGTGAATGGAAAAGTAGACACAACATAGGATTTCTTTAAGAAAGAAGTAAATCTAACAGTTTCAGGTTAATTATAAGTGGAAGTAATATTATTTATTATATTATAGCATTTTTGTATAAGTATGTCAAATGTATATACATTTGGTCCAACATTTAGAGCAGAGAAAGCTCATACTCATAGACATTTAGCAGAATTTTGGATGATTGAACCAGAATTTGCATTTGCTGATTTATTTGATAATATGGAAGCAGCAGAAGGATATGTTAAATTCTGTATAAATTACATTTTGTAAAATAATATGGATGATCTTTAATTTTTGGATTAAAGAGTTAAACCTGGATTGATAAATTATTTAAAAGATATTGTGAGTAAAGATTTCATAAGATGTTCTTACACATAAGGAATTGATATATTATTGAAAGCATAAAAGGCTGGAGCAAAGTTTGAAAATAGTGATATAAAATGGGGAATGGATTTAAATAGTGAACATGAGAGATTTATAGCTGAGAAGGTATTTTAGAGACCAGTATTCTTATATGATTATCCTAAAGAAATTAAAGCTTTTTATATGAAGGTTACTGATGGTATATGAATTAAGATAATATTTAGATGGAAAATGTGTTAGAGCTATGGATATGTTGATTCCTTAAGTTGGTGAATTAATAGGTGGATCATAAAGAGAAGAAAGATATGATGTATTGGCATAAAGAATTAAAGAATGTGGATTAAATTTAGAAGATTATGGACCTTATATGGATTTAAGAAAGTAATTCAACTTATTATATAATTTAGATATGGTACAGTACCTCACTGTGGATTTGGATTAGGATTTGAAAGATTAGTAATGATGGTTACAGGTGTTGAAAATATTAGAGATGTTATTCCTTTCCCAAGATATCATGGTAGTGCTGAATTCTGAGAATTGATTATTTTCAAGTATATTATATCAAAAACATAAAGTTCTATCAATTTTTTAGTTTTATCAAATCGTACATATTTGGAAGGCATAACATTTTATTACTAACACTTTCAAATTGTGTATCCTCTTCATCATTTATACACAATGTTGATTATTTATGATTACAATCTCTTTTGAAAGAACTTCTTTCTAATTCTGTTTATACTTCCTCTTAAATTCCTTCTAATTTCTATGGTTCATGAACAACTATCTTTGTTTATCCATCTTCCTTTGGTTATGAATTATTTTAACATTATATATTCATTTTTTTTAACTAAATCATTATTTTATTATTACTATACCCAATCATATTAGAATTCTTTCTCATTCAAATTCAGTTATTAAAGTATATTTCTAAATAACTTTTTTAAAAAGTCATAATCACTTAAAGGATATTACTAAGCATTTGTTGATCTTATAAATTGAAAATATTAAAGAAATTCTATTGGCATATCCTTACAAAACTTTTCTGGAATCATTCGCAACTTTTATTCTTCCATTTGTTTACTTTTAGATCCCCCCTCTTTTACTCTAAACATGTCTCCTCTCTTTAAAAAGTACATTAGAATAAATCCTAAAGATTCTAAGTCATCTTTTGGAGAAGCAGCTTAAATCATAATCAACACTTCTAAATACTCAATCCTAAATGTTGATTCAAACTTGAAAATTTCGTTAACTATGTTTAACTAGAAAATTTTGATCCTTGACCTATATATTTGCCATTCTTATGCTTGAATTTAACACAATGTTGAAAGTCGATCAAGACAAATTCATTTTTGGCTGGTAATGTTAATATTTTCTTAGGTTTTAAATTACGATGCACAATAAATTAATTATGCATCTTCTCCAAAATATTTAACTATGAATAATTTAGGAATTTTACCATTTATATTCCTATCATACAAATTGTCCCTAAAGTAAAGTTCTTATTTGCAAATTGAAAGCATAATTTCAAACTTGGTCCGTATTTGTCAAATACTTAATAATAGTAGTTTGTATTTTATAGTCTCACATCTCCTGAAGCCAATATTGTTGGCATGAATGTCACTTAAATTAATAACTTACTTTTTATACCAATATTCAATTTCTTCAGGAGTTTCTCTTCATCCTAGATACTATCTATGTTTGTGTTAGCCTATCACGTTAATGAACTAACAATAAATTTAAACCATTATTTACATTACTAATCGCACAACGAAGTAATTTCCTGGATGCTATTTGTTTATCGCTGTCAATATATATATTACATTATCTTACCCAAATATAAATTATGAGTTCTTCCTCTATAAATGCAACTTTTTAAAGCATATTATCCATCTATAATTACTAAATTCTATTTTTGTTAACTTTCCTTTGATTTTGTTTCACTCATTTATTAATCAAATGAAAACATTACAAGACATCCAAAAACTCAGTTAACAATATAAAAATACATTCAATCATACTAAAAAAATCACGAATTACTTTATCTCTACCTTGTTTCCTATTATTGTTTAATCTCAAACTTATAATCCAATCAATTAATTCACTCCTTAACTTTCTGATCATCATCATATTATTCACAAAACTAAAGGTAATCTTACATCTTTGAGTCAATCTAAATAATCATTTCTTAAGATCTATTAATAAACAAAATCAATAACAATCTACAAGACAAGAAAAACATTTACTTCAATCCATTAATGGAATATCAAAAATTTATTCATTAAATTCACAACCCAATCAAACAATCTTAACTCTTAGTTCAAGCAGAATTGATCCCAAAGTCAAAAGAAAGCTTAATCAAATGAATAAGGGAAACTTTTTGCATTTTTTATTAATTTAAAAAGTTGGATATGTACTACACTTAAGTTCTTAAAATGCATATTATCATCTGCTTTATCATATATTATAAACGAAAGATGAAAAGTTTTTTTATGACTATCTCAAAAAAACTTTTAATTTTGAAATACCTTATCTTAAATAAGAATTATCAATTAAAATTAATAAAAAAGATATTAAATATCTTTTTGCAATCAATGATAATGAGTCATAATGAGTCAATATATTTTTTAATGCATAAATCTAAGTATTTAAAAGTATATATAGAATACTTATGAATTTAATTGAGAAGATTTCCTAAAATTAGGTAAAAACTTGAAAAATCAAATGCCTTTTATCTTGTATTATGATGATTTTTACATTTGATTCAAAGATTCATGTTTATTTTGAGTGAATTTTTTTTACTGGAATAATTTTTATTCTTCCTAATGAATTAAAAATATGAATTTTATCAAATTATTGAAATACATATATAAATAATTATTTTATATCTATTTTGAGTGTTCACATCCCTCGACTTTAATTAATTGAATTGTGATTATTTTAACTATATAATTTTACAATCACATCTAATTTATAATGACCAAAATTAATTCAAATAAAATTTAAAATACTTATTTCTCATATTTTTGATTGATTATTTTAATCCCATTTCATTTTCGATTTTCTTAAACTTTCTATGAATTTTTAAAAGGGTATTCAAATAATAAAAGTAAATAAATAATATTTCCTTTTATTTTATACCTGAATTAATTAAACCTGTATTAATATTGTAATTATAGAAATATTGAAAAATCAATTTGCAAAACTATTATTTGTCTTTTCTCTCTATAAGTACATGAATTTCAGATATATAAAGTTAGTTTTTTAAACTTATTTGAAGAAAAACAAATTTATGCAATTCTTTAATAATATTTGCCTAAAATGAAAGAAATATATAAGGAGAGTTGTTAATGAAAAATTTTCTTGAAAAAATCCAATAACAATGACGGAAGATTAATTTAGCAAATATATTTATAACCTTAATTTGTCCAATATATTTAAAAAAAAATGGCAGTCTAATTTAGAAGTCATAAGACATAATTTTGATAACATTCTAAGGGATGGATAAATATATATATTTTATCTTTAAACTATTTGATTCATTTAATAATGCATTTCATATAATACATTTATTTAAATTAAAATGATGGAGCACTTGCTAGTAAATTTTAATCTGGGTAAACTTAAGCGTCCTTCTTATTTTTATTCAGTGCTGCTAATTACAATAACTTTTTGTCAATTAATCAGTGCAATATTTTCAAAGTACTATTTTTCTTTAGAATACTAGATATTACTTAATCATCACTTATCAATATCCAAATATATAATTTTCGTAATCTTCTCAAATCATCAATCTAATCAAATATTTAGATGTTAATAGTGTAATTTAAGAAAATGAGATAATGATATAAATATTTTATTGGTGGTTATCAACTTAAAGTTTAGTGACTTATATTCTTTATGGAATTTGCTACTTTTAGGTGAAATATCAAAATAAGAAGAATTTAATTGATTAGTCCAGTGCTAAAGTTTTAAATTATTCATAATTTAGATGTTAACCTAACTTTTATTAATAGATCAATGGATAACTTGTTAACCTACTTAGCTAGTTTATTTAAATATTGCTTACTGTTCTAATAATAATTATTGCTTAAATATTATAATAAGTGATTAAATTTAGTAGATTATAGCAAGTTGCTTTTTATTGGTGAGATTTATTTTTCAAATTATATTGATATTATTTTTCATTAATCATCATAGCATTAAGAAAGATACACTCTCTTGTGGATCAAGATTTATTTTATTCTATTTAGAAGTTTTTAGAATTCTACTTAATATATTATTAGCATTTCCAAAAATGAACTAGGAATTTCATGTAAATATTTAATTTATTATAGGTTACATTTTTAATTTATTTATTTCTATCAACATGTTTAGGATGTTATTTATTTAAAATGAATGATTTTAAGTTGTTTATTGCAAATCATAAAGTAAGATAAGTTTTTAAAATATTCACATTTTCATTATTTGGCATTTCCATAGGATTAGCTATAAATTCTATCTCTATTCATTTTAACATTACTAAAAGTGATAATTTTATTTTTACAAGTTTATTGAGTGTGATTTCAATCATTTGGATTTTTTATTAATTTTATTTCAACCAGTAAATATAGCATCTTTGTAAATCAGCTCTAACAGAAAATAATATAACTTAAAAAATTGATAATCTAAAGTCTATTACAAAAGAGATAAACATTTTCCATGAATTTGGTGAAGCTGATTCATTTTATTTAGGAATTCTCTATCAACATTTTTCTAACATTTGCCCTAAAGATAAAAGAGAAAGATGCTTTTGTATGATGAGATTCTTGTATGATCCAAAAAAACATAAAGATATTAAAAATTCTTAATTTTCTATGTTAAGATAAAAAAGATTATATTTGAAATATCTAATTAAAACATGGTTTGAAATCTATTTATTTCATCATCCTTAAGATGTTAATATTAGAATTAACTATGCTGTATTTCTTTATTATTAAATGAACAATTAAGTTTAATCAAATATTTAAATCAAATTAATACGGAACTACAAAATGAATATATTACAATAGTTTGATTTATGCAAAATAGAACTTTAATTTTAAAATGAAATTATTGATGATAATAGTTTAAGTTATTAAAATGAATCAGATTTTGAATATGTTATTAAAATGGAATAATTAATTAAGTCAATAGAAATGAACATTCTAAATTTTCTTGATTTTAGCATAAAATTTTGGAGGTAAGTCAAATAAAAGATTATTTATGAAGAGGATCTATGGAATTTAAATGAATAAATAATATTAACAATTTCTAAATCTGATGATTTGTGGAATCAAATAATTAAACACAAAATAATTAATAGAGATAAATAAATAGTTAAGAATTTTTTGATTAGAAGACCAAAATGGTAATTTCTATATAATTGGTATCATTTGTATGTCCTAAACAAAAAAATTAAATAATCAATGTTAGAATATTGTGATTCTCAGAACATGTAACAATAGCCTGTTGATGAAGATTCAGGATCAGACAATTAAAATTAAATTGATTAATTTTCCTATTCAAAACCCTTCAATTACACATCAGCAATTTTTCACACTACTTAATCTGGACAAATAGTGAATATCAGCGAATCTACTTATGAAATTTTTGGATTCTAACAATATACTAATATAAACCAATTATTACCTTAAACCATTATTAGAAATCATTAATTTGGTATTGAACAATTTGTTTAAACAGGTAAAAGCAAATCATTTTACAAGAAAAGAAAAGTTTTGGCTTTAAATAATGAAAAGTATCTTATGCCATGTAAAAAATATTTGAAATGGCATTTAAGTCCTCTTACATAAATAGAATATATATGTATGATCAGACCTATATATAGATAATAAAGTATCAGTTATATTCTAGTTAATAATGACTGGGAGATTGATTGCGTATCAGAATAAATAGCAGAATTCTTTTAGCCTGGTTTATGTTTATTTTTATTATGTCCAAAATTATTAAAATATTCGTATTTTTCCTAATTTTTGACAGAAGATGATCTTTAATTGTTTAAATTGAAAAGAACTAAAAATGAAGAAAATTAAGATTCAATAATTGATGCTAAATTTACAAATAGAAAAATCACAATAGTTCCAACTAATTATAAAAATTAGTATGTGGTGCAATAATAAACATAAGATTTAGTAAGTATGGTTTTAGAAGATGATACAAAAATAGTAGAGGATAGTCCTATATGGATAAATGATGCTTTACATGAAGATTAGCCTGAGGAAAAAGATTAATTATTTAGAAGATTTCATAAGGTTGTTGATGAAGATCACGTTAAATTAACTTTTAGATTACCAAAAAAGATTAAAAATTTAATAGAAGATTATGATGAAGCTAAAAATGAAATACAAATAAATGGTTTAGATTAAATGACAATTAAATCAAATAAACACAAAAATTAGAGAATCATAAAAAGAAATGAACATGGAAAACTTTAATTTGATAAAAAAGTACTTTTTTTTAAGCTGTTTTAATATTAAGAATTCTACTATGAAACCTTATATAATCATTTTAGTAATAAATTTAACAATTATTTAGAAACCAGTTTTTAGAAGTATTGTATGACTAGTAGAATGCTCAAAACTGTTATTAAGATTGAAGCATCAATAAGATTTACCAAGAATACAATCATGGATAAATATTAAATAATCAAAATCACTAATCTAAATATCATAGAAAGCTAAGTTTTAGATAAAAAAGCCAAAGTAATTCTTTATATTATATAAATTTAGGGTGTTAAAGTGCTTAGTAGATAAAATCAAGTAGTTAAATAAAGACAGAGTGTTTTTTAAAATCATTAATCTCAGCATCTTTAATAATTATTATAGCAAAATTACTAATAATAAATTGATTAAAATTATTAAAAATTACTTTAGCTTAATGGTTATATTTGAATAATATTTTAGTTTAAAATTCTGATGTGGAATCTTATAGAAATACTACAAATAAGGCATTGATATCTGAAGACTAAGTATAATCTGATTTTAATGCTTAAAAAATAACATCATTGAGTCTTAAAACATAAAATAATATATTTATTAAAGAAGAAAACAATAAACCAGCTAAATAAGATGAAAAACTAAATTACTTTAAAATATTAAATAGAATCTTTATTTTATTCTTAATTATTTTTAACCTTATTGTTTTATATTAAGGACCTAATGTTAATAATTAAATTATGGATGAATTAGGGGTATAATATGTTATTATTAAAGTTTCAAAGTGCAAAGAAATAGTATGATTTTCTAAATGTAATGATAGAATCATATGATAAATTACTAAATGCTTTTTATTTCGAAAATAATTTACAAGGTTAAATTATAAATAAATCTGAGTTCTATCAAAATTTGTAAAAGAGTTTTAATGATTAATTAAGTCAAATAACAAATTTATATTAGCAACCAAGTTTTGTGTAGAAAATCTATAAATCAAAAAATTATGATAACCACTAAAATATAATTGATTTAATAAATTAATACACTTCTAATATTGGAAGTCTTTAGTAAATTGATTAGTACTATGATTTTGATTAAGAATTAGATTTCTTTCGAACAATATTTATTCCTTTTCTTTTCAACTATTAAAGCAGAAATATATTTTAAATGATTGATGAACTTACCTAAAATTATTAGAATTAAGATTGGATATGTTTTATTATTATAATGACATCTACTGGAATTTTTGGATTTTATTTGATCTACAATATATTTAAAATACTAAAGTTTATTACACAAAGTCAAGTATCACATTTAATATCTTTAGAAAGTTGCCAAATAATTGTGTTATATTGAAAAAACATAAATAGAAGAATCATTAAAATTTTATATAAATTTAAAATTGTAATTTTCATGTATCTGTAGTCAAACTGGTCTTATATAAAATAGTAAATAAGAAAATCAATTTTAGATTATTTTTAATCAACCAACCAAACCATAATTAGATTAATGGATGAAGATGAAAAAAGTAGTAATTTGAAGAGGTAGAAGTATAAATAATATGAATGGTCAAAAAGATGGAGAAAAATAAAAGTATTTTAAAAATAAATTTAGGTGTTGATGAATATAAGATATCTATTTTTTATGTCTACAATTTCATTTTTAAGTTACTTTTACTTTATTCACATTTTAAGATTTAATAAACAAATGTCAACACAATTAATTTCAAACTAATTTACAAAATAAACAACACAATTGCTATCATTGACTCTTTCTAAAGAACTTTATATTTATAATTTTTTAAATGAGACTTATATAGACATTTAAAATTTCTAAGAAATTTAAAATCTATATGTAAATAGTAATTCTGATTTATAATCTATTTTATATTAAACAGATATCGATGAAATAGACAAAATATTTAATGGAGATTTATGTAAAACAATAAATTAAAGTATGAATTGATGATATTATTTTAGTAATAAATTTCTAATATTGTGATACATATTTAAATGGTGCATTAAACTATGGATTGTAATATTATAACTTTTTACTTTCTCAAATGGCTTAATAACTGCTAAATCCAGAGGAAGGACTTTATGAAAATACAACTATTGATAAGATCTTTGAATTTGATTAGGTAGAGATTTATTTTTTATACTTTTAAGGTGAATTAATTTTAAAGTATTGGATATAAATAAGCTTGGGTAATTCTAGGATATAAATATAGTTAAAATATTGTTGAAAGTTCTTAAATAGAAATAATTTTTCTGTAATTCCTTATTATAAATAAATAGACCTTGTTCCTTAATATTTACTTTGGTGTTATTCATAATCTTATTTGAAATAAGTTTCTTTAATTAGATGCTAAGAATCATTTTAGAAGTTCGTTGTTTCTACAAAAGATACTTTTCAAATAATACTATAGATAGACATAAGATTATTAGGGCATAATTAATATAATGTAAAATAATCAACAAATGAGTGGAATATATAAATTATCATTCTCTTATATTTAAATAATAATATTTAACAATATAATATGTCTTTTGTAGAATAGAAAGTAAAATAGTTAAGACCAATACGAACTTAAAGAACATAATCAGAATATGATTCTTAATAAGTAAAAGCAAGTCCAGAATTATGGATATAAAATGTTTTAAAGGATGAAGCTGAACATAAAAATGTACTTAAAAGCTTTGGAATAGATAAAGCTTCTTTGAAGACTGCTGGTATAACATAAGCTGATCGAATATACAGTAGTTTGTTCATCTATTCTTAAGGAGTATACAATTCTTTAGAAGAGCTTATTGCTTAAAGTTTTGATAAAAAATCTATAATGGGTAAGCTTTGGAAAGTATTTCAACTATTGACTGATAAGTGTAAACCTCAAGTTATTGAAGTAGATTAAGCATAAAGTTAGTAGAAGATCACTATAAATATGCTTAATGACTAATTTTAATCATTAATGCAAATAAAAGACCAAGATTTAACTGAGCTATAAAATTAGATTAAAATGAGAGATGAGACTATACATCTGTTATAACATAAGCTAAATTTATAGAAATCAGAACTGGTATAATATGACGAATTAATATAAGAAAGAGATAAGTTATTTAGTTAAGAAACAAAAAAAAGAGTTAGTTTTGAATCTAAGATTAATCAAATCTAATGTATTTTTAATTAGTAACTCTAACTTAACGAATCCTTAAAATAGAAACTTTAAAATACAGAGTAATAAATAATTAGTTTGGAATAAGAACTTGATTCTAAAAGATAAACTATTTTAAGTTTAAATATAGAGATTGGTGAAAAAGATTAAAGATTAGATAATTTTAAATGTAGAACTTTTGACTCAGAATTATAAGTGAAAATACTTAAAGATATGAATCAATAATTAGAGAATAAATGTCAAGAGTATGAATAAAAGAAATAAAAAGACTATTCTTAAATATAGTAATTAAATTATTAAAACTCTATTAATTAATCATAATATAATAAATTAGATACTCTTAATAAATAATTAACAAATAATTATGAACATTTATAATAAAGATAGATTGAATAAACAAATTAAATTTAATAAAAATCATAAGTAATTTTTGAACAGTTAACAAAAATCACAAATTATGAAACTTAAATTATTTTATTAACTTAAGAGAATGAAAGTTTAAAATTAAAATTATAAGATACAAATTCAATTTATTAAGAGATTAATTAGAATGCATAAAATTAAGAGAATGAAATTCAATAATTAAGATCAAAATAATCAATTTTATCAGCAGAGGTAGTTTAATTACAAATATAGAAAAATTAACTTATAAAAAATTATGAAGATTGTATGAAAACATATCAAGAATTAAAAAAAGATTTTGATTTTGAATAAGAATTAAAGTTTAAAATAGAATTCGATCTTAAAAGATAATAAGATTAAGTAAAATAACTTGAATCTGAAAAAAAATAATAGTTAGATTAAGTAAGAGATATGTAAAAGAAACAAATGTTTTAAATTTAATAAAATGATGAAAAGAGTAAATTCTAATAAAATTAAATAATAAAAAAGGACGAGACTATTGAAGAATTAAGATGTAACGTTAAAATTTTAAATACAAGTAATTCTACTCTTGAAGTATAAGTTGCATCTCTAACTCAAAATTTAAATGAATTATAAAACAAATACTCCTCAGAAATTATTAAAAAATAAGAATTAGAATAATAAGTAAGATTATTACGGTTGGAATAAAAAAATTTGTCAACAGAATATAAGAAAATGGAAGAAAATCTTCTACTTCATCAAATCAAATATAGTTAAATAAAGGATTATCCTGATAAGTATAAGGAAATAAATGAATAATATACAATTGCCTTAGAATTAGTTAATTAATTGCAATAGGATATTTCTTTATTAAAATAAACAAAATAAAGATAACATGCTTAAATCTAAACAAATGAAATAAGTTTAAGCAATACAGAATGTTAAACAGAAATCTTATAAAAAGATCACTCTTAATATTTTGGAGCTGTGTAAGAAAATATTTAAACCTAAACTCTGCCAATAAATATTAATGATAAATAAATATAAGTAGATTTCAGATAAGCAAATTCTACTGAAGGTGATTCTAGTTTTAATGATAAGATTATATGCAAAAAATAAAATTAATATACTTAGGTAGAATTAATAACATAAACAGATTTTTAACTTGAGACACAATAGAAGAGTATTGAATAAGAAGCTATATCAAATCACAGATCAATTTAAAATTCTTAAAATTTTGAAGATAGCTATTAGACACGTTTACAACCATAATATGAAGATTTAATTTATGATAAATAGTAAATGAAACTGATTAGAAATGGGAAAGGTAATTCAATAAATAAGGTTGAAGAAGATTAGATTTAAGAATCCAATAAATTATATATGAAATCAAAATAAAAAGATAAACTTTATAAAGGATTAGAATTACCATAGATTTCAAACTGTGGTGATAAAACTTAAGTAATAATAAATCAAAAAACTCCTTCAGCTAGATTTGCTAAAATGTATGTTTAGGCATCTGAATATTACAAAAAATGAATACTTTACTTAATGAAATTAAATTAATAAAAATAAATTAATATTGATACTATAATTCATTAAAAATTTTTTATCAGTTTTTCTAGTGAATCTTTAGGTAAAATGTCTTTCATTAAACTTAAATTTTAAACTATTTATGGTCCATAAATACAAGGTTTCTTGTATATAGATTTCAAAACTGAATCAAGTAATGATTTAATGAAATTCAAACTTTTTTGTGCTTCGTCTGAGTTTTATTATTTTAAAAATTGATATGTATGTTTTAAAATGGATCTAAAAAATTATTGAACAAATTTGGTTTGAATAGGATTTAATGTTAATAATCCTTTTATAAATCTGCATTCCATTATCAATTGACATAATAAAGATTAATCAGTGATTAAGCCTTCAAATAAATCAGATTCACAATCATCTATATTTTCACAATAGAGTTCTATAAATCTCACTAAAACATGAAAATCAAAGATTGGTTGTAAAACTTTAGCATTAGGAACTACAAACATTACATTAAAGTAATTTTCACATATTTTTTCTAAATCAGCATACTCTTCATCGACATCATCCATATGTATACAGATATCTTTGGCATAATTTATAATGATTTCATTAGGCAATCCTAAAAATAATTCAGAAAATATTAATTATTATTCTTCTATTCTTGCTTCAATTAAATTATAATACTCATCTCTCATTTCATCAAACTCGTCATATAATTTTAAAAGAGTTGGCATCTAAAAATTAATACATAATTTTACCTTTTGTTTAGCCATATCATTGAAACATTAAAAGTATTCATTAACTAATTCAAAATCTCTTAATTATTTTTATAATTCTTAGTTTTATTCTTACCAAGTCTTTATTAACATTTCACTTGAGTGAATAGCTGATGTAGATCTTTCCACTTCTTTTTGTAATCGATCTCTTTTAAAGGTTTCTTAAGATATAAGTGATTATAAATTTCCAATTATTGATTCCAAATTAATCTATGAAAAGTTTTCCATGAAACTACAATAATGCATTTATTAAGAGTCATTGAAATTGAATGATTTGTAGCCATTATTTGCATAATCATAAGATACCTTATTAGATTTTATAATGCTTTTTTCAAATCTATTGAATTCTTCATCATCTGAATTATGTTCGTAAAAAAGCTTCTATTATTTTGCTATCCCTATCATGCTCATTCTCTTATTATCCATATCTGTTATTAAGTTATTATCTGTTTCATCTATTATTATAACATCTTAATGATTTTTATTTCTTTTTATTTATTCATCATCTTCGTATAATCCATCATTCTCTAAATCAATAATATTGATTTCCTCAACATTTTCTAAACTTTTTTTAGCTAGATAATTATTCATTCTGTTTTCTTCTTCTAATTCCTTAATGTATTCATAATTCTCTATTTAAATCACTTCTTTTTGAGCTTCTACTACAGGTTTATTGTCTATTTTCACATATTTTTTAATTTAATCATTATTTTCTTCATCATCATAATTCAAACAATTTTTGTTCTTTTTCGTCTAAACTCCTTTGGAAGCTATAGAATTATTACTTAATTATTCTTATGCTTCTTATTCATTAAAAGAAATGGTAACTTGTTTTTTAAATTTTTTATTAAACATTTTTATTAATAAAATTAATTCATTATTTACTCAATATTTTTCTTTTAGTAATTCATTTATTGAATCCCTTTTACTATAATACATTGGAATACTAAATTTCCTGCATTCTGATTCTGGATAATTAATTGTCTTAACTTTTGGATATTTATAAAGTTTTTCATATTTTCTTAATGCATAAATAACATTAGACATAGGCATATACCCAAAATAGTTCATTAATCTATCGATATTAAAATTTGTCGTTTAAAACTAATCGTCAAATTAATTCATATGTAAATCATTAAAATCGAATAGATTTTATTATGAAACTTGATTTTTAGGAGAATTATTTTGTTAATCATCTTCAGATTCAGACTTCAATTATCTATCAGAATCTCTGAAACCTGATTTTAAATTAGTAAAAATTCCAACTTTCTTCTATTAAGATTAATTCCTTGATCTAATCAAAAACGAATTATTTTTTTTCAAAGGTGCAACTGGAGGAATTTTACTTGGTTATTTTTCTAATAAAGATTCCTTTTAACAATAATGACTACTCAAATCTTTAGTGGCATATGTAGAAAAGAATTTCATATCTACATCTTCTATTTAAGTACTTGATAGATTTGCTTTATATTCTTCAACAGTATCTTTAATTGCTGAATGCAACATTAAACATCTTACTTTCTCATTATTTCTTAAAAAACGATTTCTCTATTATATAGTTGGCTTTAACTCAGCCTTTTTAATTCTTTACAGAATGTCTGGCTTATAAGACAAAAGTGGACAATCAATGTTTATATGATCTGTCATTTTACAAAAATTACAATTTTTTTAGACAATTTAGTAATTCTTATTAAATATGATGTTATCTTTAATATGATGAAACCTTTAAAAATCTTTAGAATTCTAATTTAATAATTGCAAAATTGATTAGCGATTCAATTTGAATATTTTGGCAAAACCTTGACTTCTAACTGATGTTTATGATTAAAATCCAGTAAAAAACTAATATTCACCGAATGTTTCTCCAGCTTTTAAAGATTGTAAAAGTTTCTAACTATTTTCTTCATAAATATTCACTAAGCCCTCTTGTATATAGTAAAGACTTTGATCATTTTAATCATTTCTATGATAAATAACATCACCAGGGGTAAATTTGAATTCTATCAAATACTATGAGAGTTATTTAAGAGTTGATTAAGAGAACTGATTATTGAGGATTTTAATTTTTTTCATAATGTTCATTTAAAAATCCTAAACAAGTTCCTGTTTTAATCCAATAGGTAGATCAGCTATGATTTTATTTATATCTTCTTTGTTTTCATTAGCTTCAGTTTCGCATTAATATTTGAGATAATTTCTAATTCTACTTTAAATTTATAAATTAACTTAACTATTTTTCATAAAAGCATTCATAATTATAATTGAACGTCTAATAAATAGAAACACAGAATTTACTTATATTTTTATTAGACTTCATATTAACTCTTGAGTATCATTCCAATTTGACTTATAGAATAACCAAACATACAACTGGATAGAATCATCATTAAATTTGCTGCCAAAGTTTCATATTGATTTGTAGGTGTAATGTCTCCATAACCGACAGTTGACATAGTCATTGTAGCCCAATAAAAAGATGAATTGTACTTTTCCCAAATTGTACAATTTTGCAGATTTCTTTGAATTAACCACGATTAACCTTGATCAATAGTAATTTCACCTACATAATGCCAAATGCATGCCATAACATGGGCATATGAAAAAATCAATATTGTAAGGGACATTACATCAATCGCATAATGATATTGCCCTTTTAGATAAAGAATTTCAGATAGGCTTTCATAATTCTGATTCAATTTTTTGTAAGATTTAAATATGATAATAATACAGAAAGCCCCTTTTAATTGATGATTCTCAAAGATTGAAAAAAAAGAGACAATTAATGTAGTTATATAAAGTGAATCTTCAAATAATCTGTTTTTAAGAAAATCTTTAATCCTTTCAGTTTTATCAAATATAGTTTCTCCATTGACAATCAAGGGACTATTAATTTTGATAAAAATATCAAAAAAGACTTAGAATACAATAATAAGGAAGAAGACTTTGAAAATTGAAGTTTCTAATTAAAATGAAATCATGAAAGGAGTAATCCATAAAGTGAGAATTTGAATAAATAGTGACCATATAGTTAAAATAATTGAAATGCGACTACCAGATATTATAAATGGGATGCGACTATGAGTTTATTGATTTCCTTAAATAATGATTCATTTTACTTTTGGTAGGTTTTTACCACCAATCTTGAAGTAGAAGATACTTATTTTCTTTACTTAATACATAAGATCGCATTAGGAGAACATTTTTGAACTTTTAAACCAGGGAATTTCTATTAATGGTCCTTAAGAAACTTGTTCGATTAAAACCAATTTTAAATTCACTCTTTCTTTTTCTAGTTAACTGATTAAAAAGAGAAGGTTATTATGAATACCTATTTGGTAATATCCTTGTTTATCATGATTGATTCACAATGGATGGTATTTGTCATTTTATTTTGATGTATTGATGTGTTGGAGTCTACTTATTAAAACTAGTATTTTTGAAGTTATTCTTGATCAAAACTAAGTCTAGGACCGCTAGGATGAATATCTTTGTTCTAATCATTCGATTCTGATATTTGTTTTAAAATACTCATTAATATAATTATCACAATCTCGGTTTATAAAATAGTTGAATAGCATTCATCGCTTAATCTTTCAGATGACTTAATTGAGGAGATATTTTTTATTCTAATTCTTGAACCAGAGATAACAAAAATCTATTATGTTCATTATAAAATGAAGCCAGGACTTCTTTATTATCTCCAAGAATGAGACTCTAATTAGAAATCAACCAATAGGTATAAGCATTTGGCTCAGATAAGGTTGATCTATTAAAATAACAAAATAACTTTACTTATTCCACTTTTAGGTATCTCTTGTCAAAGTCATTTGTATCTCAATGATCCTTCCAAGTAATGTAATCTCTTCAATAATTGAAGGATTGAAATTCTTTAAGGAAATACAATCACAAAGTAACATCATTGTACAAGATAATCTTTTTTATCTTGAGGATAAGAATTCCTCAAAATTGAATTATCCTTGTTTTGCTTATTGTAATAATTCAAATGATTTGATGTGAGCCAAAATAATGTTATTTAATTCATTCATCAGGGCTTATCTTAATTATGGAAATCCAACAAATTAATCGATATTATATTCAAAAATATGAATTAATTCATTCATGAGTGATAATCCATATTTAAGAGATATAGCTCCTCCTAAACAAGGTTTCTAATTCAATATGAAATTTTTAGATCTATCAAAATCAAGACTTAACATATTAAAAGATAGTAAATTGATCAAAATAGCTAAAAGCTTTAATTTGGATGTTAAATTATTGGATTAATATAATTCAGCTTCTCTATTAATTTTGACAGTGTCCAAAACAGAGAAGAGATTCTTTAGCCATTCTTAACCTTTCAAACCAAATATTTATCTATTGATAGCAGAATCATCAGTATAATTCAAGTTAATCTTATTTTGATCACATTCAAAGACTACATGTAAATCTACTTTTTCTTATGTGCCTATCAAATCAAAAGAGCCAGAAAAAGTACAGAATGCTTTCATTTATTTACCTTTTGCCTTTCCGATTTCATAGAACACATTATAAGCTTTAAGAAATTCTAAGGCTGTTTATTTACTAAAATTATTTCTATTTTTCATAAATAGAACAGCTTCATCAACTAAATGTTCTGGAATGCCACTTGCAATAGCAATATTCCTTGCATGTAATGTCATATGTCCTTTCTGAATACCTTCAATAGATAAAGCTCTTAAAGCTGCAAAATTGGATGCTAACCCTACTGAGACAATTATTTCAGCCAATTTTTAAGAATCGGGATAGTCAAGAATGGATAAGATTTAAGAATATAAAGGATTTTAAGGTAAGACTCCTCCTTAAGTTCCTACACTTATTGGTACTGTTAATTCACCAATAAATTGATTATTTACTATTCTAAAGGTTGAAAGTGGTTTATATTATCCATTTATCGATGCATACCCATGTAATGATGCATTAACTGCTCTTGCATCTTGACCAGTAGCATTGCATACTGCCTCTATCCCATTTATAATACCTTTATTATGAGTTACTGCTCTATATATATCAAGTTCAGCAAATTAATAGGCTTCCAACATAAGTTTAGCAACTTCTTTTCCATTAAATTATTTGTAATTCATTTTATCAATATCTAAATTAAATTATGCTGTAACTTTTCTATTCATACACAAATTAGTTAATATTTTAATTCCAACTCTTGTACCAGTAATTTCAGAAATCAATGGGGCCACATATTCTAAAACTGTGTTAACTAAGTTTGCTCCCATACTATCACATACATTTATAAAAACATCTACACTACATTAACCTTTATCTAGATTTCGACATTTCACATCTTCTACTCCTCCTCCTCTTTTTACCATACTCTAGCATGCTTGATTTCCTCTATTTATTATTGTTTATCTATTTGAATCAATTAAACATTCAATTTTTGAAAAGTTTTATACATCTAGTAATTAGATCTAACCCATCATTACAGGACGACTTGAATAAGTTTAAAATCCAACCCCTGCTTCACTAATTGTTTTAGCTGCTGCACTTGCTGCTGCTATTACTGATGGCTCTTCAATAGCCATTGGAACAGAATAACATTATCCATTTATTAAAAAATTTAATCCTAATCCAAGTGGATAAGATATCTTTCCTATACAATTTTCAACCATCAAATTTGCATTCTATAATGATAATCCTCCATCTTTAAATGGCTCTACATTTACATTCATTGTCTTTTCCAATTAATCCAATCTTTATTATATTGTTTTCTTATAAAATCCAGTCCATAATTAATTATATTATTTTTAAGACTATTATAAATTTTAATCACTCTAATTATTATTATTTATTTAATCTCTTATTTATTAAATTTTATTTATTGATTTAGAATTATCAAGTATTATCACACCAGAGGTTTAATTCAATTCTAATGGTTTATGAACAAGATAATCTCTTCTATATTTATCATCAATAGATTTCAAATAAAATGTTCCAGGATATAAATCAACCTATTTTGGTTAATATTATTAACTATGTTTATTATAATTGATTTCTCTTTATTGCATAATATGATCATATTCAATACAAGATATTCTTATTCTTTACTATAGTCTTTCTTAAATTTTAATTGTTTTTTTCAATATTCCTGTTGGTTTGTGACATTTTAAAAAGAAAAGGGATGCTGCACAACCTGATCCATATGAAAACATCATTATTCTTTTATTTATTAAATCTTCTTATGTTTCAATTAAACTTATTAAACCTGCATATAAAGCACCAGTGTATATATTTCCTAATTCTCTTGATAAAAGACAAGATGGAAAAGCTTTAGTAAGCCAATCATTTTAATAGAATTTAAGCATCTATGACTATTTTTCATTAAAATTTTCAAATGTGAATCCAGTTTCAACTTTTTAAACAAAAGATTCATTCAATTTAACTCTTAAAAAAGATTTCTAAACCATTTTATGAAAAGGACTGTGAAAACAATAAAAATCTGCATTCAAATCTTTGTTTTTCTTAAAATAAGATTGAATACAGTTATCGATAGATGATAAATAACTCTATATTGATAGTTAACCATCTACAGTTGGATATTCACTATGAAAGTTTGGCTTATAAAAATCATAATTATCTTTCATATAAGTTGTTCTTATTGGTTCTATTGTAAAAGTAGCATTTGGAGCTATTAACATAGCTATTGCTCCTGCTCCTCCAGTAGTACGAGCAGATCCTTTAGCATAAACTGCTATATCAGTACATACAACAATTCCTAATCTTCCATCCCAAGCATCACTCTACATCCAATTAATTGTATTAAATAAAGCATTAGTACCTCCGTAACAGGCATTAATTGAAGTCACTCCCTCAATATTTGTGTTCTCACCAAATAATCTCATAAGAGTAGTTTTAGTTGATTTTGATTTATCCAACAATGACTCTGTACCCACTTCTAATCTACCTATTAATGCAGGATTTATTTAATTTTTCTCTAATAAATTTGTTACCACTAACTTTTAAATTTCAACATACCTGTCAATGCCATTGTATTTACATCTTCAAAAGGTCTCACAAATGCCATATTTACTTATCCTAATCCTATCGTATACTTACCCTATTAAACGTTATCGAATAATTCTAAAATCTTATAAATATTTAGTACCTAACTCTGCTTAGTTAACATAAGTCTTTGGAAAATAAATCTCTATAGTTTCAATACCAACATTTATTGCTTTCATGATTATTATTATATATTTAAATTTTATATTATTGGTTAAATCGACCTCTCATTATCAGAAATCAATAAATTCATATTTATTTAAATATCATTTTATAATATGCTTGTATATAATAATCGATATTAAATCTTTAAATTAGTAATAATTATGGAAGTAGTTTGAATGTGAATGCAATTATTATTATGTACTGTAAATAATATATTTGATATCATTGTTTTTTTGCCTATCCTTTCTTTTTATCGCCTCCTTGTTATTATTTTCCTTTTTAAACTTATTATTAAGTTTATTGTTATTCCTTTTGTTCTTTTGGCTATTATTATTGCTTTGTTTTTTGATCTTTCTTTTCATCTTTGACTTCAACCTCTGCATCTTCTTTCAATTTCTTAATTCTAAGCATACCTTACTTAGCAGACAATCCAGCTGGAGTACTCATGATAAATAATTAACTTACTTAACTTCCCAAGCTCCACCTGCAATTTGTAATCCTGTTTATGTACATCTCCAAATACCTATTGCTTATCTTTTTAAAGAGTGCTAATAATTCAATATAAATCATACAGCCCCTGTGAAGGTGTTGAAATATCTTTAATGTTAAGAAATTTCGAATTTCTTAATTATTTTTCTCAAAGAAGCACCATATCTGGTACCATATTTACCTGTGATTCCCACCTTCTTTGTTTTTTTAGTCATATTTCAAATAAAAATAAAATCTTTAATTTATTTAGTTTAAAATACATTATTCATCATCATTATTATATATATTATTATTCTTCTTAAATTTTACAATTAAATCTTAGACTAATTCTATCATATATAGCATTCAAAAAAGAATACAATGAATTGAGATCAAAAATTGATTAGAAATTGTAAAAAAAAAAAAGATTTTTTAAATCATTTCACAAAATAAAATGAAAATTAAATTATAATAAGATTTAAGTAGATGATCAATCATTATTATAATATTCTTTTCAAGAATTAAAAACAATTGTATTGATAATCATTAATAAAGGAAGAATTAAAATATTTAAAAATCATTTCCTTATCAAGAGAATTTTTTAAAAACTCTCCCCCTATTTTAAACCAATATATATACTATTTATTAATTTTTAAAAAGACAAAAATATCTCTTTAGAATTAAAATTATTAAATAATTAGCAACAATCTAAATGATAATTGACTATTAACTGAAATTATAATTATCTAATAGTTTAATTGATGCAATTAATAATTAGTTTATTTTTCTGAAAAGGGAGTTAATTGAAAATAAGATTAAGCTCATATATTAATTATCTAAAAGATTAAATAATCTTTTAATATGAATAGTTACGATTTTTCAATAAAACTTAATGATCATTAAATATTAATATAAAAATTTAAAAAGGTCATATAATGGTTAAAAAAGCAGAAATAGTTTATTCATTAAAATCTTTTAATTCAAAAAATAATAATTCAATAAATAAAATTGAAAGCGTTTTACAATAGAAAAATAAATTATAATTAAGTTATTACATGTTAAAGCACAAAAATAATAAACAAATATTTATAATCATTTTAATCTAATAAATTTAAATAAAAAATTAAACTAAGATGTAGTAGTTTTTCAAAATAAAATATTAAATTTGCTAATAATATAATTTACTTGTTTCCTTAATATTGAGGTTGATTGGAATGGTGAAATTTATAGTATTATTATAATTATTACTTTAAAAAAAATATAATCTTCTGTATATATATATAAAATAATAATAAGACAGAGAATGCTTGCTTGTTAGATGGTTAAGTTTATAACTGAATAATCTGTATTCATTTTTTATGTTTCTTTTACTTTTTTTCTTTTCTCTTACTTCGACTACGACTTTCTTCTTTCTTAACATCTCCATTTTGAGTTGCTTTAATTGATTATTATTATTGTGCAAGTTCTTTTAATCTCTTTTTTTCTGCTTTCTTTTACTCCTTTAATTAAATTAAGCGTTCAGCTTTTTTCATTTCCCTTTCAACTTTTTTTTCTAATCTTGTTTTTTCTTCAGCATCAAAATCAAATGCTGTTCCTGGCTTAAATTATTCTTTATCAATTCCAAAAGCATCTCCAATTTTTTTCTCCTGCTCTTCCTTTTTTTAGGTTTTAATATGAGTATCTGCAACATGACTAAAAATGTGGTAAAATTAATTACTCTAATTAATATTCTCCTTTATTAAGCATCTCTTTTAATTTATCTTCCAATCTTTATACTCTTTAATTAATTTCCTCTTCTGCTATTCCTCTAGATTCTAATTCTTCTTATAATGTTAATTTTTTAAGTTCAATATCTCTTTTCATTTCGTGTAAAATAATTTCTGGATTTGCCTTCTTTCTTGCTTATATTACATTTTCCTAAAAAAAAAATTTAATAATATATTTAACTTTCATCGCCTTAATTTCTTTAAGAAATTCATCTTGTTTTCTTGTTGGTTTAATATGAGCTAGATTTTTTTATACATAACCAGAGGTCCCACTTCCTCTAGGAGTCATTAGACCAATATTATTGTACATAATTAATATGTAAATTAATTTTATAAATTAAAATACTTTTAACATTTTAAATGAGAATAATATATTCGAAAATGACTCTAACTAAAATTAACGTAAACTCTTATATATTTATTTTCTCCATTTCTTTTCCTATGAATTTTGGTTTAAATTAATAAATTTTATATAATGAATTATTTAAAGTCAATTTTTCAAAAAAAAACAAATCAAAATGAAATTCATTAAACTAAAATGAACTATTCTACTATATATGATTAGAATTCCTTAACAGTTCATCTAGATGATATTAAGGCAATAATTAAAAGTGAATAGAAAAGGTAAGAACTTTATTTTCGTCCTACTAAATCCCTTTTAGAATAATTAAAAGTCCTTTATACTTTACATATGATGATAATTTCTGATTAAATCAGTGATGAAGATTAATTAATTAATTGCTTCTCATAAGGAAAGGTACTGTGTTTATATTAGGGAAGATTATTTGCAAGTAAAATAATAATTAGCAATGCATACAAACTTCTTTTGTAAACAACACAATTGGAGCATAATCACATCATAATTCTTATAACTATCATCAGAATAATTCTGAAGTAATCATAAATATATAATTTACAGTATCCAATTAAATTTAACACTGTGGAAATTGAATTTTCACATCAATATTATTCGTATCTTTAAAGAGCTGCAAATAATTGTGATATCTATTATTCATCTTAAAAATAGCAATATCCATACTTTGAAGAGGCGAGAAGCAGGAAGATTAGATTCTTATGGCTTTTTAAGTTGATTAATTTGATTAGTTTTAAAATATCTATGATTCCTATGATTTAAAAGTTGATATTTACAGAAACAGACTTTACTGTAAATTATTTAATTAGTGATAGTAAATAGCTAAAGATATAGCTATTTTAATCTATAAAGATTGTGTTAATGAATATATTTTTTTAAAAAAAGAAATAGAAGAACAAATGGAATAGTACTTACAACATAATGTCAAGGATGGTAATTAATATTAATAATTGCTAGTAATTAGTTTATTTGAATTATATATTCAAACTAAATAAATCACTAATTCTCTAATATTATTTCATAATTTTAGAAATCATTTTCTCAAATATGAAAGGATTGAAGAGTTCTCTTGGCTTCGAATGGAGAAGCATACAGAAAAAGATATTGAATTATATGTTTAAAGAATTAAATTAATCAATTCCACTTAGTTTAAAAACACATTAAAAGTTCCTTCTCAAAAAGAAATGTTTGAAAATTTATAATAAAAGATGACATAACCAAAATAGAAAAAAGTATTATATTATTTAAAAAGGACCATAATGTTCTTGAAAAATTTTCTCCAAAAACTGAAAAGAAGAAATAGTAATCAAAATAAAATACACATAGAATAATTTTTTAAAACTGATTTTTTGATTTCTTTGTTTTAAACTAATATATATACTTTACTATTATTTAAATTCTTTTTGTTTTGAATAGAAGATATCTAAATTATTACAAATAAATTAACATAAATAAATGGTTAATGGAAAAGCGTAGAATTTAATAATAAACAATATAAAGAAATAAATTACATTTTAAATTTCAAAATGATGACATTGTCAATAATAATTTATATTCTAAAATTTTATATATACAATAATAATATAAATGAATTAAAATTAAGAAGATGATTCGAGTGATGATGTAATATAATTTGAAGATAATGAAATAATAGATTTTTAAAATATCGAATCAACTACTCCCAAAGTTTGCTAACCTTTAAAGCAAGAACTTAAGATTACTAATGAATTTAAAAACTTTCCACAATTATTGATAGTCTCTCAGGTAAAATTAAAAAATAATTATAGCAAGAAAGTCAACCAATATAATAAAAGACCAATTAAACCAAAAAATCTCCATAAACTACATCTAATAATTAAAAAAATGATTCTCCTGAACTTCAGAAATTTAAGGACAATAACTACTTTATATTATAAAATTTATAAATAGATTCCTGCATAGAATAGTTTTTAATTTAGCCTGCTCCTAAAGGAGGAATGATTTAATGTAGATTATATAGAGCATCTCCAAAATACACATTATTTTTAGAATAATTCAATAATATTATTCTAAATGCTTGGAAAAAGTCATTTTAAATCAAAGGCAGCTATAAAATATTTCCTAAAGGCAAAAAAGAATAATATTTAGGAAAAATAAAAGGAGACTTTATGGGCTAAAGATACATAATATATGATAATGGAAAAACTAGAAAAAAGTCAAAAGATGTAAATTAGTTAAGAAAAGAGTTAGGAGTGATCTATTATTAACCATATGAGAAGAAATTGCGATCAATTTAAGTACAGATTTATGAAAATATAAGGCATTTATTCCTTAACTAACTTCAAATGAATAATTGTTTGAATTTAAGAATCAAACACCTTATTCCTCTATTGTTGATAGTTTAGATAATGTAATTGAACTACTTAATAGAAAACCTTAATGGATTCCTTCTTATAAAGCTTTTGGTTTAAATTTTTATGGTAGAATATTTAAAAGTTCGGTTAAAAATTTCATTTTGACTTAAAGAGGAAGTGAAATTCCAATTTTACTATTCGGAAAGAATGATGATAGAGAATTCGTTCTTGATTTTTCCTATCCACTAACGCCAGTTTAGGCATTTTGCATTGCTCTTTCAAGTATGGATCATAAGTTTGGATGTAAATGAAATTAATTTTATCATTAAATATTGCTAATCTAAATTTAATATTCTACCAATACTTATATTCGATTTATTGAATAATTAGATATAAAAAATTTAAAAACTTGATAATTTTCGAGGGAGTTCAATAATTTTTTATTTTAGTTAAGAAATAATAAATTTTATATAAATATCAGAACCATAAAGAGAGATAACTAACTTAAGAGTTTAGAAAGGAAACGAATTAAATGTAAGATTTAAAAATCAAGATTTAATTTTTTTTTTCAGAACTTTTTATCTACTTACAGATCTAAAAATCAAAAGAAGAAAATAAATTTCTAAAAGATGAGTAGAGAAAATATTATCAAATATTTTATGAATTCAATTAGAATTTTGATTTTTATTGTGTTAAATTGAATAATTATAATAATAATAATTTTTTTTTACTTTGGTAAAGATTGATCGTTTTAAAAAGCCAGGACGGTAAAAGAGACGTTAAGAATTGTTTAATCAGATTCTTTAAAAAATGTAGATTTCAAGAAAGTAATATATTAGATTTTTGAAGTTTAGACTGAATTGTCGGTTTTTTCATTAATTTACAATTATTTATATTGAATAAAAAATTGATATGAATAATAAAATTAAAAAAGCAAAAAGAAAACTTTACTATGTAAAACAAACCTTGCGATTGGATTTGTGTTGAATGTAGAAACTTAAATTACTCATTCAGAAAAATTTGTAATAGATGTCAGTATAGTACAAGAGATGCACCAGGAACTCGATTTATCCCAAATAAAATAGATTAGGGATAATAAATACTTGAAACAATTAAACTTTAATAAATAGATTTAGGAGGAAGCAGTCATAGTTCTACAGATAGCAATGATGATGATGATGGAGTTTTCTCTTAAGCCTTATTTCTTGAAGATTTATCAAAAAATTCTGAAAGCGTTAAAAAATCATTCTCTTTCTTGAAAAAATGTTAAGTTTGCTGCAATTAGAACTACTTTTACTAATAAAAGTGTAGAAATTGTGGATATTCTTTATTAATTTGATTCTTTATTTTAAAATTATATTTGAGTCTTATATACTAAATAATTATTATAAATTTTATGTTTAAAGATCTAGAACTAAATTTAATATATAATCTCAGTTAGAGAAAGGAAATGAAAAAAAAAATTAAATTACCTGTCAATAAACTGAAATTTATAAATTAATAAATAAATACTACTATGTATAATGTAAAAGTAATTACATAATGATGAAATTAAATTGAAAATAAGTTCTGAATTCCTAATAAATATCGAAATTTTAGGTTTGTGACTTATTCTATCTTATAATATATCAGAACAACTTACTAAAGACATGAATAAAAAGAATGATTATGTTTTAGAGATAATAAATAAGTAAATTAGAGATTATGACTTTTTCAAATAAAATAAAAAAGATTCATATTGTAAAGTAATAATTGTTAATTTGCTCAAAAGGGCTCGCTATTAGTGTGATGAATATATATTCAAAATATTACTCTCTAATCATTTTTTAAACATTCAATAACAGTTTCAGATTCATATTAAGTATGGATTGACAAAGAATTTTCCATAATGAGAGTAGAAATATTTAAAAAGAAAAAAAGAAAAAAGAAACCATATTTTATTTTATTAAAGAATGCTAAATTTTGCACATTATCAATTTTCATTTCAAAGAAACTAGCCAAGCCATTATTCTCAAAAAAATACTTTGCTATCCATAAATACAGACCTTTTAACAATTAAAATAGCTTAATTAAGAATTCTAATAATATTAATAAGAATTATCATAATATATTACTATTTTCGTTTGAATTTAAAATTCTTCTTATGATAATACTTTTGCTTAAAACTTATTAAGAATAGACTATTTATATTAATATGAAGTTTCAGTTTTCTAGTAACTAAGGAACATAATCTTTCTCTAATATTCTCTCCTATCTTATAAAAGAACCTATCATTTTTTACCACTCTTGCATTTAATTTATTATTCTAAATTTTTTTCTTCAATTAGTGACCATTTGAAATTTTTTTTTAAAACATAATTCCAAAATATCTATCCTCCAATCCTACTTAATTAACACTTAAATAAGGTATTTCTAAAGTTTAAATTGTAAAAAGTAGATTTTTCATCTCTTTTTATTTTTTCAATGAAAAGTTCATAAGCAAATCAGATGAATAGAAAAGACAGTCATCGTTTCCAGTTAAAAATAACAAAGGAGTAAAGACCTTTGAGTATTTTAGCGCATCTAACTTAATTATTTTGCAAGTGAGAACTTTTTTAAATGAGCCATAAATATTTCTAACAAAAAGTTTACTTTATTTTGAAAACATATATAAATAATAAATGAATATCATAAAAAATCAATTTAGCATAAAGAATATAAATTCTATTTAAATTCAGAATTAATTAAAATATAAAAATATCTTAAAGTCCTTATAATTATTATTTTATATGTTTTCACAATCTTCCCTCAAAATAAAAAGAATTTATTTTAGTATAAATAATTTAATTGATGTGTTATTATAAATTATATGATGCATCTGCAAAAAATATATAATATACTGATAACAATACTTAATTAATTTTTTTAAATAAAAGTAGTTAATTATATTAATCAGTTGATAATAACTCATAGAAAAAAGAAATAAGACAAATAAAATAAACTCTTATTATATTTCATTTACAAATGATTACATATCAAGACTTTGTTCATGATTATTGCCTTTATGAAGAGTTCAAATAAAATATTTAAATATAAGTCATTATTGAAATATTTGTAGTGTAGCTTTTATAAACATAATTCCTGAAATTTCTTTTGTTATTGAGGAATGAGAATGATGAAATTTTAGAAAAAAAAAGATTTAAATGATATTAATACTTTTTTATGTTAATTATTTTTTATTTATTAAACATTAATAAATCATAAGAAAACTAGATAGAAAGAGATAATTTTAAGAATTCCAGATGAATAACAATTATTTATTTGATAATATTAATTTCTTATAACCCTGAACATAATTACATTTAAATTTTTATGAATTATTTAAAAAATGCTGATTTCTTTGGTGTCCCATTTTTACAAAATATAAATCAGTAAACATTACATAAAAGTGCATTAGGAGGATGTTTAAGCATATTAATAAGTGCAACAAGTTTTGCTTACACGTTTTGGGTATTTTATTTATGGCACAATAACTAAATGAGTCCAAAAATTTCTAATTCAAAGTATATTTCAGATTATTCTATTCTCAACTTCAACTCAGCCAAAATTAGTGTTTACGCTGAAGTTTATGAGGGACTTGTAGACCCTTTTAAATCTAGAATTTTATTACCTTTAGTAATGTATACTGATAATTTCTTTCATACAGAACCAATAATTATTGAAAATTACACAGAATCTTCTTATGGAAATTTGTATATACCAAATCTTGATTTGGGTTATAGTTTTATTGATGGGTATTTACAGACATCAAAGTAAATGTTCATATTCATTTCACTTTGTGAAGAGAAGTATTTGAAAGAAAATGAAAAATGTGCTTCAGCTGAATTAAGAGAATAATTTTTTTAACAAAAGATAAATTATTTCGGTGTATAAATAGAATCAACAACATTGGATTCTAGAGATGGATCGGAATAAACTACAATTTAAGATATTTATATTGAACTTGAATAATAGATTTGCTATTCATTAAATACATTTCTTGAAACAAATTATTATGAACTGTAAGATTATTTATTATTTGGAACATCTAAATAAAAGGAATATATTAGTGGAGCAAAAGTATAAACTCAATCTCTTTCATCAAAAAGATGTAAATAAACCTATAATAATGATGCATTGGCTGTAATCTATGTTGAAATGAACGGAACTTAAACAAAAACAATATTTGAATATCCACATTTAGGAGATCTTTTAGCAAACATCGGATCTATTGTATCAATTTTGTTTATATTTAAATATCTTACTATGTATGTAAATCAATATTCTTTAAATTAAAAAGTATTATCTGATTTGATAAATATGTATTATCCAGAATTTAAAAATATTAAAATCATATAGAATTGGAGATTTAAGGTAATAAAAATTACTTTCAATCATAATTAAATAGATTAAATAGAATATTATAAAATTTATGATAAGATTAAAAAGTAAATGCAATAGAAGCTATGTTACATGAATTTATTATATGAAATATCAAGATTATATCTAATAATAAGATCTTCCAAATTAAGAGAAGAACTATTAAAATCTCATTAAATTGGAATTAAATTAAATCTTCCAACTATAAAAGAAGATAATTATCTTTCTAATTCCAAGTCTGCTCATAAATTTCATTCATTAGTAGAACCTTTTCTTTTAAATGAGGATGATGCTGAACTTTTATCACTTGCAAAAAGAGCAAAACAAAAAGATTTTGATGCAATTCCTGAAGAAATTTATAATGAAGCTGATTATTTTTTTCTAAATAAAATTATTTGACATCATTTATTTATAAGTCATCGATTAACATAATTTTCATTAGTAAAATTTTTTTAATTCATTAAACATCTATTATATCTATAATTATATCAAATTATTAATATTATGTATTGAATTTAGTTAATTATAAAGCTTAAAATGAATTTCTTTATTATTTAATTTTTTATTTTTAATTAAAATACTGTGTTTTTTAGATTTAATTAAAAGTTGATATTAAATTTAATAAGAAAAATAAGATCTATTCTTCATAGTAATGAGGAATTTTGTGTAGATCTTTTATTAAAAATAAAAAATAGAATANAGATTTGCTATTCATTAAATACATTTCTTGAAACAAATTATTATGAACTGTAAGATTATTTATTATTTGGAACATCTAAATAAAAGGAATATATTAGTGGAGCAAAAGTATAAACTCAATCTCTTTCATCAAAAAGATGTAAATAAACCTATAATAATGATGCATTGGCTGTAATCTATGTTGAAATGAACGGAACTTAAACAAAAACAATATTTGAATATCCACATTTAGGAGATCTTTTAGCAAACATCGGATCTATTGTATCAATTTTGTTTATATTTAAATATCTTACTATGTATGTAAATCAATATTCTTTAAATTAAAAAGTATTATCTGATTTGATAAATATGTATTATCCAGAATTTAAAAATATTAAAATCATATAGAATTGGAGATTTAAGGTAATAAAAATTACTTTCAATCATAATTAAATAGATTAAATAGAATATTATAAAATTTATGATAAGATTAAAAAGTAAATGCAATAGAAGCTATGTTACATGAATTTATTATATGAAATATCAAGATTATATCTAATAATAAGATCTTCCAAATTAAGAGAAGAACTATTAAAATCTCATTAAATTGGAATTAAATTAAATCTTCCAACTATAAAAGAAGATAATTATCTTTCTAATTCCAAGTCTGCTCATAAATTTCATTCATTAGTAGAACCTTTTCTTTTAAATGAGGATGATGCTGAACTTTTATCACTTGCAAAAAGAGCAAAACAAAAAGATTTTGATGCAATTCCTGAAGAAATTTATAATGAAGCTGATTATTTTTTTCTAAATAAAATTATTTGACATCATTTATTTATAAGTCATCGATTAACATAATTTTCATTAGTAAAATTTTTTTAATTCATTAAACATCTATTATATCTATAATTATATCAAATTATTAATATTATGTATTGAATTTAGTTAATTATAAAGCTTAAAATGAATTTCTTTATTATTTAATTTTTTATTTTTAATTAAAATACTGTGTTTTTTAGATTTAATTAAAAGTTGATATTAAATTTAATAAGAAAAATAAGATCTATTCTTCATAGTAATGAGGAATTTTGTGTAGATCTTTTATTAAAAATAAAAAATAGAATATCTGTTAAAAATCAGAAGAAACTAAACAATATTTTATATTGAAATTAGATGTTAACCTGTAAAACCTTATAATTATTGATATTAAGAATTATTCTAATTTATCAGTCATTATTTTCTTGTTTAATGAGTTTTTATAATTTAGAAAAGATAATCTCAATAAGAAAAAGTGAGAGTATTTTTTCTAGAAAAAATGAAAACGCTTTGAATATTTTTATTGTACTTACAATGATACTATAAGTCTATTTTATTTAATCATCTAACTATGTCATAGAATCAAACGCTTATAATAATTGCAAATCCATAGCTTATTTTAATTATAATTAGGATGAAGATATTAAATTAGAGTTAGCTCAGCTTTCAAAAAGGCATAAAATGGATTAGAAATTAAGATCGATAATAGATATAAGAAGAAATGGGTTATGGATAAATTATTTTCTCAGTTTGTTACTTGAGCAGAGATAAACAATAATCATAATCTCATAATTATTGAATTATTTGTAAATTATTTTATTTAATTATCATAAGAGTGTTCTTGTGTTATATATCTTTGATTATATTGAATATTTTAACATTTATCAATTATTTTTTTTCCAATAGCCTGCTAATTCTCTATCTAAGTTATTTTCTTTAGTGTTTGATCCCTTTCTTGAAAAATATGTATCTAAAGCATTGTCTAATTTAGATGATGCTTTTAATAAATCACAACTGATACCACTATTTCCTACTACTTATTACCCGCTCTTATATTATTCTAATTATTTATCCAATTGATTTTCTAAATTTTCACCTCTATTTTCAGACAACTTCCTAAATCTTCTTTATCCAGTTCTAAATCCTTCAAATTTTCCAGACTTTTTGAATCTAAAACTTCTTTTGAAGGGTCTTCTATCAGCTAGATTATGTATAGTTTATAAAAGATTATTTACATTGATTATTATTGTTACGATCATTATCATCTCTGCTGAATTTTCTTTAGAAATTTTATCTAGGTCTTCTATTGTTTCTAAAAGGTCTATTAGATTGATAATTGTTTCTTCTAAAATTTTTCATAATTTTTTATTATAATATCTATATATAATCATCAATGGAATAATTGGATATTAATATTTATTGAATCCTCTCTTAAATTTAAGAATAACAAATAAATAAAGTAAAACAAACAAGAAACCAAGCAAAATCTTGATATTATTATTCTTTCCCTAAGGAATGCCATAATTGAGTCTTGATTACAATAAGATTCCTAAATATTGATAATAGAATACCAAAAGGTTCAGCTTTTTGTATTCGTATAGAACACCATTCAAGAATGATTTGTTTCATTTCAACAAATTCAAAATCATGTTATAATTCATGATAACCATTTTCAAATAATTTGATAGTTTTATCATGACTACCACATTTTTCATAAAATCTTACACTTTCATGATAACTTGAAACAGCATCCTGTTTACCATGTAATATTATTATGGGATACCTGAAAGTCTAAATTTTTGAGTCCATATAATTTAAAGTTTCGAGTATACTTTTAGCCATTCCAATACCTAATAAGGGCATCATTAACTTATCTTCAAAACATCTTTGAATATGCTGATCATTCTTACTCATTCCAGTAATATTAAGTTTTGTATTAATTACTAAATCCTATTAAAAGCTTTGAATAATTAATACTTCCATGTAATGTCCGAAATATTTTACAGCAATATATTTGATTCCTTTTAATTTTCGATCCATAGGAAAACCTAGCATAGGAGCGGTTGTGATAATTCCTCTTACTTTTAATGAAGGATTTCTCATTAAAAAGCTAATAATTAGTAATCCACCCATAGCATGTCCATAAAGAAAAAGTGGAAGATCTTTTGATACTTATCTTAACAAAACTTCAATATCCATATGTAATTCTTTTAAAGTTTATGATCCTCTTGGACCACCAGAATATCCAAATCCTCTTAGATCTATTAAATGAACAGAGTAATTTAATTTTGCAAATATATCAGCAATCTAATTATATATATATTTTATAGACATGTAAAAATCTTCCTTAATGTTCTCCAAAGCCATGAACAATGCATAATGAAGCTTTTTTATTTGGTGGATCAAATTTAGTGTAATAGAGTCTTAATTCATCTCCATACCCACCAATATATCCACGCATAACCTTATAATCAGTCATTTAAAATTCCCCTATAAATTTTGAATCATCTTTAAAATAATCATTAATTGATTCTTATTCTTTTAAGTTCATTATATTAATTTAACAGATTACTTTATGAAATTGGCAGATCGTAAGAAATATTCTGTTCATTTGGATATGTCTGCTTTAAAATAAATAATCCAAACTGCTCATCCACTTTCTACTAAACGAAAAATTGATACTACTCCTACAAGTCCAAATACATCAGGATTAGCATCTGATCAAAAATTCAAACCAGTCCAACCACTACATACAAACAATAATATAAATAACAATAATAATACTATACAAAATATTATATTCAACTTTAAAAATAAAACTAACAAAGATAAAGAAAATACTAAAATTTCAACTATGTCAAAATTTCCACTTTTAGTTGACTAGTTTATTAGATTGTTTAATTTAACTTAAAGTGAAATACTTGAAGTTTAATAAATGAAGCAAGTTTATTATTATAAATAATCTAAAATTTAATAAGATGGTTAAAATGGAGAGTACTTGTGTTATGCAAAAGATCACATCAAATATTAATATGAAATTATTAATCTTATTGGATAGGGCAGTTTTGGACAAGTATTCTAAGTCTTAGATCATAAAACTCAAAAAACATTTGCTCTCAAAATTATTAGAAATCAAGAAAAGTTAAAAAAACAAGCATTAGTAGAAGCCAATCTTCTCATAATGATTAAAGAAAGGGATCCATTAAATAAATCTAATATAGTGAGGATAGAAGATTAATTCAATTTTAGAGGACATTAATGCATTATATTTGAGAAATTAGAATATAATTTGTTTGAAATTTTAAAACAATAAAAATTTAGAGGTTTAGATTATGAAACTTTGAGAAAATTTTCTTATTAAATTTTAGTTGCATTAAATTATTTACATAAACTTAATATTGTGCACTGCGATCTCAAGCCTGAAAATGTTATGATACAAGATATGAAATCGAAGATTATAAAATTAGTTGATTTTGGTTCAGGATGCATTGATGGAAATTAAGTCTATACTTATATATAGAGCAGGTATTAATTCTCTAATATGAATATTAGATATTATAGAGCACCAGAAGTAATTTTTGGATTGAAATATGGAATGGAGATAGATATGTGGAGTTTTGCATGTTTAGTATGTGAAATTCATACTGGGTAACCAATATTTCCAGGCGATAATGAAATTGAGCAATTTAATTTGATTATGGAAGTAATTGGAGCTCCATCTATTGATTTTGCATAAAAATGTCCTAGAAAAAAGCATTTTTTTGATGAAAATGGTTAACCAAAAAAAACTGTTAAAACTTATAGAAAACCATAATCTATTTCATTATAGGAAATTCTTAAAACAACAGATGATGACTTTGTTGATTTTTTATATAGATGTTTTACTTGGGATGCTGAATCAAGAATGAAACCTTAAGATGCTTTAAATCATCCATGGATTTTAACTCTAAATCTTAAAGAAAACAGTTCAAAATTGAACAACAAATTCTATAAAGATACAGATACGAATAGTGGATTTAAAAAATAAAAAACTCAATCTAATAAAATATTAAAAGAATTTGAAAAAAAACTTAGTAAAGATAATATTTTTCTTAAATTATAATAAACTCGAACTTTAATTGCAAATAACACTTTTGAAAATAAACCAGGTATTAAGTAATGATTAATTATTTTTAGTTTTGAGCAGCCGATATATAAATGATAAACCAACTTCATCAGACAGAATTAGATCGAATATTGCCCATTCAATACACTAAATACTATCATGCAGATAACAAAATGCAAGTAACACTTAGTTTATAAGGAAACCATCTTTAGGATGAATAAATAATTTAATGATACTCTCTGCAATTTAAATATATAATCTAGTTAATATTCAGTATTATTATTTTTATTCAAGTGAATTTTGTTTTGACCAAGTAGTGTTTTTAGTTTCAAATGTTTGTTATATCTTTTTCAACAATTCAGTATTTTATTTTATATAAGGTCTTTCTACTTTGCTAGTGGATTTACTTTTTTATTTTGAAACAACTAAATTGACTTCAGTACTTTATTTTACAATGACTTTTAAACGAGGAGATGAAGCAAAAGAACATATTTAGAGATTTTGTAATGAAGCACATGATGGAGTTTATAAATGTTATTTGACTTTTTGACTTTATTAAGGTAATATATTTTTTTTCTAACCATAGAGTTTACTAGATAAGAAGTGACACATTTTTAGATCAAATCCTTTGAAATAACGTTCTTTCTCTAATTAAATCTTGGATTTGGTTTTTGGCTTTGTCATCAAGATTAATTTAGGAGGCGTTATACAAGAAGGAGGTCTTTCCATATTATCATATTCTTGTAAATTATATGTTTTACTTATTACCAACAAGAGATTCTTATTTGGAAAGCTTTTTAGATAATTTTCTAGTTGTTTTTCTCCTTTATTTTCTTTCTAACATAATTGCAAAACTTGCCAAAGCCAGTTCTTATTTATTTACTTATTTATGTTATTCGATTATTGTAGGAAGATTAAGCATTTCTTTTTATGTTAATTGACCAAACATTAATCCATATGTAGATTTTCTTCTTGATAATTGTTATTATCTAATTTCAGTGATTTTAGCAACAGCATTCTTTAAAGGTTGAAAATACCTTTTTTTAATCCTTTCGGCTAATGTTAGAGTTGTTGAATATTGATCATCTTCTAATTAAGGAATTCGACAAGAGTGTGGAAGTGACATACTTTTTTGTTTTTTATTATTTGGAAAGATCAGTTTCCTTTTTTTAGAGTGAGTAGTTGTTGTTGATTTAAGAATGAGATGCTAATTATCTCTTATATTTCTGGGTGAAAAGAATGAGAAACCACTAAGTTCTATATAATTGAAATATATACATAATTGAGTCATTGTTTGCATGATTATTATTTTATATTTTAATATGAATTTGAAACCTTATTAATTAGGATAAATAGATGAATTTGAACTTTAGAATACATCTAAAGAGGATTTCCATACTAAAGTTTAACCAATTAAAGAACAACCACTTTTTCATCTTAATGCTATTCCCAAGAAAGTACTTGATATATTAATAAGATAATTGCTATAACTATCATGCTTACTATTTTAGGAATAACCTTCTTGATTATTGGCCTATTACTCTTAATTAAACAAACATCTAATTATGATCAATATTTACCTTTATTATTCATTGGCATTCTAATGACCATCCCAGGCATTTATTATAGTTATAAAATTATTATATTTACTTATTCAAGATCTAGACAAGAACAGGAATAAATAATTTAAGAATTACCAATTGATTACTGAATATGAAAAATTATTTATTAAATTTCATAATTATCTTTCAATAATACTTTCTTTTATAAATTGTTGTTAATTAAAAAATCATAATTTATAATTATTAAATCAAAGATTTCTAACTAAAATGATGAGTCTTTTGCAATCCTTATTAACACTTAATCATTCTTTAGTCCATTTATATCTATAATAATTTTAACCAGTGTTATTTAATTACGTTGAATAGATATAAAAAATAATACATATGAAATCATTCAATAAATTACAATTCTATCATTCTATTGTCTTTATTTACTTTGGAAGTATACAAAATAAATTCATTTAGCTTTTTTATTCAAAATCCTTATTCTTTTATTCATTTTAATTTGATTCTTCAAAAATAGATCACCATTTACTGTACCACTTTTTATCCCAATTGATTTTTCATGCTTATTTGGATTTANGTGGAAGTGACATACTTTTTTGTTTTTTATTATTTGGAAAGATCAGTTTCCTTTTTTTAGAGTGAGTAGTTGTTGTTGATTTAAGAATGAGATGCTAATTATCTCTTATATTTCTGGGTGAAAAGAATGAGAAACCACTAAGTTCTATATAATTGAAATATATACATAATTGAGTCATTGTTTGCATGATTATTATTTTATATTTTAATATGAATTTGAAACCTTATTAATTAGGATAAATAGATGAATTTGAACTTTAGAATACATCTAAAGAGGATTTCCATACTAAAGTTTAACCAATTAAAGAACAACCACTTTTTCATCTTAATGCTATTCCCAAGAAAGTACTTGATATATTAATAAGATAATTGCTATAACTATCATGCTTACTATTTTAGGAATAACCTTCTTGATTATTGGCCTATTACTCTTAATTAAACAAACATCTAATTATGATCAATATTTACCTTTATTATTCATTGGCATTCTAATGACCATCCCAGGCATTTATTATAGTTATAAAATTATTATATTTACTTATTCAAGATCTAGACAAGAACAGGAATAAATAATTTAAGAATTACCAATTGATTACTGAATATGAAAAATTATTTATTAAATTTCATAATTATCTTTCAATAATACTTTCTTTTATAAATTGTTGTTAATTAAAAAATCATAATTTATAATTATTAAATCAAAGATTTCTAACTAAAATGATGAGTCTTTTGCAATCCTTATTAACACTTAATCATTCTTTAGTCCATTTATATCTATAATAATTTTAACCAGTGTTATTTAATTACGTTGAATAGATATAAAAAATAATACATATGAAATCATTCAATAAATTACAATTCTATCATTCTATTGTCTTTATTTACTTTGGAAGTATACAAAATAAATTCATTTAGCTTTTTTATTCAAAATCCTTATTCTTTTATTCATTTTAATTTGATTCTTCAAAAATAGATCACCATTTACTGTACCACTTTTTATCCCAATTGATTTTTCATGCTTATTTGGATTTATACAGAAAAAACACATAATATAATATAATTATTTTTGAAATCCTTTGATTTAAAAGCCATTTTATCTATTCTTTTGTAAAAATTTGTCACCACTTGTACAATTTCAATTTTGTTATATATCTTCGATTTTTACAATCAATATTATTTTTAAATTAAATCCACCTTTTATCATCCACTTTTTTCAAATAATTAAAATAGAGTTTAATGATAACTTTAATGAATCTAACTAGAATCGTCTCTGTAAATTAATCCTTTATCATATAATTTAACGTTCTCTAGTAAATATTTGTCCAAATAAAAATCTAATTTTATAACAATTAAATTTGGTATGATAATTAGTATTTTTTTTTTTCTTTATTCTTATCTAAAATTCTTGATTTTTCTTATCATCTATTAAATCAGATAACCCCTGAATCTATTAAGTTTCATAATTTAATTAAATTAGCATTCTACTTCAATAATAATTCAATTTTTTTAAATCATTCTTTTTGTTAGCCTAATACAAGAAAAAAAACCTATATATTTAATTCGGTTTCATAATCACTTGTAAATTATTTCAATTTATTTTTTCAAATTAATGAATATTGAAAATCGAAGCTATTTAATTAATTTAAAAATATTTTTATCAATAAAAAGAGTCTAAAAATTATTTAGCAAAAAAATATTTAATGAATTTTTATATTTGCTATTAATTAAATAGGAAGTATTTTAAATATCTCGATATTGGATTATAAAATTATTACTAAAATACCTTATTAGTAATTAAAAATTAAATTCAATACATTCAAGTGAATTAATAAGTTTATGTAGAAAAAAATGACCTCAAAATATAAGCAAAACAATATCATAATACTTTAAATTAGATCTCTTCTTTAATGTTTGCTGAACTTTTTTTCTAAAAATGTTATCCAAACAATTTTTAAAATTTAAAGAAATAACTTTATATACAAAACAAAGCAGTTATAACAGAAATTTTGGAAGAATTGACAAGAAATATATTATGCAGATAAAATTACTAATTTTTTGATATAAATAAAATTATTTAAGATTTTTAACATTTTATTAATATGTACTATTAAAGTTTAATTTATGAGTAGATGGTTTAGAGATTATGAAAATATGTTTTTTCTAAATTAATTAATTATTAAAAAATTTGTTCACTCTTCCAAGCTTATTTATTTGAAAGTTTTAAGATTTTAATTAATAAATATTAGTTTATATTATAAAATTTGAGTAATTATTAATAAATTGCTATTTCTAATATTTTTTCTTTGAATTTATTTTGTGTAATTTTGACAAGGTCATAGTAGGCATATGATTTAGTATATGAATTATGATAAATTATATTTAATTGAAATAAATAATTATAAGAATTCTTATTTGGTATGACTGATGATTTAGAACAAACTTTGTATAATGACTTAAAATTAGCAGGTGTAATATATGCGTCAAATTAGGTTCTTCAAGAATATCAGATTCATTTAGACCTCACTTAATTCATCTAGATATGTAAGACATACCTTTCAAAGAGAATTCTGAATCAGATTCTATTCCTCAAGTAAATTCAATTCAGAATCTTCGTTTTAAAGATATGAGTATTTCAAAGAGTAAAAATAAAAATATGTGTTCATTGAAGAGTCTATAATGTTAAAATAATTTATAAGATAAGAATGATAGATAAAAACATCCAAGAAATAGTGGGATGGCTAGCTTGCTTACAATTAATAATTTGGTGAAATAATTTATTGAGAAATTAAAAAGGAAGGCTTACATTTTTCCAAATAATCTTGGTGAAGAAATAAAAGAAAATTTGAGAGAAGTTTTATAAAAAAAAAAAATTTGGAAAAAAATAAAGTAGATACAGGTTTCAGAAGATGGTGGTAAAAAATAGATAACTAAAAAACTTCCTATATTTAATCCTGCAAGTAAAATGATGTTAATATGGGAATTTTTTAGAGCTCTTTAATTGACAATATTATTATGGTGGTTACCATTCAAAATTGCCTTTAATCCATCATCAAGTACTAATGTTGATGCCTTTGAGAGTGCTTTAACATATATATTCGCAGCAGATTTAATTATAAAATTTAATAGAGGTATATTTGATTAAGGAAAATTAATAAAAAATAGAATAAGTATTTTGAAACATTATGTATCTAATGAATTGCATGAAGATATAATATATTTTATAACTTTAATTTTTGTGATTAGTGATATTGGTATTAGAGCTAGTGGATTTTAAGAAATTATAGTATTAGTATAATTTGGATTAAATTTTATTAAATTGAAAAAATATCTAACAAAATATGAAGAAACTTTTGTTGAATCTCCAACTTTGACTGAAATAGTAAAACTTTTATAATTAATAATAATTACATTTTATTTTGCTCATTTTATGGCATGTATATGGTATTATGTAGGTATTAAGAGTTTAGAAATGAATGAAATATCATGGACTCAAGATCCAAAATTTGATTATTCTGGTGTTTTTTAAATGTATATATACTCATTTTATTGGGCAACAACTACTATGGTAACTGTTGGATATGGAGATATCTCAGGTAAAAATGTTTATGAAGTATTATGTGCTATTGTACTTATGATATTCTCAAGTGGAATTTTTGCATTCTCAATGAATTAAATTGGATCTATATTTACTAATATGGATGCTTAAAAATAATAATATAAGAGAACTTTATTATTAATTAATTAATATATGAATAATAATTTAGTTGAAGAGTAACTTCAAGGTAGAATTAGAAATTATTTAAAATATCATTATCATAAATAAGAAAAACTTTTTAAAAATGAAATAAGTACTATTATTGATAAATTACCAACTACTCTTAAATCAGAATTAATTTAAGATGTATAATTTAGAGTAATGTAATGTATTCCTTTTTTTAATAAAAATTTTTCAGAAGAAATCTTACCTTAAATTGCTTATGAATTAAATCTCTAATCTTATACACCAAGAGAAATTATTTATTAATAAAATTAAATAGATGATTGCAATATCTTTATAGTTTGGAAAGGATAAGTTAATCTAATTGATGATAACTCAGGAAAAGTACTTAAAACATTTAATACTGGATAATGTTTTGGAGAATTAGAATTTCTAACTAATCAAAAAAGATTAAGTACAGCTATTAGCTGTGATTTCAGTTAAATTTATTATATATCAAGAAATCAATTTCTTAAAATACTAAACTCTTATAATAATGATTTTTAACAATTTCATTAGTTGAAAGATTAAATTTTATTCCAATATAATTCTTCTGCTATCTAATGTTATTGTTGTTAAGAATCTCATTCTATTTGGAAATGTCCTTATATTCATTATAAACCTGATTTAGAAAGAGTAATAAAAAAGAGTTTCTTTTAAGATTCATTATAAGAACGTTCATAATTTAAAAGAAAAGGACTTCGTTTAAATGTTTATTATTAGGAAAGTTTACTTTAAAGTTCAAAGCATATAAAAACATCAAATGATTTAGATAATAATACTGCAGGAGGCATATAATAAATAGGTTCAATAAATGAATCAAGTGAATCATCTGAAGAGAGTGTAAAACATGAAAAAAAGAGTGATTAAATTTTAACATTATCTTATGCAGTACCAAGTGAAAGTAGAAGAAAAAGTTAAAGAACAAAATTTATACCTGCATCTCCTCTTAGAGCAGAATCTCCTCTACTAAAACCATTAGATATGCTTCGATATGGATAAAGAAAAAGAAAAAGTCTATTCTTTGCTGATTAAAGTATGATTAATGCTTTATAATCTAAACGAAAGGAATCGGTACAAAAAACAGCATCATTGGGTTAATAATAGAATTTCATCAAATAATTATCTAATTATGAAAATGATAATAATTTTGAACCATTAAGTACAATCGAAGGACTAGATAAAATGATTATTTACTCTAATTATTTTCCTGATAATAATTTTGACAAAATTATTGAATAATTACTAAAATATCTAAAAAGGTTTAAATTGACAAAAACTTATATGATTGCAAACAAATATTCTTTTGTAAAGCTATAAAAATATGATAAATCTTAATCTAAAAAACCCATCATGTTCAAATAAAATGATGTTATTAAGTGAAAGTTTTTTGTTTTAAGAACCATTAATGAATTTGATTATGTTTATTTTTATATTTATATAATAAACTTGATTGAATTTAGATAACATTTTTGATAATTTAGTAATTTAAATGTTTCATCTAATAGTTAGAATTTATAAAACTCAATAATATCCTTAAATTAAAAATACTCTTTTAAGTTATTTTCTGTTACAATAATTGATTTTGTAAAGATTATAATATAAAACATAAATAAAATATTTTTATGATTTAAATTCTAATATTAACAATAGTTCATATTAATGGATTGTAAATGGAAGACAAAGTGAGTTATTTGCCAGTAAGATATATAATAATGAATAAAAATAGCCTTTTAATATGTCAGATTAAAATTTTTCAATATTTTCAGGTTATTTATCAATAACAAATAACAACTAATCATTTCATTATGTATTTGTATAGAGTTAACTTAATAATTTGGATATTAATGTGCCTCTTGTTTTATGGTTGAATGGAGGACCTGGTATAAAATTAGAGTAATATAAAAGGGTGTTCATCAATGATTGGATTTTTATAAGAAATAGGTCCTTTTGTATTTATGAATGAGGATGATGAGAGTTTATAATTTAATGAGTATTCTTGGAATAGAGTTGCACATTTATTATTTTTGGAAAGTCCAAGTGGAGTAGGATTTTCACATAATCCATTGAACATAACATTTAATGATTAATAAACAGCAGATGATAATTTAAAGATTATACAAGAGTTTTACAGCAGTTATCCAGAATATTAGAAGAATCCATTATGGTTAGCAGGTGAGAGTTATGGTGGAGCATATATTCCATTATTAGCAGAAAAGATAAAGAAATTTAACGATTTAGAAGTAGCAGTAATAAATTTAAAAGGAATGATGATTGGTAATGGTGTAACAAATCTAACTCATCTTCCTATATCATAATTAATATATTAGAAAGAACATTAATTGTTACCACCAACATTTGATATCACTGGATGTGAGAAGAATGTAACATCAGAAGAATGTGAGAATATAAATTATGATGCTTGGAAAATTACTAAGAGAATAAATCCATATGATATTTATGGATATTGTTATTATGAAGAGAATGAGATGGAAGATGAATTATAATGGATTTAATAAATGAAATAATTTATGATGATTCACAATAATAATATTGTTAATGTTACTAACCATGATTTAGGAGTACCTTGCGTATAAATAGATAATATTTAAAATTATTTGAATGATGTAAAAATTAAAAGATATCTTCATGTGGATGAGAATATTGAATGGTTTATGTGTACAAAACAACAAAATAAATAATTTAAATATGTATCAGATCCTCCTATAGTAATGAAAGTCTTATAAGAATTATTAGATTTTAATATATATACCATTCTACTATATAATGGAGATGCTGATAGTGTAGTACCATGGATAGACACATTACGATGTATTTAATTAAATGATTTTTAGCATTATAAAAATTGAATGTATCAATCACTGAAGAGTGGAGACCTTATTATGTTAAAAATAATTAATTGGGAGGATATACTCAAGGTTATTTAAACAAATTGAGATTTGTTACTGTTAGAGGAGCTGGACATATGGTACCATAAAATGATAGAATCACCGCATTCTATTTATTTAATTAAACCTTAAATGAAGAAACTTTTTGAATTAATATAGTTTTTAGTATTGTTACAAACATTTATATTCAAATTAATAAAAATATTAGGTACTTTATCAAGAACAATCGAGAAAGATGTATTACGAACTTAAAATTAAAGAAACTAAAACTCTCATTATGACTATCCTTACACTTATTATTGTAGTTGTACCCATTCATTGGATGATCTAAGCAGGTCTAAGTGTTGTGACATCAGACTCATGTTAAAGATAATGGGCAATTGATTAAAATATGCTTGAAAATCTTGATGACACTTATGCTAGATTTGCTAAAAAATGTTATTGAGTTTATATACAATTATGTGCAATTAATATTTATAAATAATGAAATAAAATCCTGTGGCACCACCATCAAAATAATAATAATAATAACAACAACCTCCTTCTAAAGACCCTCCTAAAACTACTGGTAAACCAAATGATTAAAAATAATAATAACCACAACAGACTGTTCAATAACCCAAAACTGCTTAGGTTTCTCCACCAAAAAAAGAAACTGTCAAAGCTTCATCTAATGATATTGTATTTTTTTTATTTTATGACATTTAGGATCACATCCAAAAGATGAAGCAAACTATGATGGACTTTTAAAATAAGTATTTTGAAACGCTTAAAAATAAACAAGATTCCATATCTTAAAAGGTTATATTTCTTTCTTCTATTATTAGCTTTCATTAAGAAATGCTGAAAGAGTAGAAGATAAAATCCTTAATGCAATTCGTAAAGGAGTCTTATAATTAGAAGTAAATTCAACATTTTATATTTTTTATAAGAATTCCAAATTTAATTATGTTGAAGGACATATGATGGATAAAAAAGTCTTAATTGTTGAAAAAGAAAAAGATTAATTATAAACTAAACTATAAAATGTTGATTCTGAATTAAAAACACTTAAAAGTCAGAAAATCAACAATGCCTATAGTGCTTATAGTTAACCAACCCTAAAATTGTATATGCAAGAAGAGAATTTAACTAAGTAACAACTTGCTTAGGAGACAGTTTAGAAAATATAAAATGAAGCTAAAACAAGAAGAGAAAAGACTAATAAAATTTTAAGTGAAAAAGAAAAAAAAGAGAAAGAAGAAGAAGAACGAAAAAAATAAGAAGATGCTATTAAAACGTAATCAATTTATATATAAATATAGATAATAAATGAAAGAACAATTACATGCTAAATTAAGAGAAAATATTGAAGATTTAAAAGCAAAATAGAAACAAAGACTTGAAAAAATGGATAAAATGGAAGATGAATATTTTAAGAGTTTAAATGATAAACTATCTAAAATGAATAAGGAAAGATCATTAATTGCATCAGTAGATATTCCTAAAGTTTAATTAAAACCATATAAAAATGAAGGCTAAAAAAGAGATAAAAAGAAAAAAACTAGACCTAAAAGTGCTTCTCCTTCTAATAAAACTTAACATCCACCAAAAAAAATTGAAATTGAATAACCTTTATATATGAGAGTCTTAGATAAATATAATAAAAAAATACAAAAATAATAAGATATTGTTAATTAGGAAAGAAAAAAGAAAATGGAAAAAAATGAAAATTACAATTAAGAATATGAAGAACATATGAAATAATATTTAAAGAAACTTAAAATGAAAAAAAGAGAATATGAAGAAAAAAGAATGAAAGCTCTTGAAAAATTAGGTTTAGAAGCTGGAAAATATAGTTAAAATGTAAATGCAAGTTTTGATTCTAAACTTTGGCTATTATAAGAATCAAGAGTTAATAAATCTCTTGATGATATCTCTATTATTCCAAAAGAATCTTAAATAAATTAAGCTAAGGAAAAAAAATAAAAAATCGTAGATTATGATAAAAAAGTTAAAGAAACAATTAAAATATAAAAAGATAAAGAAAAAGAAGAAGAATTAATGGTCTTAAGAGATAAAACTATTCATCCAGAAAGATATATAAGAATGGTCAAAAAAAATAATAAAGAATAAGAAAAAGAACCAGAATTTGAAATATTTTAAAGAGAAGAAGAAGCAAGATAATAAAAAGAAAGAGAAATGAAAGAAAAAGATTTAGAAAGATTTAAAAAGCTATAAGAAAAAGCAAAAAAAGATCTTGAATAATCAATCATATTGAGTAAATAAAAAGATGAAGAAAAAAAGAAAAAAGATGAATTTGATTATGAATATGAAGAAAGTTTAGCAAGATAAAAAGGAAAGGAATATTTAAAAGAATTTAAAGAATTACATTAAAAAGCTCTTGAATTAGAAAAGGAAGAAAGAGAAAAGCAATTAAAATTGCTTCAAGAATAATAGAAAAAAAAAAAATTAGAGCTACCATAAATTTCTTAGACACCAAAAGTTGTTAAAAATTAAACTTTAGGAACAGTATTTAATTAATAAATATTTAAGCTTGAAAGACATGATTATTTATAAGAAGTTTTATAATAAGCTAAAAAAGAAAGAGAAGAAAGAAAAGGATAGGAAAGATTAGAAAAAGAAAAAAATATTAAAGAAGAAGAAAGAAGAAAATAAGAAGAAAGAAGAAAGAGAGAGGAAGGCATTGAATAAACTCCAAGAAAAACTGTTAATGTAGAAGAAATAGATGAGGAATAAAAAGAAGAATTAAGAAGAAAGAAATTAGCTTAACACAATTAAAAAGTAGACAAAATAAAAAAAAAAGTATTATTTTTTTAATAATATTTAATAAGTATATTGATGAAAAAACATTTGGTGAATAATCTTAACCAGAAAGTTATTTAAAAAGAAAAGCAGATCAAGTAAGCAAATTAGAAAAATAAACAAAGAGCATGGAATCAGTAAAAATATTATAAATTTTTTTAGATAGTAGAGGCTTCTTGGACTACAAAACCACTAAAAGCAGTAGAGAAGGCATCAGAAGTAGATGCTCTTTATATTAAGTCAATTCAATAAAAATTAAGTCTATTATCAACTGCTTAAAAAGCTTGATATTATATTCAATTCAATTAGATAAACAATAAATAAAATATTTTAATAGAGTTATTAAAATATAAAAAAATTTATATTA